GAGTCTCTGCAGGATGATTCAAAGAGGAATAGCTGCTGGCACTGCCAACCATGTGACTGAACTAGTCGGGGATGGACTGGACTGTCTGTCTGTCTTCATCGATCGAATCCAACTCCATCATCATCCAACTTACCCTCATTCTCTAATCTCTCTATTTTCTACTCTCTCTCTCTCTCTCTCTCTCTCTCTCTCTCTCTCTCTCTTTCTCTCTCTCTCTGTCTCTATCTCTTTGACTATATCGGCTATCTGCATACAACCCCCCCCCACAGCAGCTGCAGTGGCACTTTAAACTGCACAGTTCACTCACGGGCCCGCTTTTCCTGGCTGAAGAATCCAATCTTCACCATCCCTGCTTATCATTCTTCACTCTTCCGCACTGCCCCCTCCCCCCCGGTCAAGACCACACTACTCCGCTCTGTCAAGTGGAGCACCCACTAAATAACCAAATATGAATCGGAGACAACCCCCGAGACGCCACGCCTGCGTCCGCTGTGTTCGACTCAAAGTGCGATGTCAGCCTGTTGAAGGCACTGGCACTTGCATCCGCTGCACTCGACTGGGCCAGTCATGCACGCTCCCCGATAGCTTACGCGCGAGTAGTCGGCCCAGGTACGATTCTCCTCTCGCATCCTTGTCCTATCATGGACTGTTCCCCGATAACTGATTTATTTCAGAAAAACACGCATCGATGCCTTACAAGAACAGATCGATAACCTAGTCACCCAACTTGCTAGCAAGGTATGCGTCTTGAGTCCATCCGATCATTCGGGAAGGTATTGATGGGAAGTCTCATAGCAAGCGGCCAACTGTCAAACCCCGTCGCGAACCGCCAGTGTGACCAACACAAACGATTCGCCCGATCCGTACCAGAAGGATTCACCGTCGCAACTGGCCCGCAGTGAGAGCGAAGGCGACTCGCTTTTTGGCAACCTGGTAACCCTCGAGGAGGCTGACGAGCTCCTGGCTAAATTTCGAGCCCAGAAGATGCACCACTTCCCTTTTGTCATCATACCACCAGACATGGACATCGCCTCACTGCGCGATCAATACCCCTTCCTGCTGACATGTATCGTCTGGGCTTCTTTGGAGCACAACAACCCCTTACAACTGAAGATGGAAGGCATGATCAGACAGACGATCGCGAATCGCGTCTTCGTCAACAGCGAACGAAGCATGGATCTGCTGCAGGGACTGCTGGTGCATTCGGCCTGGTACCATTACCATTGGAAGAGTATGCATGCGCATCAGTACTTGCTACTTCAGGTGCTGCCGATGCTTGTCTACGACCTCGGCCTGGATCAGGATGAGACGGTCAAGATGCAACTGCAGTCGGGACAGATAAGTGAGCCCCGAAAAGAGCAGTTGCACAAGACTCCGGCGGCTCAACGCGCTCTTCTGGGCTGCTACTATCTGTGCCACAAGTGAGTGTCGCATGCGACTAAGACCTTTGCTACCGATCGAAGCTGACCTGCATCAGATCCTCGATGTTTCGCCGACATATGAACATGCGACACACCAAGTGCATCGATACCTGCGTGAAAAACCTCACCGAAAATCCCGAATATCCCAGTGACGCGCTGCTGAGAGCGCTCATAGAAACGCAGCCACTCATGCGCAAGTCGCACACGCTGCTAGGCGATGAGCTGAACTACTGCACCGACCAATGTCGCGATGCGACCTGGGAACAGATCCTCGATGCGGTGGCCAGACACCAGAAAGAGGTCGATGATCTGAGATCGCGCCATAATCTACAGGACAATTGTGAGCATCTATCGTGCATTGGAATGAAGACCTCGTGTTCTAACCAACTTAGGGGCCATGCGCATGGAGCTGGACGCCTTTCCCACCCTCATGTTCGGGCACTTCCTACGCCGCCAGAAGGACGCGTTCTACCTGCGCGACATCAACCAGCTGCAGCCGCTCGCCACGTCCGCCCACCGGGTGGCGGCCACATTCCTCGCGACCCCATCCGCCGTGGCAGTGCACCTGCCGATCTCGTCCTACACGACCTGCTGGTACGCCATCGTCCTCCTATGCAAGCTGGGCTTGTCCTTTGGCATCTACAGCCAGCTACCGACGGATCTCGGCACGCGCAGCGTGCACGAGGTGGTCCTTGCCACGGTGCACAAGATTGAAGGGTTCTCGCTCGGGGACGATCTGTGGGCGGGCTGCAAGAGGGCCATCGCCAAGCTTCTGAGCTGGCTGGAGAAGACCAGCAACGAAACCCCGCGGCCCATGCTGCCCAGTCCCGCCGTCGCCACGTCCGAACCACCCAGCCTCATGGCACTGCCGCCCCCCATGCACTGCCCCCCTGGTCCGATGATGCCGCTGTCGCAACAGTACCACGTTCCAGATCAATGGCAGTCGCCGCCGATCCCTGGCGGTCTACCGACGGGGTTCGAGACGGACATGATGATGGGCATGGAGAGCAACATCATCGTGCAACACATGATCGATGAACTCAGCCTGTTCGGGTGGGCGGGACAGGGTCCCTATCTGCCAAGCATTGGGGTCTGATCATTGGGGTTCTAGCAGCAATAGTGCTGACTTCTCTACTGGAGCGCCCCTGTGCCGCTAGACTGTGGGCATTTTGATGATCGCCACGCATTTTGTACATGATTTGACGCGTTTCCGCTATCTGTCTCAATGAGCGTACTAGATTGGGTTTAGGATATGGGCGTTGCGGGTTGCTTCTTGGCAAGCGAGTTTGAATTGATTATAATATTCAGGAGCGGAGGTGTTTTTGACAAGCCTGCCAATATTGCACGAGTGAATTTGTGTCTATGTCTGTTTCATCGTGTCTATGATATTCGTCCCAAGTCACCGCCTGTTGTATGGTTGTTGTGGTATGTATCCGAAGTTCTCTCCCTTTAAAGAAAGACCTGCTGGCATCAGGGAACCGAGCCACAAATGCGTGTCATCATCATCCAGGTCAATCCCGCTGCTCACAAGAGGCCCTGAAACTTGATATCTGTTCAAAGGTAGGGCATGAACAGCGCGGGGCCGTGGTCGGATCCACCAACAACGTTTTTGTATAGCTGTGATCAGCGGGTTGCGGCTTCTGCAGCACGGACTGTATACGAGATGGCCTGCCCGACTGCGGATGCTTCTTATCCATGCCAAGGATGCGCATCACTCTGTGGTGACGATTGATCTCAAAGGAAGCCAACAGCGGCACGACCGTAGCCCTAGGCTAGAAGCCTGCCACCCGAAACCATGACACAGGGCTTCTACTTAGCACTTATCCGCCCCGTCCTGGAACCAAACCTCGAGTCCAAACCGCGAGTCAACCGAGCCACTACTACCCACACCTCACAATGCCAGCACCAGCCCCGCCGCCCACCCCCTCAAAAAATCACCTTCTCGAACGCATCCCCCAACCCCCTGGCATGAAGCCACTGCTCGAGCGCCTGCATATCCCCCCGATTCGCCCGCTGCCCACTGCGCTCGCCCAACGAATCCGTGATCTCCTCCATGCCCGCAAACACGCGCTGCACCGCGGCCCCGGTCTCGCGGAACCGCTCGCTGACCTTCTTCTGGTGGCTGGGGATGTCGCCCCACGAGTGCGTCTTGATGAACTTCATGTACGCGTCGATGTCCGCCGACGCGCCCTCGAGACACAGCACCCCGGGTTTCCCGGCCAGCACGAACCCCGTCAGCGCGTACTCGGACGCGTGGTTCACGAGGTCGTCGCGCTTCGCCCGCGTCGACAGCGATGGGAAGTAGAACCAGACGCGCACCAGCGGGCCGCGCGCAGCGGACTCGGAGGGCCAGGGGGAGTTTGGGGAAGCTTCTGGCTGGGCTGAGGCTAGGAGCTGGACGGCTTGTTCTTGGATGTGGGTTAGTGCCTCGAATACGTCTGCGTCTGCGGGTATGGCTGCCGCTAGCTTGGTGACCTCGGCTTTGGAGAGCCAGTCTGGGCGCAGGCTGTAGGTCGGTGGTGGGGGTTGGTCCAGGGCTTCACCGCGCTGGTCGCAGTGTAGTGGGATCGTGAGGTTGACTTGGAAGCGCTTGTCGCTGTCTGCGAGGGGCAGCGAGATGTAGAGCGAGATGCTGGATGGGATGCCGGACGGCGCGCTGGTGGGGTTGGGGTCCTCGCACCAGGCGCGCAGCTTCTCGAGGCACTCGGCCGAGGCCGGGGGAATCTCGAGTTCCTCGGGGGAGACGTACATCGCTGTGAGGAGGTCGATGGTCGAGAGTTGCATCTCCATGAGGTCGACCGGGAGCACGGTGGTGGGTTGTTCTGGTATGGTGGCCATGATCTTCTGTGTTTGGCTATAAAGCTTCCTTAGAGACAATGATGAGGTGAATTGGCCAATGGAAGGTGATGTTAGCTTGCCAGAATTGCTACGATTTAGTTTGGTGCTGCAATTGGCTGGCTTGCGAGGTATGACTGGGGTATGCTTGGAAATAAGCATGTAGCAACAAGCGGGTGGGTGCCATTCTGTTCCTCCGACAGCGGAGCCGCGGAAAATGGATCTTCCGTTTTCTCTGGCCTCGGGGGCTCCGCAACTCGGAGGGGCAACTGGCAAGGCACCTTCAACAAGCATCACCCCTAATATTGCTGCAAAATCCAAGGTCTCGGTGGTGCTGGATTGATGCTACCTCTCCGCTGGTGAGGCAAAAAAAAAAAAAAAAAAAGCTCATGTGTCCAGCTATATGTAAGTATGTGGCACGTCTAAGCGTTCCAGGTGGCCATTCACCACACGAAGAGCCATTTACCCGTCAGTTGCAATGCAGGGGTTACGAATGCGCATCATGAGTGAGTACCGCCGCAGCACCGCAACAAGAGAGGCATAATTTACCCTCGGTTCATCGCATTGAAATTGCAGAAAGTGAAGCTCGGCGATAATAGCTTAAAGGGGCTTAGACGGGGAGCCTTCCCCGCAACTTAAAGCCGAGATGAACCAGCTTGAATATGCAGATCCCTCGAATGAAGTGGATTAACCGCACAATTCCGTCCGTCTACCTTGTTTCAATGGCCCTATCAAGCTAGAGAGTAGAAAATGCCAATCGCGCCAAGGGTGAGGGGTATCAAGCCCTTGAGGCCGGTGTTGCAGACCGTTCCTGTCGATCGTCGAATTGGGGAGGAGAATTCGTCAGCTCTGCGTCTCCATCGACGGGGGAGGAAACATGGAGGCAGATGCAGGGGTATAAACTGGTCCTTCGGTGCCTGTTGATCCCCTTCAGCAGCAACAGCTCGTCTCAATCATTGACTCCTCTCCCCTCTCTACCAACCACCAATCTCTTTCTCAAAACAACTCCAGACCACAAACAAGATGCGTCCTCCCTCAGCTACCCCCGTAACCCTCCTCACCACCCTCCTCTCCCTGGGTGCAACCACATCCGCAACCCCAAGCGACACCTGCGCCAACAGCACTGACCCCTACACTCTCTACCCCGTGACCACCAATATCACCATCCCGGAGATCGCCGCGCGCACCAACCGCAGCCTCTGCGACATTGCGCGCCACAACCTGATGGCCGACCCCCTGATCCCACCCAACATCGGGCAGACCATCGTGATCCCGCCGCTCAGCTGCGCCTCCTCCCCGCCGGACAACGAGTCCTGCCTGATCCCCAACACCACGCGCACCGCGCTGTGCATCAACGGCGGGCCGCGCCTCTACTATACCGTCCACGGCGACACCTACGACATCATCGCGCGGCGGCTGAACATCTCCACCGCCGCACTGATGGGCAACACCTCCACCTCCACCGCCGAGACGTCGTCCGCCGACGCCCTGCTGGAGGTCGGGCAGTTCATCAAGGTGCCCCTGTGCGAGCCCAGCCAGTGCTCCATCAAGCCGTTCACGCTCGAATACGGCGTGTACAAGGACCTGGCGGACGAGTATGGCACCACCGTGGGCCAGATCATGATGCTGAGTCCGACGTACAACTACAGTACCTCGTTGATGACCGGGAACACGCGGCCGACGCTGGATCTGCCGTTCAATTGTTCGGTTACCGGGGATGATGTGGTGGTTGTTGACTAGAGGTTGTTGGGGGAGTAGGTAGTTGTGTGAGTACTCTGGAAGGGATCGGTGCCCTGGACTACTTATATTCAAGTACATATTAGTGTTGTGAGATGTAATTAAACCTTGGTGGTTTTGATTGTGTATGCCGGCTTCCTCTTTGAGGATGCCAATGTGTACTCTAGTAGGGAGATTCATCCCTGCTGATAATTATCTTGGGACTCAGAAGGTCATGTGGCATCAATGATAATCATTGGCTACAAGTTAACGAAGATAGGATACTAGATAGTTCATTCGAGTGGGTTGCAAAACCACCATGGGCAGTTGGAGACAGCGGGAGGAGCTCCCGGGGAGGAGCTCTTGCTATCTTTCGGTGGATTCTTGGCATTGAACACAGCATCAAGACACAACCATCATAGTATTTGTAGGGGAAGCATACATCATCTCAATGATATAATTCCAATCGAGTTCGCGAAATCCCCGTCTTTCTCACTTCACCAACCCGTTCCCGCCCCAAACCAAAATGTCCCTCAACGAAATCACCGGCAAACTCGCCCTCATCACCGGCGCCTCCGGAGGGTAAGCCCCCAATCCCAGCCCCAACTCCAACCATCTAACCTCCTCAAAAAAAGCATCGGAAGCGCCTGCGCCCGCCGCCTCGCCCAGAACGGGGTGCACCTCGCCCTGACCTTCTCCACCAACCGAGCCGCCATCGACCAGCTCGTCGCCGACCTCCACTCCTCCTCCACCTCAACTACCACCCCCTTGCGCATCTCCACCCACCAAGTCGACGTGAGCCATCCCGAACAGCTGGAGCACCTCTTCACGGAGATCGGGGAGCATCACGGCCAGCGCCCGGACATCCTCATCTCGAACGCCGGGTACGGCCGCCGCATCCCGGACGTGTGGGACATCCCGCTGGACGAGTTCGAGCGCATGCTGACGGTCAACCTGCGGGCGTCGTTTGTGCTGGTCAAGGGAGTGGTCGAGCACATGAAGGCCCAGCGGTGGGGCCGGATCGTGTTCATGTCGTCGATTGCGGCGCGCGGGGGCGGGATTAATGGGTGTCGTATGTCGTTTCCTTCCCTATGCACAGCGGATGCTGATTCGGCCGACTGTCTTGCTGTGGTTGAGTGGATGCTGATACAAGGGGAGCAGATTACGCGGCCTCTAAAGGTGGTCTGACGGGGCTGATGATGAATCTGGCCACCCGGTTGGCGGAGTACAACATCAGCGTGAATGATGTCGCGCCGGCGATGATCGGGGAGACGGGGATGGTGGCCAGTGCGGAGGCGATCCCCCGCGAGGTGGTCGAGGGGATCCCGCTGGGCAGGCTGGGGACGCCGGAGGAGGTGGCGAATGTGGTCATGATGTTGGTGACGACGGGGTATATGACGGGGCAGAGTTTGTTGCTGGCGGGGGGGTTGAAGTGATTGTTCGTTTGTGTGGGGTTGGGGTTGCTGGTGTGATGGTTGTTGTTGAAGTTGATTTGATGTATGTGTTAGAGGATCAGTCATCTGAATAACGTTGTTTATCTAGTCGAAGCTGTGAGTTAGGGTTAAAGTCTTTGGGATTTTACCCTTCATGTCTAGAGCTAATTATTACCTAGCACAAAACCTGGATGTTTGTAGGAACATCGAAGATTGTTAACAGGCCAACTCGGTCCAGAAGACATGACTTGTGAAGACTCTCCTTGGACCTATATATAGTTATCTGAGCCGTAATTCCCATATCTTGACCTGGAATCACCCAGAAAAGCTTTCCGCAGATTGTATATTTGCTGGCCAGGGAAGGTGTACTCTCGCATCAGCAAATGAAAACAGTAATCTGCAATGCTCATCTCTCTGAGATCAACTCGACATCGTCAGACACTCATGTTTAATTAGCACGAACAAAATTCATTTGAAACATTTCCATAGTTCTAACACGCAAGAAACACCGATAATAAGTCATCGATTCCACCGAGACGATCTCTCCCCAGCCTCCTACCCGACAACAACCTCGTTTCCCACCATTCACACCGGCAAAACCACCTTGACCCCCATGTACTCGCGCTGATGCATGATCTTCCCCTCGATCAGCACCTGATCCGCGCCCACCGAGTTCCGCACCGAGTCCGTGGGATCCGTACACGTAGCGATCTGAATCTCGCGCCACTCGCGATTCGTGGGGACCAGCTTGCCCTGTGCCGTAAGGTTCCGGAACTCTTTGTAGACCCCTTGCTCCTCGACGCAGCCCTCTCTCTGAATCAGAGGTGAGTCTACAGAAATCATCAGCATTATGCTCCCCCCCCAATTGTCCGGGACCAAATCAAAAGAAAGAAGAAAACTCACCCGAAGCCGGCCCCATCCGCAAATCCCCGACCGAACTATTAAACAGCACCAACGACAACCGCTCCTCCTCCAACTGATCCGCCGGCGGGGTGAACACGCGATGCCGGGTCGCCTTGAAGTGCCCGCCCGAGACGATCTCCAGGGTATCCCCGATGTTCACGACCAGGGCGCCGGGCCGGTACGGCACGTAGTACCACTGCTCGTCGCGGCCCCAGATCTGCAGACACGAGATGGGCACGCTGAAGAGCAGGGTCGTCAGCCCGAAGTCCGTGTGGCCGTGCATCTTGATCCCCTTGGACGCGTCGCGGGTCGCCTGCTGCACGGGCCGGAACAGCGCGTGCCGGAAGTACCCTTCCCCGGTGGGGCTGCCGTGCGACTGCACCTTCTCCCACAGGTAGTCGTCCGGCAGCTCGAGGACGCGCGAGAATAGGGTGAGCAGGCGTCGGTTCACGGATTGCGTGAGGTAGGTGCAGAAGGCCTCGATCTCGTCCATGAAGGGTTGCAGGCACTGTGGGACCCGGGTCGAGGGCGAGGCCCATTCCGGCGTGTACCAGTTGAATTGTTCGATGCCGTCGGCGGGGCCGCGGTGGCGCTGTGAGGGGGGGTCAATTTGCGATCTTTGACGTAAGGGAGAGGGTTGATGTGATGGGATGGGACCTACTTTGAAGCCGTAGGGGTGCTTATAGCCGGACCAGACGCCGGTCTCGGGGTGGAAGAGCAGGCGCTCCTTGTCCTCTTCGCTGATGTTGTTGTAGAGGTATTGTGCTAGGCCAAATTGGCGGTGGAGCTGGAGTTGTGTGCCTGTCAGCGTGGCCTCGACCTAGGGTTGAGTCGTCCCGGGTAACATCTTACCTGCTCTAAAGACACGCCGTAGTTCTCGAGGAACAAGAAGCCATCGTCACGGATGGCTACCTTCACCTGTTGAATCAGATCATTGACCACAGCGGGGTCTTCCGAGTCAAGCAGAGACAGGTCGATGGATTTCAGTTCGGCGAAGTTGTGCTTCTCCTTGGTGACGGGTGGAGGAGTCCAGTTGGGCACAAAGGGTTTGCCTGCGAGTGTAGGCGAGGGGGGGTTGAAGGGGGCGCTTGGTGCCATTTCGATCTTGGGGCTGTAATTTCTAAGGTATCTTCTACTGTGCTGGTTGAAGAAATGTTGACTCGATTGCGATGGGTTCATTTATATGCGCGGTGTTGGACGCCGGGATCCTGTATACGATGTGCTCCGTGGTCATACGAGATTCCATTCCTCTGCCTGCCATTGTCTCTCACCACCAGGGAGAACGACAACTGCTCCTCAGTGAACTCACTCTTCTCTCGTCCTTGAGCTCCTCTATCAGATCGCAGAGCTCCCGCCAAGACCCTGATAAGGACTATCACAGTGGACGCTCTCTACGGGTGGGAGGAGCTCCTCCCGCTTGGCACTCGGGAGGAGCATCGATGATCACTACTTCCCCCTCAATTTCTCAATATTTAAATGCCCATAAACTCTACGAGATAATCCCCATGCCCTAACCAACCAGATCGAACTTCCCAACGCCACATTCCTCCCTAGCTTCAGCAATACCACAACCACAACCACAACCACAACCACCAATCCCCATTCCACCCCAATCAAAATGTCCCGCCAACTCATCTCCAGCGAGAAGTTCCCCCCCAAGCCTCACAACTGTGCGTCCCAGTCCTCATCCCTCCACCCCCACGACCAAAGAACTAACCCCCGACAGGCCCAGCCGTAAAAGTCCCCGGCCTCGTCTTCTGTGCCGGCCAAACCGCCACCGGCGAGATCAAGCAAGCCACAGTCAGTGCCCGGCCCTCCTGTCTTCCCTCAACGTTTAGTCTAACCGGGCGGAACAGCGAACCGTGCTCCAAAACCTCAAAGAAGTGCTCGAACTATCCGGCTCCTCCCTGGAGCAAGTGGTCAAGTACAACGTCTACCTGGCGGACATGAAGGACTTTGCGGCGATGAACGAGGCGTACATTGACTTCCTTCCGAAGCCGATGCCCTCGCGGTCGTGTCTGCAGGCGGTCGCGCCGGGGGCGGGGACGGTGATTGAGATTGAGTGTATTGCGCAGGTTTGAGATTTTCTTGGATAGATGGATAGATTTATTTTTGAGTTATGCAGTTTTTCTTGGGGCTGGGGGTGTAAAGCGGGATTTGGGGAGCTTTGTGAGGTCTATTGTGGGTTCTGTTAAGATGGTTTGCATTCTCCAACACTGAAAGGAAAATTATTGTAGATTGATTTAAGACTTCGCAAATGAGGGAGAGAGAGAGAGAGAGAGACTGTGTGGCTGTGATGTACTGTGCTTTTCACCCCTGGGAATCCCGAAACTTATCATATGAGAGTCATCGCTGCACAGCGCTCCATTGTATATGCTCCGCAAAGATACAACCCACCCACACCGCACATTCCCCAACCCTACCCTACAGTAAAGACCTACGCCACAGCTAAATCAATACATCTCATACCGCCACCCCAAGCGCACCATCTCCTCCGTGACGCCCCCCTTCATCGCCTTGCGCACCTCCTCGTCCACCCCGGAATCCAACCGGCGATTCTCCCGCAGCACCAGCCAGCGGTACGCCGTCATCGTCGCGGCCAGCAGCACCGCGGCGCCCATCAGCGTGCCAAAGGCAGCATAGAAATGCGGCGACGAGTAATACAGATACGAGGCCCAGATGTTCGAGGTGCCGCCGATGGCGTTCACCAGCGCGGACGCCGCGGCACGCTTGGCCACCGGCCGCGCCAGGTGCAGGTTGATGGTCTTGTAGAGGAGGAGCTGGGGGCCGACGGAGGCGAACGGCAGGAGCATCATGGCGAAGTAGCGGGCGCCGATGTTCAGCGTCGCCAGCAGGATCACGTACATGGCGATCGCAATACCAATGCACCCCAGGATCAGCGGGTAGACCGTGTTGCGCCGGTCGGAGTGGAACATGATCCCGTAGTAGACGGCGCCCGCCAGGATGTACGGCGGCGCCGTCAGCAGCAGGCTGACCGTCTCCGAGAAGTTGAGCGAGGAGACGAGGGTCGGGAAGTAGTTGGCGATGGAGCCTTGGGTTTGGGACAGCATGTTGGCCAGGATGAGTAGGATGAGTTTCGGGTCAGCCAGCGCGTGCAGGAACCCCTGCAGCGGGCTTTCTTTCTCCGTGTCCGCGTTGCCCTCGGCCGCGCCGGCTTCGGACTCGATGCGCCACACGGCCAGATCGCGCTGCAAAGGGGAGAGCAGCCGGCTGTTGTGCGGGAACTCCGGCATGATCAGCCCGCACAGCAGTCCGATGCCCACGGTCGCGCTGCCCTCGATGATGAACAGCCACTGCCACCCCGCGATGTTGTGCACCCCGTCCAGCTGCAGGATGGCGGCGGCGAAGAGGCCCCCGAACGCGTTGCCGACCTGCTGCGCGATGTAGAGCCCCGCGATGCGCTTGCCCAGTTCGACCTTCGTGTACCACGCCGACAGGTAGTAGATCGCCCCCGGGAAGAAGACGGCCTCGGCGATGCCCAGGATCGCCCGCACCGCGAGCAGCTGCCCGTAGTTCTTGACTGCCGCTGTAGCGGCGGAGATGCACCCCCAGATGGCCACGGCCACGCAGATGTACAGCCCCGGCCGCGAGATGCGTGTGATCAGGATGTTGCTGGGCACCTGGAAGGGGAGGTACCCCACAAACAAAATGGAGACGGCGGTGGCGAACTGCTCCGAGCTCATGTGCAGGTCGTCGGTGATGCCTTGCAGCTTCGCCGAGGCCAGGTTCTGCCGGTCGATGTAGTTCAGGATGTAGAGGATGCCGATGGTTGGCAGCACCAGCAGGTCGACCTTGCGGACGAGCCGGCGCTGCAGGTCGCGCAGCTCATCGTCGCTGAGGTGGCGCAGGGACTCGGGCATGCGCTCGTCGTAGGGAGTGACTTGACCCTCGTGGCAGGAGGCTTTGTCCGTGATGGACGGTGGGGGTTTGTTGGCGTCCATGTCGGGGAGTGAAGCTGTGGCGGGGGGTTTGTGTGTGTCTGCTGGGGAGTGAGGGGCTGGGGCTGGGGCAGGGGCTGCCATTGTTGTTTTTGGGCAGGTTGTGCATGGATGCAGTTATATGTCATTCGATCAATGCATGGCCATTGGGAGAGTTCATGATAGTAATCACACTCAATTGACCGTATCAGTGACTCGTGAGGTCTTGTGTGGAGATAGCAGATAAGAAGGGAGGAGGGGAGGAGGAGGAGGAGGAGGAGGAGGAGGAGGAGGAGGAGGAGAAAGAAGAGTGCTCCTCCTCCTCCTTCTCCTCCCCCGCCTTATCTGTCAAGCCCTAAAATGCGGAGCTCCTCCCGCCGATAAGCACCGCTGCATTACCCGGAGATCCACCCGAACACGAGACGCCCATTCCACTTCCTAACATACTTAAACCAAGCCTTTGTTGAGCGTATTCCTTCTCATTCAAGTGATTATTTACATTTACAATCAAACACTCAATCCCATCAAGACCCCCCTTCAACCAACCCTCCCTCTCTACCCCTTCCAAAAACCCCAAACCCACCACCACCCACCAAAATGACCCAAAAAACCCCCCCAACCGCACAAACCACGACAATCCAAAACCCGCGCCTCCGCCTTCTCAACAAACTGCGCACCTCCGACTACCCCGTCATGACCTTCATGGCGCTCCCCTCGGTCCGCATGGCGCAAGTCGTGGCCCTCACCGGCGTGGACGGGATCATCATCGACTGCGAACACGGGCACATCTCCGACGACGCGATGCACAACAGCGTGGCCGCCATCTCGGCGCTGGGCGTCTCGCCGATCATCCGGGTGCGGGGCCCGGCGCACGACATCCTCAAGCGCGCGCTGGACACGGGCACGCACGGCATCATGGTGCCGCAGATCAACACCGCCGCGGAGGCGCGGCAGGTCGTCGCCTCCTCCAAGTTCCCTCCCTACGGCGTGCGGGGCCAGGGCTCGGCGTTCCCGGCCATCGGGCACGGGCTGACGACCCCCGAGTATATGGTGTCTGCCAACGAGACGATCATCACCATGGTGCAGATCGAGACCAAGGAGGGGGTCGACAATGTCGAGGAGATTTGCGCCGTCCCGGGCGTCGATTTGGTCTTTATCGGCCCGAATGATCTCGCGCAGGCGCTGTTGGGGTATGTGCCGGCGCGGGGGGATGAGCCGGTGTTCGTCGAGGCGATTGAGAAAATTGTTAAGGCCGGGAGGAAGTATGGGAAGTGGGTGGGGAGGATGGTGAACAATGGGGCGTTGGCGAAGGAGGCGAGGGGGATGTATGATACGGTCGCCATGACGGGGGATACTAAGGCGGTGCAGAATTGGTATATTGCTGAGTTGGAGGTTGCGAGGTCTTAAGTTTGGGAGGTATAGAGGGTTTGGAGGTGGTTGCGGGGCCGGAAAAGATTGCATAGAAGGTTGTACATATTGAATTTCATATCAGGTTTGGTTTAAAAAGGATATCGTGTTTTGCGTGTGAGAGAGACAGCAGTACCGTAGGTTGACGGCCGTAGCTTCAACCACCTCCCCTGCCCAGCTCGTCCAGACATCGCCCGATCAACCGCCCAATCTGCCACCTCTCCCGTCGCCCAAACACCGTCCGGGCCCAGCGCAGCGCCCCCTCCCCGTCGCCATCCGACACCCCGACCACCCCCATCGCCCCCGGCACCCCCCACCGCACCAGCTGCCACGCCACCAAGAATGCCTGGTATGCGTACAGCAGCACCCAGGGCGCCTCCGCCTCCAGGGCTGGGCACCGATCCAAATACCGCAGGAACCAGTCCACGTGCGGCTGCACCGCCTGCACCACCGTGTCCACCTCGCACAGCACCTCGCACGAGGCCGGCGCCAGCCGCGTCGACTGCTGCAGCCACGTGTCGATGCTTGCCCCGACGATGCCGCCCGTGTGCAACGGCGACCACATCTGGAGCTCGAGCATGGCCGTTTCCCAAGTCGCGGCGCAGGTGATGGTGCGGGCACTGGTCGTTCGGGGATTCCCATCGGTGGTGGGATCGAGATCACCATCCGGGCGGAGGTACGGACCCAGCGCCGCGAGGGACGAGCGCAGCGCCCCAAACCGCTCCATGCTTAACATGCCCGTCATCGTGGACCAGCCGGAGATCTCGCGGGCGCTGGAGATGAGGAACTGGGCGATGTTGATGGCGCCGTAGGGGTCGAAGGGGGCGATGGGTTGGATGTCGGCAGCGGGAGAGAGGAAGTGCCGAATTGCGTCGGCGTACTGTAGCGTGGGGGCTTCAGCGGTGGCAGTGGAGCGAGAGGTGAGTTGAAGGTGCGCCCATTCGGCGCTGGTGGAGGCGGACCACTGGTTCTCGGGGCAGGGAAGGTCGTGCTTGATTTCCAGGTGGGAGATGCAGCGGGGGATGGAGAGGAGTTGGTAGTACAGGGCATCGATCTGGTGGACCGCGAAGATGGTTCGCTTGTGCGACTCGGCCTGGATGAAGGCGCGCCAGAGGGAGTCGAGGTCGGAGGTTGAGGCCAGGGAGGAGGTCGGGCTCGGTTGCATGAGGCCCGCCGATCGGGCGAGGGAGATCATCGCTGTGTGCATCTTGAGGCCCTGAGTCGAGCTCTCACCGCAGAAATACATCATGGCGCAGATCTGGAGGAGGAGGTAGGATTGGATGGTGGTCAGGTGCGAGGAAGTGGCTTCGGCGGTGTCGTCGGTGTCGTCTTCATGGCTGGGGATGAGAGCACGCGCACGATGGAAGCATTGCACGGACAGGGTGGCGCCAGACCCGGATGCGTCCTCTCGTTCCGGATCATCACCATATTGGTAGGCAATACTGAGAATGCTTAGGATGAGATATGCGGATACCTGTGTAGGATCGAAGGTTCCTTGGTGTAGAAAGGGGAGAAAGCAGGAAACGTGGTTGAAGAAGAGATCGCGTCCCCGACGGATCTGCAGGTCGGACGGAAACCAGTCGTCCTGTCCGAGCAGCGAGGTATTGGATGGAGATTTGGCCGCAGAATCTGATACACTGGGCGCTTTGTTGCTGGAGGAGGGTGAATCTGGATGCCCAAAAGATGGAGGTTCCGGCAGTAGATTCCAATCGAGTTCGAAAACCTCGTTCAGGGCAGGCTGACTCGGACTCCTCCGGAAGAATCGTGCCGAGGGCCGACGTCGGCTCACTCTTGCTGCCTCGTATTCGTCGCCAGCCCGCTGGAGTCGATGCACCTGCAGCGAGCATGACTGGTGGTGCTCGGGGTGCTTCCGCTTCATATGTCGATTGCGCAAGTCCGGACGGGAGAAGGTCGCGCTGCAATGACCACAGGCCAAGGAGACTTCGCCCGAGGAACGCGAGTGCAGGGCAGCATGGCGCTTGAGGTTTTCATGTCTGGTAAAGCGGCTCTGGCAGATGGAACATTGGAAGGGCTGGTAGGGTGGGACCGGTCGGGTCGAGTGAGCGACCGACATGGTGTACTGCTTTTGATGCAGAGCAAGTGCCCTCACTCCCGAGTCAGGAGGCTGGCAATGCCACCAAGGAAGAAATCCGGGGGACGGAGAGTATTTAACGCTAGGATTGGCGTAAGGTAGAGGTAGTTTTACCCCACCCCCGCAAACAAGATCGCTGCTTGGCGTCAGATCGGCTATTCGGCAATTGTGCTGGGCGAATCACCGCGACTGCTGGCCTGGAAGAACTGTGAGCTCCTAAGTATGCTGGATCCTTCGTGAAACGCAACGTAAACAGATACATAAGAGAAAACATCGACTGCAGTCACGAAAAGCAGATGGAAATATGGATCATCATGGATGCTGGGCTTATCTGATAGCTTGTGATAGCTCACTGAACCCGGTCTGATTGGATGGTGGGATCCGCTGTCGGCCGGGTTATCTTATCTCTGATCGGCCCATGATTGGCCAGCTCACTCCTTTTATCGGCCGCCCTCAACAGCCTGTCCGACCCCCAGTCCCCCCACGTCCTGGTACAGTACGTACTGTAGTACGTACTGGGTAGTACTGTACCTCAGGGCTAGGTCAGGGAGGTACTGTATTTTACCTCGTACTGAGGATTCGCTAAGGATCCCCGGCAAGGCAAGGGCACACCAAAGGGGCCTTGAAATGTGGATGCAAAGGCGATGACGCGGACAAAACCGGGGTGTTGACTGCCCCGTTAACAACCTGCTACTTGTTCTGCCAGGTGCATCCCATTGACACCCGAAAAAACTACATGGCCATTTCACACTAGTAGGGAGGGATTGGCGCTTCACAGTTCAGGTCAGTCTTTGAGTCTCGTATCTCGTGATATTTGTAAGTTTCTTATCCACATTCCCCCAATGCAAGGGTTCAGCCAAGCACCCACTTGATTTCCTATCCCCTACAGGTGGCACTGCCCGTGCACGTTCCGCGAGACCGATGTTCCGTTTAGGGTCAACTGAGAGGAATAGTTAGAGTCGAATCATTATCATCTGTCAAACCAGTAGAGAGACTCAGACTTACAGTCCAGTGGGCATGCTTCTTGCAATAGACAGGCTTCAACCCGTCCGTGCAATTCTCGCGCTCGTAGCTCCAGTCCGTGGGAAATGCCGGGATGCCTAGCCGTTGTGTAAGTCATCATTCCAGACCTCATCCCTTCCACATCACCGCCACAGCCAAGGCTCTTTCTTTTCTTACATTCACCCGCAACCCGATCACCCAAGTCCCAAGCACCGCCGCCCGCACCGACAAAAGCACTGGTCACTTGCTGGATGACGTCGTCACCGGCCTCCTCGATCTTGTCAGTGTTGCTGCAGCAGAGAGGGATGCCGTCACTATAGTCGAGCACGGACTCAGCCGTAGCCACGGCGGCGAGGAGAAGAATGGCAGGCAGTGTGAACTTCATTCTAGGAGCTTCGTATGGCTTAGAGGAAAAAGAAGTAACTCAGGACGATTTCTGGAGAATGGACCTGGGAGCACTTTATGTTCGCTGTTGCGCCAGGGGACAAACAGAAAACGAGGCAGGAAGAAACTTAAAGCTAGGCAGACGCTGTCCCTGGCATGTAGAGCTGAGACGCAGCCATTCGAAAAGCTGGTGTCAGTGAGCCCCTTGCGCTCGGTGTTTGATGGTCGTCTATTTTTGTCAAGGGATGGAGGGAGATGACACGAGCGGTAAGCGTGTTGAATAGATCAGGGATTGTGCGCTTGTTGATGTCTTAATCTTTGTTCCAACTCAATGTATCTGTTGCCGGTAGATCACGCACGCGATGGGTCTTCACGGTCGCGATTAGTATCAGCTTGAAAAGACCGAGTCAAGACTCAAGCCTTCATTTTGCCCGAGAAGTATTTCTGATTGTCGTAGGGAACAGCACTGCAAGGCGAATCATGCAGCGTCCATGGCCCGTTGAGCAACTGCGCAGCAGTCGGTGCAAGCCTTGGATAAGCGCCGGATCGCTTCAAGAGTCGAGTCTCGAGCCGTTTGCGATAAATACAACTCTGCTTGGTGGAGCGTTTTCAGGTTATATATCTCCGAGGCGGGCTGCGGGCTGCGTATGATGCTTGAAGCGAGCGTCTTCATCGCGACAGAAGGGTAGTGGTAAGCGATACTGATCATAGGTCAGAAAATATGGCATCGGTAGAGGAAGAGATTGATCTCACCCGAGATTGATATCATCACGTGGTAGGTATTTCAGCAAGCCGAGGGATGCTCTTGCAGCCTTCGACATGAGCGACGTGGACAGCAGGACACGAGGATTGTCCGAGAACCCGGGTGAGGTGGAAAGGCTCAGGCCGCCAAGAAGATCCTGCGCGGTGTTTACTCCTCTCATGGCAACTAAGGAGTGGATGGCGATCATGCAGTCATAATAGGCATAATGGATGAACAGAAGAGTCGGGAACACTGGCTGTTGTCGGAATGGTGGATTTGCTCCGGATCCAGGCTGTAGTTCGCGGGGAAGTTTCCGCAACCACGCCTGAAGCTTTTGGTCAAACTCGCCTGTGAGAGCAAGTAACTGATCGAAAGACTTGCTGACCGCAGAAGCTAGATATAACTGTCGAACAATCTGGCTCCTGATTTGCACAAGCTCGGCGGTGGGATGGAAGAGATTGAAGGTATCCGATTCGTTCCTTATTGGCACACTGTAGGCGTTTGAGGGGTAACTGATTTGCAACACCTCTGCAAATATGTCTTCTTTCTGCGCTGGAGGAACTCCGAATCGATAAGATATCCTGCTAAAAGTCAGAACAGACACCCAGAGTAGAGGACTTGTTGCACATACTCATTATCCATCGCACAAATCATCAAGAAGAGCAAGTGCCGGTCCTGCCTCTCTTCGACAGGACATCTCAACAGGGATCCTGCATTGCCCAAGTCTAAGTGGTTGCTGATCTGCACAGCAATAGCGATAAGCGAACTACAAGGGTGAGCAGCAGACAACGACAAGAACAAAACAGCCATAACTAAGATCGATTTGCATGCCCAGAGATCAGGAGGTGCGAGTAAAATCTCATTGATAGCTTGCAGGGCGCCCTTCATAAAGAGTGAGCTGATCTGATGGTCAGGCTGACCTCTTGTGGATGGAAGCATGTAGGCGACAGCCAGAATGACATGAATGCTGGTCCATTGGCCTGGGCCGTGCAAGTGTGGATCCGCGTAGTTACCGGCAAATAATGAGTCAATATCTGCCTGAGTAAATACCGGGAGGGTTATGTTGAATTTCTCCATGTAGTCATGTAAGAGTTGCGTCAAAAGCTCCGCCCTTGGGAACGAGGCAAATAGCTTCCTGGGTGGCAACAAAGAGCTCAATTGAGGCTCGGAGGCCACACTGCCCAGAAGAAAATCAAGATGGCTCGAGTCTGCCTTTTGTGATATCCAGTCCAACCCTTCATTCGTCAAGACCGAAAAACCTGCGCTAATGTTAGACAGAGAATGAATTTCAGGTTGTGGTCCGACTTACATCCCGCACCTGTGTTGCTGAGACACCTGGGGATGTAGAAGCATGGGGGTCTCTCTTGATGCAGACTCAGTCCATTCTCCACGCGCACGGGACGAACAACGCTATCTGAGCGCATGGTTGTAGAGACTGGCTGTTGTTGATCCAAAAAGTCTTCGATATCGAAATCATCGAGAGGATCCAACCCGGGGTGGTTGGTTTCCGCAACAGGTAGACCGGTGTCATCAGGAGGCGTGTCCGGCAAAGAACCCATCTCTTCCGCACCCGTGCCGAAGATGCTACTTAGATGGGTTTCCAGTCGCTCCAGCTTGCCTTCGAGGTGGTTGATCATCGCCTCTCTTCACACAAGCAATTAGTGAATGACTTTCCCTGGTGGCTGACGCGTGGGGCTCACCCACCGTCGCAAGATGGTTTTATATCGCTGTTCGTTCCGAGTGCAAGAGATGCCCATCTTCTCGCAGCGGGAGCACCTGGAGTTCATGGAGGAGTCGCATTTGGTTTTGCTGCGGCGACATGCTTCACATGCCTGATGGAATTTTGCCGTCTATCAGAACACAAATCAGATAGCAAAGGGTCATGGTCACGCATACCTTCCGCTTCTTGAGAATGTCATGATGTTCGTGGCGTGACTGCGAGAGAGGCGACCCTCGCGTGTTAGATGATGAAGATGAAGAAGAGGGAGGCCGGTCATGGTGTGCGTTGAGCATGGCTTTGGAAACGGTAGCAAGGAGTAGTGATGACAGTGGACGGACTGACTGATTACCTATTACTGTGCTGAGGTACAGTACGTGGCTGTAGTACTTACTGTCTCCGTACCCTAGGTTAAATCAACTGACTCCACCTTTAACAGCGTTATCAGCTTTAATACCCCCTGATGGCTGCACACGATAGACTGCCGTGTATCATTCGTACGGGAAAGTTTCACCTACCATGACAAAAGTCTGCGCTGAGAGTCTACGGGCCAATGATAGGGATCGATTGCTTATACGCTAAGTCCCGTTGGGGTCTTCGGAGGCCGGATGTTGGGCAGAATCTAGAGGGCGGTAAGTATTGGCTGTGTAATGATACAGCAGCTTCTCCGGACCGTTAGCCTGCCGATCATCTTTTGCTTCTCTCCTTCTCCACTCCAACTCCCCTCATCTCAATTCTCAATTCTCAATTCTCATCCGAGCCCACTGCAGTCATTCCATCATTTTCGCCCTTGTGAAAATCATGTGGCCACGATCTTCAGGCTCTCGACCTTTTCTCTGATACAAAACTCTTGGCAAACACCGCGCCTCAGTGAGGGCTGGGCCATGATGTCGTCGTTAGTTCGATCCATTGTATGTACAGGACAGTACAGTTCACAGCCACCGGCACACCGAGAATTCAGCCCATTGATTGACTTCGATAGTGGCCCCGTGGGTCCAGCCAGATCATCCACGCTTCTTTCGGCTCCCGGACGTTCACTCAATCTTTAACTCGGGTCCAGGGACTGGTCTCCACCCCCCTGACTCTGGGTCTTACACCCTCTGGTTGGTCCGGATGCCGGACACTCGCTGCTGACGCCTAGCTGGTACTTCTCATTTGCAACATGTGTCACAATTTCGATTATTATGTCCTGCTTATACAATCCCGTTCGGGCCTACGGGTGTTCGCCCTGCACGATGAGCAAATACGATCGGGTTGTCAACGCTCCGCAAGCGGGTCGTTCTAGAAGCCGCGCGGTCCAACAACTATGTATATCTAGTTCATCCTTCGCCAACTCCTCACCTCTGCTCTAGATTTATGGTCACTCAAGCGACTGGTCGGTCTCTTTGATCCAGACATTCTTTTCAGTCAATCAAGGTACCTTCGAAGGACGCAGCGCCTTCTGTCGGCCGATCGGACCTCAGGGGCCTCCACCACACTACCAGGCGCCCTTTCCTCCCTCTTCGCCTATTTTCTTGTTTTCAAGCTTACTTGACCCATGCGAACAAACCCGTGAACAGCATTTCCCCCGATCATGTCGTTCGTCCCTACTACCGGCACCAACGCCGGGCGGGCCCAAGAGGTGGTTAGCCACAACCTGCCGCAGAATAGCGGGGCAACCTACCATGACGATCCAGCTTCGGGACCAAAGGAATTTGACCAGGAAGCCAGCGAAGATGACGCGACGCTTCAAGGACGAGAGGACAAGATGGAGGCTCGAGTGGGTGATCTCGCACGCCGGCTCACTCGACAGTCCACCCGCTACTCAACCAAAGCCGACCTTGAGAACCCCTTTGTCAATACTGACCCGGAATCGACGCTGAATCCACACAGTCCCAATTTCCAAGTGAGAGATTGGATCAAGATGCTCCTCGCCATTCGCACGCGTGACCCTGAGCGTTACCCCGACAGAACTGCAGGTGTGGCTTTCAAAAACCTGAGCGTCCACGGTTACGGCTCGCCCACCGACTACCAGAAAGACGTTCTCAATTCGCTTCTGGAATTTGGAACCCTAATTCGCAAGCTCATGGGCGCCAAGATGCAAAAGATCAACATTCTGCGCGAGTTTGACGGGCTCGTCAAGTCAGGAGAGATGCTCATTGTACTTGGCAGACCCGGTTCGGGGTGCACGACCTTCCTCAAGACAATCTCCGGGGAGATGAACGGTATCGAGATGTCGGAGGAATCTATGCTGAACTACCAAGGTATGTTCTTTCTATATATCTGTCCGATGGCCTTGTCAGTGCTTACGTTGAGTGCTTTCTTCAGGTGTCCCTGCGAAGGAGATGCACAACGCCTTCCGGGGCGAAGCCCTCTACAACGCTGAGACAGATGTTCACTTCCCCCAGCTGAGCGTTGGTGACACGCTCCAGTTTGCCGCATTGGCCAGAGCTCCCCGTAATCGCCTCGGGGGTGTCAGCCGTCAACAATACGCCGAGCATATGAGAGACGTGGTCATGGCGATGCTTGGTCTTTCCCATACGATCAACACCCGCGTCGGCAACGATTTCGTCCGTGGAGTTAGCGGTGGTGAGAGAAAGCGTGTTAGTATCGCGGAGGCAATGCTGAGTCAAGCTCCACTGCAAGCATGGGATAACAGCACCAGGGGTCTAGATTCTGCGAACGCTCTTGAATTCTGCAAGAATCTAGCCCTGATGAGCAAGTACACTGGCACTACAGCCTGTGTTGCTATTTACCAAGCTTCTCAAAGCGCATACGACGTTTTCCAGAAAGTGACCGTGCTGTACGAAGGAAGACAAATCTATTTCGGACCAACCACAGAGGCCAAACAATTCTTTGTTGACATGGGCTTTGAGTGTCCTGACCGGCAAACAACGGCTGATTTCCTCACGTCCCTGACTTCGCCCTCAGAACGACAGGTCCGCCCAGGCTTTGAGAACCGTGTCCCCCGCACTCCGGATGAGTTCGCGGCTGCCTGGAAACAAAGTAGCGCGAGAGCTAAACTCTTGAGAGAAATTGACGAGTTTGAAAGTCAATACCCACTCAAGGGCTCTTCGTACGAGGCCTTTGTGGATGCGCGACGGGCGATGCAGGCAAAGCATCAACGCCTAAAATCGCCTTATACCATTTCGGTTTGGGATCAAATCTCTCTCTGTACGACTCGTGGATTCCAAAGACTCAAGGGCGACATGAGCTTAACTCTCTCTGCCCTCATTGGTAATTTTATCATCGCCCTGATCGTCGCATCCGTTTTCTTCAATCTTCCGGACAACACCTCGAGCTTCTATTCGCGGGGAGCATTGTTGTTCTATGCAGTTCTGCTCAACGCCTTTTCCAGCGCCCTTGAAATCCTGACACTCTATGCGCAGCGCCCAATTGTGGAGAAACAGGCACGATATGCATTCTACCACCCGTTCGCGGAAGCAGTAGCGTCCATGCTGTGCGATACTCCCTACAAGCTACTGAACTCGATCACCTTCAATCTGCCTCTATATTTCATGACCAACCTACGTCGGGATGCAGGAGCGGTTTTCACATTCTGGCTGTTCTCCGTGGTAACCACCTACACCATGAGTATGGTTTTCAGAACGATCGCTGCGACATCTCGTTCGCTCTCGCAAGCCTTGGTCCCCGCTGCTCTGCTTATTCTTGGCATGGTCATTTACACTGGATTCGTCATTCCCACTCGGAACATGCTCGGCTGGTCTCGCTGGATGAACTATATCAACCCCGTGGCCTACGCGTTCGAGTCGTTCCTCATTAACGAGTTTTCCGGTCGCAAATTTGAGTGCTCGAGCATCGTTCCATCCGGATCGCAGTACGATTCAGTGTCCATGGACTATCGCATTTGTTCCACGGTTGGTGCCCAAGCTGGGTCAACAGTCGTGGACGGGTCACTGTACCTCAAGCAGAGTTACCAGTATACCACTGGGCATGAATGGCGCAACCTGGGAATTCTCATTGGGTTTATGGCTTTCTTCGCCTTCGTCTACCTGGTCAGCACCGAATACATCTCGGAGCAGAAGTCCAAGGGAGAGGTGCTGTTGTTCCGTCGGGGCCACCAGGCAACCCTGCCTACAGAAGGAGACGTCGAGGTCCAACCCAGGCCCGGTGGTGCAGTGAAGACCGAGACCAGTGGCGACCAAGAAGGTGTCCGCATTCAGAGGCAAACCGCGATCTTTCACTGGGAGGATGTGTGCTATGATATCACCATCAAGGGTGAAGACCGACGGATTCTGGATCATGTGGATGGCTGGGTAAAGCCTGGAACTTGCACGGCTTTGATGGGTGTCTCCGGAGCAGGGAAGACCACGTTATTGGATGTTCTGGCCACTCGAGTCACGATGGGCGTCGTGACTGGCGACATGTTAGTTGATGGCAAGCCCCGCGATCAGTCGTTCCAAAGAAAGACTGGTTACGTCCAGCAGCAGGATGTACACCTCCCTACGTCGACTGTCCGTGAAGCACTTCAGTTTAGTGCTCTGCTCCGCCAGCCAGCCCACCTTAGCCGGAAAGAGAAACTGGACTACGTGGACGAAGTTATCAAGCTACTGGGAATGGAGGCCTACGCCGATGCAGTCGTCGGTGTTCCTGGCGAGGGCTTGAACGTCGAGCAGCGTAAACGTTTGACTATTGGTGTTGAACTTGCGGCCAAGCCTCAGCTCCTGCTTTTCCTTGATGAACCGACGTCCGGCCTTGATAGTCAGACTTCATGGTCGATCCTGGACCTTATCGATACTTTGACACAGCATGGACAAGCCATTCTTTGCACCATTCATCAACCGTCCGCCATGTTGTTCCAGCGGTTCGATCGCCTTCTGTTTCTAGCAAAGGGGGGCAAGACCATTTACTTCGGCGATATCGGTGAAAACTCGACGACTTTGTCCGATTATTTTGAGAGGAATGGAGCTCACACTCTGAAAAATGGAGAAAATCCTGCCGAATGGATGCTTGACGTCATTGGCGCGGCCCCCGGGTCCAAGACCGACATAGACTGGCACAAGGTGTGGAGAGAGTCGCCAGAGTACACGGGAGTGAAACAACACCTGTCTGAGCTTCGGTCAACCCTATCTGCCCAGCCCAAGGATGATTCCGATCCGGAAGCCCTGAAGGAATTCGCCGCACCGTTTCACATCCAACTTTACGAATGCCTGGTTCGGGTGTTTGCGCAGTACTACCGCACCCCAACCTATATTTGGAGTAAAACTGCTCTATCTGTCTTAACCGCTCTCTACATCGGTTTCTCCTTCTTCCACGCGAGTAATTCGATCCAGGGCATGCAGAACCAGATGTTTTCCATCTTCATGCTGATGACCATTTTCGGCAACCTTTGTCAGCAGATCATGCCGCTCTTCTGTACCCAACGTTCGCTCTATGAAGTGCGTGAACGGCCCTCCAAGGCCTATTCCTGGCAGGCCTTCATGACCGCTAACATCCTGGTCGAATTGCCATGGAACACCTTGATGGCGGTCCTGATGTTTCTTTGTTGGTATTATCCCATTGGCTTGTACAACAACGCCAAGCCCACTGACGCAGTCAACGAACGCTCGGCACTCATGTTCCTTCTGATCTGGGTCTTCCTTCTCTTCACGTCCACGTTCGCTCACATGGTCATTGCTGGAATTGAATTAGCTGAGACCGGTGGTAACATCGCAACGCTTCTCTTCTCCCTCTGCTTGATCTTCTGCGGTGTCTTGGCTACCCCGGATGCGATGCCGGGATTCTGGATCTTCATGTACCGTGTATCGCCCTTTACGTATCTGGTCTCAGCAATGCTGAGCACGGGTATCTCCGGGACAAATGCGGTTTGCGAGTCCATTGAATATCTGACTTTCAACCCCCCGAACAACCAGACGTGTGAGAGCTACATGAAGGCCTACATCAGCGTCGCGGGTGGGTACCTGGAAGACCCATCGGCGACGTCGAACTGCCAGTTCTGTACCATCAGTAGCACGGACACGTTCCTTGCATCCGTGTCCAGCTATTTCTCCGACGCGTGGCGTAACTTTGGGATTATGTGGGTATACATCATCTTCAACATTGCGGCCGCGGTGGGGATTTACTGGTTGGCCAGAGTTCCCAAGTCGGCTGGCAAGGCCAAGAAGGCGTGATTTGACTGCTACATTTACGTTCGCGTGCGGTGCTGTGTGCTGCTATAACCCACTGCCTATCATTGAAACTGGGGACTGTCTAGAATGTCTTTGTCGTTTGCCACATTCCTTCCAGCATAGCCCCGATATACCACCCCCTTACCTTTGTCGTCTAGACTCACTTCATCTACTCGACTCATTTATTATTACTTTCTTGACTCTCGTTCAATCACCTTTCTGTATCGCTGTTTATTTTTCCATCGCTTTACTTCTTCGCGGAACTGCTGTATGCAAATGTACCACCAGGTACCGCTGCTTCGACTCTTCTGTCCTTATTTTCTTCATGTTACTCTCTTACTCGGTTATATCACCTAGAGCCTTTGCTTAGAGTATAGATCACATTCTCTGAATACTTCTTTTCTTGCACTCTTTGCTCATATAGATGTTTCAATTCGCAACTTCACCGTGAATGTGTGCTTTGACATAGGGTACGATTTGAAAGAGATAGGAGATACTCATTATCGTTGTCTCTATCAGTCCCGAGATAGGAATATAAGATCAATATATGCATTTCACTCGAGCTTTCTATAGCTCTCAGCAAATATAAGCGATGGAGCAAAGACTGCTCCATAGGCTCCAGACATCCCCCGACAGGAGAGCCTACTCAGTGAACAAATTACCGCTCATATATTTGAGCCCCGTATCCACTGCCACCGTGACAACCGTCTTCCCCGGCCCCAGACGCTTTGCCAACGCAATCGCCGCGACAACATTAAGACCCGTCGACGTGCCGACCAGCAAACCCTCCTCCCTTGCCAGACGCCGACACATCGCGCGCGCCTCTTCCTCGTCAACCGCACACGCCTCGTCAAACAGCTCGCGCTCCAAATGCGGCGGCACGAACCCGATCCCGATGCCCTCAACACTATGTTTCCCCGGCCGGCCCGCCGTAATCGTCGGCGACGACGCTGGCTCCAGCACCGCAACATGGGTGGCCGGCCACTTGGCCTTAAGCACCCTAGACACGCCCATCACCATCCCAGCGCCGCCCACCGCGCCGCAGAACGCATCAATCCCGCCCGGAAACTGCGCCACCAACTCAACCCCAATCCCCTCATACCCAACCCTCGCATCCTTATTGTTAAACTGATCCGCAAGGTAAAACTCCTCGCCCCGCGCGAGCTCGTTCGCGCGACGAACCATCGACGGGATCAGGTCCGGCGTGATGCCCGCGGGACTGGGCACCAGGTCCAGCGTGGCGCCCAGCGCCTCCATCGTGCGCAGCTTCTCCCGCGCAAAGGCGTCGGAGGACACCACCCGGAAGGGGTATTTCTTGGCCGCGCAGATGAATGCCAGCGACGAGCCTGTGCTCCCGCCTGTCGCCTCGACCACGGTCATCCCCGGCCGCAACGTGCCGCGCCGCTCGGCTTCTTCGATGATCGATCGCGCCATGCGGTCTTTGTATGAGCCTGTCGGGTTTAGGAATTCGAGCTTGATGTAGATCGCGGCGCTGTTGGGGGGCACCACGTGGTGGAGGCGGATGACGGGGGTGTTGCCGATTGCGTCGAGGATGTCCCTTGCGGGAGGTGGGGGGTGGTTTGGCATTTTTGATGTTGGGGGTGGGATGTTGGGGATATTATTGGGGACGGCGCTGGACTAGGTGGGCAGTCGTGGTGTTAACGAGGGTGGTGAATTGAGTGATATTGAAACCGCAGCTCTCATGCAGATGAAGGTTGGATTTGAGTAAAAAATAGGTTCTGTGCTAGTAGAATTGGTACTTGTAGTCACAGTTGACGAAGATGGAAGTATGAGTTCAGATCCATGATCCATCTCGACCTCCTGCGGTATCGGCTGGATCCACCGCATCCGAACCGCCGGCTGGAATTGTCTCGATGCGGTAATTGCCTCGACCTTGGCGGTGGAGGAGCTCTTGGCCGGAAGTTTTACCTAATGCCCAGCAGAGACTCGAAGTTCGAGGTGTTTACCTTATTTGGACCTCCGCGGAGATACCATCCGTCAACTCGGTGTCCTTCGCTAGATTGATATCAGTCCACTCACGATGGTTGATGCTCTTTCACCTGTTCGACTAAGCCGTGTGCTCTCGCCAAGCACTTCGTTCGGGAGGATTGCAACACTTTTAGGAAAGTCACATCATCTTTCTCTCGCATTGATTGTCCTCAAAAATGATATACTAGGCGTAGCACTTGTTGAACACCATATACTCCTCTTTTTCGGGGGAATCCCGGGATCTGGCCGGCTGCCAAGCCCTATGGGGCGGATCGAGCCAGTCGGGAGGCTTGGATCCGGATCCGAGTAATGCCAGACTCCGGAGTTCTGCCTTCTGCCCGCCCCGAGCTGCTCGCCGCCTTGGAGTCTTCCGGTAAACCACGTCAAGCTGGCCGGGGTTTACGTATTAAAAGCTTGACTTAGGGTTCAAAGTCAGACAAGAATGGTTATGCGTACCTTAGAACTTCACACGGTGGTACTCCTGGGTTTCCGAAATGTAAATAAATGTGGTTGTGGACAAAAGAGCGTTTGTCCCACAGCCCAATAACCTTCCACATTCTTCCGGCAGTGTACGGAGCTATATACAGCTCCAGCTGTGAACAGTAATAACTTTCTCATTTTTATTGCTCTCTTCTGCTTGCTGCGCTCGTTAGACAATTAGTGAAGATAAGTTTTTAATCAATTTAGAACGAACGCCATAGGCGACAAAGCTGAAAGAAGAACATAAACCGCAAGCCATAATCTCCGACTGATCCACCGGGTAACAGAGGGTATAGTAACACCATAAATTCGCCGATAGAAACGCCACTGTAACGCAGAAAACCATAAGACTTAACAAAGCGAGTCAAAAAGGAACCTCCCAACGATGTGTCAACCGCAGTCGCTACTCCAACATAGCCACCAGCAATCTCTGATAATCCCCGCTTGTCTCCCCCTTCACCCGCTGGATTAGATCGGTCCGATAGCGGTGGTGGTAAGCGCGTTTAACGGTTTCCATGTGTGGGCGATTCCAGTGGAGGCGCACCACGCGGATCACCAGTTGGTTGTCCTTTGTCCCCATGCCCTTCATGGATTCTTCCAGCAGGACCGCGTCGCGCATCGCCGGATCCAAGGCCGTCCGAAGCATATACAGCAGCGCGTCCTTCATGTGGCCGGAGAACTCCTTTTCGATGTGCGATTCCAGCGAGAGATGGTACCGGGTGGCGAACGCCTGGTTGAGCGCGCGGAGTTCGTTGTCGGAGCTGCGCGCAAAGAGGGCGGTGACCTCGTCCGCGTTGTTGACGATGCGGGCGGCCGTGGCGCCGTGGAGGTTCTGGGCCTCGCTCTCGATGAGGCGGTAGTCGACGGGCATGCTTTCCTCGTGGCGCGCGGCGCGCAGCACGGCGGTGAAGAGGGTCTTGGTCTTGAAGGAGAGGTCGTCGGCGACGTCTTGCTGGAGCGAGCGCCCGCGGTAGGTGCGCTCGTAGGCGGCCTGGATGGCGCGGAGATCGGCGTTCGAGCGGCCGAGGAGGACCTCGTTCAGCAGCCATTCCTTAGTGCCGAGCCCCTGCACGGCTTCGCGGGCGAGCGCCGTGTCGTGGGCTAAGGGTCCGTCGATGATGGCGAGCAGCCCCTGGCGGAAATAGCCGCTCGTCTCGGACTTGACGTCGGCGTAGAGGTCCCGGCGGATGTGCGATTGGTACGTGGCGCGGACGGCGGCAACCTGCAGCGGATCCAGTCTGGCCAGCACGGCGATCAGGGTCTTCTCATCGGTCCCGAAGCCTTTCATCGCCTTGCGCAGGACGTCGGCTTCACGTCGAAAATCCCCGGGGGCCATCTGGCCGGGCGCATAGCCGAGCGATGGGAAGGCGGGAGGGGGGCCGTATCCTTGCTGTTGAGGAGGTGGAGGTGGGTTTTGATAGTTGTTGGCGGGGTATCCGTGCTGTTGAGCTCCTCCTGGTGGTGGCAACCAGCCAGGCGCCGAAGGTTGATGGCCATATGCACCGTGCGGTCCGGGGTAAGGTGCTGGATGCCCTTGTGCTTGATTGTAGTTCCACTGGCCTGGTGGGCCTTGGCTGTGCGGTGGCTGATGGTACGGATTGTAAGACATATCTGTCTAATAGCTGATAGTCCGGCAACGGTTTACTTGACTATAATGTGGTGGAAGAAGGTAGATTCACTTTGAAGCAGCGTATGTTTGCAAGTATGCGAGGAGGTGAGTGGAAGGAAGGAGTCATTTCAATGCTGCGAACATTTTGCGATGACGAGAGGGGACGGAGGCGCTTCCGGACCGAACCGTGGTTATGACTGTGGCGCAGCCTAAGGCCGACCTCGCAGTGTGGCTGAGCTGGTTGTCCCCATGGCTGGGATGACATCATTCCTGTGGTTACATGACATAAGTACTATGTAGAACTACTCTGAATAAGTAAGTATTTACATATGCTCAGCCCCGCAAGGTTGAGACTAGATTGAAATATCACCGTCAGCCCCGCAGATGCAGGGACGGCCGATGCGGTTGGCCGCCGTAGATTGAGGCCCTTGTACGGCATGTACGTCCACCGTCGCGCTGATTTCTTGGGAGGCCTTAGACTTTGCCTTGCAAACCTGTCTGGGATCCTACCTAATATCATACTGATTTTTCCCCTCAATCGTATATTGTATTAAGACCAGTTCTATCTATTCTGATGATGATTGTATATGCAAGTAATGATGCGGTTCTACTAAGGGATTTTATCAGATCTGGTAACATATCACGAGATTCAGCATGTGATCCTTACACACAATCAATATCATCATAACTCACAAATAAACGGCTCAGTGCTTCCGGGCTAGGGTTCGTGAAAATGTTCCTGTCCTGATGGCCATTGGTGGTTACTAGTAACTAGAATCGGATGCTCCTTCTTTGGAACTCAGACTGAATCTGCTTATCGCTCAAGGATGGTTGGCTGGCGATATATCAGCTCCGTACGGACCTCCGCCAGCCACTGCCCCAAGCGCGTAGACTAATGCAATTCCCAGAATTATAAGCTTGATGCTCCCCCTTTTAAGCTTCGAGTTCCCCACAACCTGTCTCAGTGTTGACTCCCGAACCAATGGAGAATATTCACACCTGTGGAGATAATGAGTTCGGTCCGCAAGCCGGCCACGGTTGTCGCGGCGGATTTGACTTCACCCTGCTCTTTGAAGAATGTTTCTTCTCAATCGCGCCCTCAGTCCTGCTCTTGCTCATTCTTCCCGTTCGTTGGAAACAGCTGCGACCTGGGCGGATTCGGAAGGTCTCGCAAAGTGGGCTCTACTGGGCCAAGTTGGTACGAATTTCTCCACCGGGTCAAGGTTGTAGCTATGGTATTGACACAATGCCGTTTCTAGGGCCTCGGACAAGCATTTGGGGCAACTCAACTAGCGTTGCTGATTGTTTGGCTCTTGCCTCATGCACCACGAACACAAGCTTCCCTACCAGCTGCGGCTTTGTCTTTCGCGGCCTCACTTGGTCTATTGCTACTGTCGCATTGGGAACATCTGTTCTGTATTCATCCTTCCCACATTCTTAACCTTGCTTTATCTGTGTCACTTTTTCTCGACGCGGTGCGCGCCAGAAGCCTATGGCTTGCGTTTAATACCACCATTGCGGGACTCTACTCAGCAAGTATTGCGATCAAGGTCGTCTGGTTTTACCTGGAGTCCCACTCAAAGCGTGGGCTTCTGAAGAATACTCAAGTTCAGTACGGCAATGAGGAAGTTACTGGTCTCTACAGTCGCGTCTTTTTCTGGTGGGCAAACCCCTACCTCTTTCTGGGATTCAAGTCTCTTTTTTCTATTGACGATCTGCCGCATCTTGACCAAAGCCTATCTGCCCATGTGCTGCATGAGCGTTTGCGTGACTCATGGAACCGAGGTACGCGACAATCCTCATATGTGAATCCATATATATCGGCTTTTATATCTGATCTGCAAGACAGCGTCAAAATCTTCACACAATGCTTTGGCTTACTGCTCTATGTACACCTTCAAGTCCTCGATAGTCTGTTCCTTCATGGAGAGAATAGCAGTTATCGGACTCAGCTACTCGCAGCCGTTTCTGATCACGGCATTAACTGACTATGTCGAGGAAACCAAGCCTGACCGGAACAAGGGATATGGCCTGATAGGTGCATTTGGACTTGTCTTCTTGCTCAAAGGGGTAAGAACCACGATATAGTGTCACACTGGTGACAGACAAGCCCATACCTAATCCATTGGTGCAGATCTTCAACTGTCTCTATCAGCATCACAACTACCGCCTGATGACCAAAGTCAGAGGCGCACTAGTGTCTTTAATCTATCAGAAGACCCTGACTCTGCAGTTTGATGAGAACAGCGACTCGACCGCCTTAACTCTGATGAGCAATGACATCGACAATATCGCGTTCGGACTCCAAAACATGCATGAAGTGTGGGCAAGCCCCGTGGAAACCGGCATTGCACTGTACCTGTTACAGCGGAAAGTCTCGTGGGTGGCGGCCGTTCCAGCCTTTATTTCACTCGTGGCCATGTCATCTACGCACCTTCTTTCCAGTTCAATGCCCAGTCGGCAGAAAGCATGGATGCAGGCAGTACAGCAGAGAGTGGCGTTCGCATCTAGCTATCTGAATTCCTTTGCCGCGATTAAGATGCTGAATCTGCATTCTCGCTTGGGACTGATCATGCAGCAGTTACGGATCGATGAGTTGAACAGAGGGACGAAGTTTCGCCATGTTATGGTTAAAATGAACTTGCTTGGTATGGTTCCCGCCGGGTTGTCAAGGAGCTCGAGTTGTGAAAGCTAATACGTGCGTGCAGGTGGTGCAATTGAAAACTTGAGCCCGGTACTTACATTGAGTATCTATGCGGCCATCGCCCTGCATACGGGTCGAGTCCCCTTGGATATGGCTGCGACTTTCACAACCCTCTCCATTATTTCTCTATGGAGCACTCCGCTTTCAAACCTTGTTTACTCAGGACCCCGAGTGGCAGGAGCCCTGGAAAGCACCCAGAGGATCCAAGCCTATCTTACAGCAGATACAAACCTGAACGTCGTACAGACCAACCACAAACTAACATTGCCGCATCCAAATCAACCCCAGTCGAGGTAATGACTGAAACTGCAGGAACCATTGAGCTCTTTCCAAGTACAAGCAAAGTCGAGACGATCGGCGTTTCCACGGCTGATCTGGTTCATGCGTCTGACGCGGACTTCGGCTGGACAAGCACATCAGACCCTACACTGTCGAATGTGAACATCAAGATTCCTCCTTCCTCCTTGACAATGGTCGCTGGACCAGTTGGCTCGGGTAAAAGCACCCTACTGAAAGCATGTCTGGGCGAAGTGCCTTGTCTCAAAGGCTCTATCCATATCAACGTTTCCAACGTCGCGTATTGCGGTACGAAGGCATGGATCCGTAATCGCTCGATTCGGGATAACATCTGCCACCCCCTCCCGTATGAAGAGGAGTGGTACCGCACTGTCCTTCATGCAACAGCTCTCGATCACGACATTGATACCCTACCTGAGAAAGACCTCACGGTCATTGGCAGCAACGGCATCTCAATGAGTGGTGGACAACGGCAGCGAGTTGCCATTGCTCGTGCAGTGTATGCGCGGACAAAGCTAGCCATCTTTGATGATGCGTTGAGTGCCCTGGATGCTACCACCGCTGCTCAGGTCTTTGCCCGCGTATTTGACTCTCAGGGTATCTTACGTCGTAATGGGGCTGCAGTAATACTGGCGACACATGAGTGGAGTCATCTAGCTCATGCTGATCACGTAATTCACATGGACCAAGGGAGAATTGTCGAGCAGGGACCTCCTGAAGCCCTTCGGATATTGAGAGACCACTTTGTGCAGGAAGATATCAGAGATAGATCCCTTCAACAAAGGAATTCGGATATAGAGCCACAGAAACCCCAGCCCGGCAACCCATCGAAGTCTGATGAGGACTTAGCACGGCATAAAGGAAATTTGCACGACTATGCCTACTATTTTCGCACATCGGGCGGGTGGTCAATGGTGCTCTATGCAGGAGCGCTGGTTGTTGGGCTCTTCAGTGCGCAATTCACCAGTGAGTGAGCCTCAGGCATACGTGTACCCTTCTTACATGACACTAATCCGCTCTCTCAGGTCTTTGGGTTCAGTGGTGGGCGGAGACAAGTGAGATGAATCCCTTCGCACAGCTGGCGCAGTATATTGGCGTTTATACCCTCTTAGCAGTGGCGGCGGCAGCCCTCTGGGCCTATTGCATGTGACTCGTCTTCTGTCGCATCGTCCCCACGTCCTCAAGTCGACTCCATGAGCACCTGGTCACCAAAGTCAAAGACGCACCGCTATACTGGCATACATCCACCGACACGGGGGTCATCCTCAACCGCTCCAGCCAAGACATGACAATGATAGACCGGTCGCTCCCAGCGGACTTCTCGAAGACATCCAACTACCTCGTTCAGTGTGTCATCAGCGTGGCTTCCATTTGTGTCGGAGCCAAATACATGGCCACACTGATCCCTATCACCGTGTTCGTCATTTACTGGATCCAGAAATTCTATCTTCGCTCGTCGCGGCAGCTCTGTCATCTCGAATTAGAAGCCAAGTCGCCACTGTATACCCAATTCACCGAGACCCTTAGCGGCCTTATCACTATCCGTGCCTTTGGATGGCGGGATAGCCTTCAGGCGGAGCATAGGGATCTGCTTCAGGACTCCCAGCGACCGTACTACTTCCTGTTCGTCATTCAACGCTGGTTGACCCTCGTGCTAGATCTGCTTGTCGCGGCTCTGGCAGTCATGTTGGCTGTTTTCGCAGTCTTTGTGCCTAACATAGGCCCCATCGGAGTCTCGCTGATATCCCTCATCACATTCAACGAACAACTCGCCGAGCTTATCAACTGCTGGACGTCTCTAGACACCAGTATAGGCGCCATAAATCGGATCCAAAACTTTGGAAAGGTCCCCACCGAGAACCTTCCTCAAGAAACCCAGACCCCGCCGCTTACCTGGCCATCTGAAGGATCGATCGTCTTTCAGAATGCGACCATGGCTTACGCACCAACCGCGTCCCCCATTCTCCGGAATATAGCACTAAGCATCCCCGCCGGTTCCAAGCTAGGCATCTGCGGCCGCACTGGCAGCGGTAAAAGCTCTCTCGTTCTAGCTCTCCTTCGCATGATCGAGATTCAAAGCGGGGACATAAGTATCGATGGCGTGAGTCTGCAATCCTGTCCGCGTGATAGCATCCGCAGCAAGATCACCGTGATACCCCAAGAGCCCGTTCTATTCCCCGGGACGATCCGAGAGAACATCACCACGTTCCAGACCATGGATGACGATCGGGTGCTCCGTGCTTCGGAGAAGGTCCAGCTTCGAGAGTATGTCGCAACCCACGGTGGTCTTGACAAGGGTATAGAGGACTTGCCGTTGTCGGCGGGCCAGAAGCAGCTGCTTTGTTTGGCGCGGGCTATCGTCTCGAAACAGAAGATTCTCTTGCTGGATGAGGTGACGAGTCACGTAGATGATGAGACAGACCGGGTCATGCAGCGGGTTGCTCAGGAGGAGTTTCGCGGATGTACTGTCGTTGCGGTTGCGCATCGGGTGCACATTTTGGTGGATTATGATCGGATTGCGGTGCTCGAGGATGGTCGGGTGGTAGAGTATGATGCGCCGGCGGCGTTGCTTGGGCGTCCGGGGTCGGTGTTTGGGCGGTTGTATGATCAGACGCGATCTTTGAGGCATTAACTTCTGTCTGTCACATTCCTGCATGATAAAGCGCAATCATCGCTCGCAGGACTATCGCACCCATCGGGTCAAGTACATCCCATGTCCATATTGATGTCACTTGACGGTCCCGGGTCCTTGACGTCGGGCTAGAAAGACATCCCCTTTGTCATCGTCAGAGAAAAAGGGTAGTATCCAAATTGATATTATAATATCGGACTTGGGTAGATGACTGTTGGCTTATGCAATAATATGTCGATTGAACAAAGAGGCTGGCGTGCCTGCCAGCTGCAGCTGTGTCCCATCGTATCATAAACTTCTGGATAAGAAAGCTATTACCTATGTACCTTGTGTTCGATATTGCCGCTCAAGGATAGCTTAGGCCATTGTTTTGCTTGAGGTTCTTGTTGGTCAATGCGGAGATACATCGGACAAGGCTGCAAACTTGACAAAAGCTTGATCTTTGTGAGGTACAGAGAGAGTATTTATGGGTGGGTAAGATTTGAAGTCAACGCGATGTCCGCATTGGAATGAGAGACGGACGGAAGATGGGCTCGCAACCACACAGTGAATGTACTGAGACTTTGTACTGTACATCAGACACTCTCTGACTCACTCCAGAGATGGGCTTTGTTTACATATCCGTCCTCTCAATTCTCCATTCGCATCAGTTCTCCTGTCCCACTATTCCTCCCTCTAACACCCATCTGCTCGTCTCCCTCCTCATCTTCCTCTCTTCGTCTCTTCCTCTTCATCTCTTCCTCTTCATCTCTCCCTGTTCATCTCTCCCTGTTCATCTCTCTCTTGCCACTTATCCCTCTGATCCCTGTTTTATCACTGAGTAGGGATTTTCTCCGTTCGTTTACTGATATCAGCTGATCTCTATACAACCGGCTTGTTATCTCCGTTAGACTTTGCCAGTTCAATCTCCGCTCAGTCCTAGTCCAGTTCTTTTATATCCCCTTTTCCGATTCCACTATCTCAGGAGGTGAGACCTCCTATTCTAAAACCTTGAACTCTGAGATCTAATGGACCTTTCCATCAGCTGAGCCAAAATGCGATTCATCAACTTACCCCCTGAGTTACTTCTCAACATCGGCGAGCATCTTACCCAAAAGAAAGACGTCAGCGCTCTAGCTCAGACCAACCGCCACCTGCAGCAAGTGTACGAGCCGCTACTCTATGGACGCGGAAAGCAAGACACGGCGACTGCTGACTTGCGCTTGAACATCTCCTGCTGTGCTAGCGCGCATGGCGAAGTGGAAGCACTCAACAAACTCGTCAAATTCGGAGCCAAGTTCCCGACTAATGAGTCCGAGGCTAAGGAACTGAGGTGGTTCACTATGAAATACCACCCGGTCTTCATGGCTGCCAGGAAAGGCCATCTTAAGATTGTCAAATCTTTTCTTGACCGAGGTTTTGAGGTTGAATGCAGGGACTCCAAGGGTTGCTCGCTGTTTCATCTGGCCGCGACCCATAACCATAAGCGTATCGTTTACGAGCTGCTTGCAAGACAGGCGAACGAATTTTCCTCGAATAATGATGGCCTGACCATCTTCGATCTTGTTGACAAAATAAATATGAGCGCTGTCATGCCAGCCCTGATCAAGGATGGATGGGCCTTCGGCTTAGATCCTCCTTTGGCATATAAACTGTGCCGGGCAGTGTATTGCAATGATACAGACAGCGTTTCATTTCTGCTGGCGAACGGGGTCCCGGCAGATGATCATTTTGATTCCGATCATGCACGCTAAGCTTGGCTATTTTCCAAAGTAACTGGGAAATATGCGAGCTTCTGTGTAACTACGGTGCTATTCCTCACGGGAGCCTTCCACATGGTAGCCTTCCTCATCCAGGCGTCATCTGTGAAGAAGACGGTTATGAAACCAAGGAAAATTATCCCTTCGTCATTCAAACCGTCTACCATGGGCATAGAGCATTCCATGACATTTGGGACATCTCGGACCGATGCTTTGAGTTTCTCAACTTTGGGCACGACAAGAGCTTTTTCATAACAGCTGTTGGCTTCAACACTCTCCTCTGTGCAGCATATCATGGGGACGGTGAAATTGCTCAGAAGTTTCTGGATAGGTTCCCTGAATTAGAACGTAGCATCCCCGACGCCATGATCATTGCGGCCTTCAGTCATCGAAACGACACGATGAGCTATTTTCTCTCCAAGGGGGCTGATCCCGACTACACACTAGACGAGGCAGTGACGGCCCTATCGCATGCAGGTTACCATGGATGGGTGGACCAGGTCCAGCTGCTCCTTTCCGCCGGCGCAAGTATCACCTTGAAAGACGCTGCTGGCAAGACTCCCATATGGTACGCTGTTCAGGCGCGCCGGAGGGAGGTGTTGGCGTTATATCGGGAGCATTCACCAGCAGACTTTGACGCTTACAAAAACAAAATGGGCTTAAAACGCGAAAAGATTACTAATGTCCAAGATGCTGCCTACTGCAAGACCTGCTCATCTTGGTGGAAGGATAAACTCAATATCTGTATGTGGTGGGAGTATGCTCAAACGGCAGATGCGGTTGCTAGAGCACACATCGGTCAGCGGACCGGTGTACATGAGTTCCAGATCATGTCTGGCTGAACGAAGAAAGCGGTCATCGGGAATTACTCTCCGCCATTCCTCCCACATTGCTTGTGTTCCAAGATTGGATAAATTGTGCTTTCCAGGTTAGATAGTACTACCTATGCAATACGTTTATCAACTATGCGTCTGTGTTCCATGCTTTCCAGCCCATCAAAAAAGCTATTATCCATCTCATCTACCCTCGTTATACGTCTAGAATCCCACGACTGACTCCGCTGAGAGCTGAATACAAAGTAAACCTCCCCAAAACCCAAGGGCTTGTCAGGATCCTCATTGACATCGAAATAATCCCTTCCAACAACAGACCATCAACTCAACCACCACGAGCCCAAAATGGCCAACCCCAACCGACCCACCAGGTACTCTGCCCGCCAAATGACCAGCACCGGCCAACGCACAACAGCTACCGCACCACCTGCTCCCCCACGCCCACGCCCTCTGCCCTGCCGCAGATGCAACGCCATCACATCCCAATACACTGTTTCCGAGACCAACGAGAACGGCAACGCCGGACGACCTTACTACCGCTGCGACCACTGTGGAAGCTTTGCATGCTTCGCGGATTTGCGAGGGGTGCACCCCGACAACCCCCCGTGTGACTGTGAGGGCCAGCTGCCCTGCCGTCTGCAGGTAGCGAGTCAGAATGACCGCCGGTGCTTTCCAGGCGCCCTGTTCTACACCTGCGCGGTCGGGCGATGCAATTACTTCTCTCGTGTGGAGGATGGGGACGGAGAGGCGGTTCTGGCGTTCGAGGAGTGGATTCCAGCGGGGATGCAGGGGGCGATGTATATGGAGGAACGGGGATTTTGAAGGCAAGATACATTCGAGGACAGAGGATGGATGTTGAGGTGCTGGGTTTGCTCTTGTTGTGGTTGTGTTCTTCTCTACACGAGGTCGGGCTGGCTTGTTCCTTCTCTTGCTACTAGTGGTTCTAACTAAGTGTGAATTCGATAGCTTCGGGTCGGTTTCGTAGCGATTTGGTCGATTTGATAGTCAATCTTTGTGAGCTTTCCTGATTACCGGTGGAAAAAAGTCCCGTCTTGGGTATAGGCAGAGATCCCTGCATAGCAGCCGATAAACCCCGCATTCTGACGTAGTAAATCAACAGCTGCTGATGTAAGAGGTGACTTGAAATAAACGACATTGAATCCTGGTTTGATTCGGCTCACCCTTTTATCTTTCCCTCCACTTTCTCAAGGCAAACAAAAGCCCACTCTGGAAAACCGGCTCTAGTAAACAAACCCGCCTCTCTTCCCAAGCCCACCCCCTCTCTTACCACCAACAAACCATGTCCTCCACACCTCCACCCCAAACAATTCCCCTCCCCCAGACCTTCCACCACACAACCACCACCCACACCCACACCATTCACTACACCACACTAGGCGACCCCTCCCACCCTCCCCTCATCTTCATCCACGGCACCCCGTGGTCCTCCTTCGTCTGGCACGACTACGCCCTCACCCTCGCCCGCACCTTCCACGTCCACCTCTTCGACAACCCAGGCTTCGGCCACAGTCCGCTCGGCACACCTCTCCCATCCCGCCACCACAACCCTGAAACCACCAAAGCCATCGCCCTCGACGCCGACCTATCCGACCAAACCGCCGTCTTCGCCGCGCTGTACACCCACTGGTCCCAAGCCTGGCCGCCCAGCTACGCAAAACGCGCACATGTGATCGCCCACGATCACGGGGGCCTGATGAGCCTGCGCGCACATCTGCTGCATGGGATCGAATATGCGAGTCTGTGTTTGATCAACGTGGTGGCGTTGGGGCCGTTCGGGCAGCCGCTCTTTAAACTGGTGGCCGAGAATGAGACAGTGTTTGAGGCGTTGACGGGGCCGGTGTTCGAGGGGGTTGTCGAGGCGTATATTCGGGATGCGGCGTTTACTGAGCTGAGTAAAGAGATGATGGGGATGTTGAAGGAGCCGTGGGTGCGGAGGGGGGAGGAAGGGAGGAAAGGGTTTGTGAGGCAGATGGTGCAGGCAAATTCGCGGAGTACGGAGGAGGTGGAGGGGCGGTATGGTGAGGTTGGGGCCAAGATGCCTGTGTTGGTGGTTTGGGGGGTGGAGGATCGGTGGATTCCTGCGGAGACGGCGGGGAGGTTGAAGGACAGTTTGAATGCCAGGGAGGTGGTCTTGATTGAGGGGGCGGGCCATTTGGTGATGTATGATCAGCCGGGGAGGTTGGGGGTTGAGTTGGGGTTGTGGTTGAATTCGGTGCAGGGGTGATGCTCCTTTTCTTGAAGCTTCTGGAACCGGACTGAGTGGATTGATCATTGTCTTAGAGAGTGCATATGCGCCGTTGCATTCCATTGTTCATGTAAGGTGCTACCATCTAGACGAACGACAGAGATTATCTCAAATACCTCCAAAAAAAATACTGCTGAAGTTGATGGAAATTTCTGCGTTAAGGAAAATCAAGAGACATCGCCGTCCCCGCGAACAATTCCACCATGGCGACGGATGACAGCACTTCTACCGGGCGGTCCACAAGCCCGTGGAGTGGAGTAAACTAACGAGCCTCGCGTGGAAAACATACCGCGGGTGATCCAGAGAATATCCAGGCTGGGCAGCCGGGTAGACGCAGTGGAGGTTCACAGCGATAGTCAAAGGGCACAGAGAGTGGGATATGTCGCACCAAGTGACTACAGAAGGAGTACGACTGCCTCTACATCTGCGGTCACGGCATTGTGCACCGCCAAAAACAGCCGAGTGATGCTGCCGTTCGATCCGAGAGCTTGGCCTGTGCAGCCCCACTCCGTTCCTTGTTCAGCCCTGTAGGGCTGACCGTCCGTTCCCTGCGCAGATTTTTAGCTAAGCCAACATTCAATGATATGAAATCTATTGGCCAGATTCACCTAAACTCCGTGTTCTAGCTACCAGCTGGGTCCACTATGGCAGACCTCCGGTTGGCATCGGGCAGCCTCAATGCGTCTCTCGTTCCACTCATGCACACGGCGTTGCAAATGCACGAGAATCTTCTATAGCATGCTGACGATAAATCTAATCTCATTGAATCCTCCTTACTGATGAGGCTCTCCAATGGGCTTAGATAAGGCCGGTGGTTGCGACACGGAGAAGTCACATTGCAACTCGTTCTCCGGTGGAGAAAAACTGGGGGGTATCCACCCCGGAAAACTCCAAAACCTGTGCGGTGCGCTGGAGGAGGGGACCTTGGTATCTTTCGAAATGTGCTATAAACCAAGAAAGAATCCTCGCAAGATAGCAGTCACACCCAGGAAGCCATCTGAGCCCCGATAAAACAAAATCGTGCTATGGAAACACCATCCAAACCATCACCATGCGATGCTTTGCTCCCCAAATCATCTGCGCTATGATCGGCTTCGGACTGCTGGGATCCGCCAAGGGGCTGGACGAAGGTTTGATTGCGACCACCGTGGACCTGCCGTCCTTTATCCAGGAGTTCAAGCTCCATGCCAGCAACCTGAGCGCAGCTGAGCGAGCTAACCGGTTGTCAAACATCACGTCCATGGTGAACCTCGGATGTTTACCCGCAGCAGTGCTAGCCTTTCTGCTAAGTGACAGCATAAGTCCGCTGTGGATGATGCGGCAGTTGTGCGTGCTGTGGATTGTCGGTGTGGCGCTAGTCATCTCGTCAGCGGGGAACTATGGCCAGCTCCTCGCGGGTCGCCTAATCGTGGGCCTGGGGATCGGCCAGGCTGGCATTATCGGACCCATTTATCTTGCTGAGATTGCACCAGCCTCGTGGCGGGGTATGCTGGTGGGCATGTATGCTGCTTCAGAGTATGTGGGTGTTTTGATAGGGGTGAGTTGCGGAGGTTTGTCGGTGGTGGCAGCTCATTGCTAATTGACGGGCTATAGTATTTCGCTGGCTACGGCGCATCACTGCATATCGCCAACGATAACAATCAGCAGTGGATCATCCCACAGTCGAGTCAGATAGTGATGGCCGGCTTCATTCTCATTGTGTCCATCGGCTGTGTCGAAAGCCCCCGATATCTATGCCAGAAGCAACGCACCGACCGGGCCACACGAGCCCTAAGCCGACTGCGAACCCACCCCGAAGACAGCCCCGAGATCCGGGACGAGATTGAATCCATCTTGCAGCAAACAGCACACAATGCGACCAGGCAACCCGGACGGTCCCTGCTGACCTCGTGGAAACTTTTGTTCGGCCAGTCAGCCAACCGCAAACGCCTTCTGTTCCTGCTCTCCGCCCAGCTCCTGAGTCAATGGTCCGGCACCAATGCAATCACAAGTCTGAACCCCCTCTCCCTTCCCCAGCCCATCAACCACCCCAGCAAACTGACACCCCACCACAGCTTACGCCCCCAAATTCTTCTCCATCCTCGGCATGACCGGCGCCTCCGAGAAACTCTTCAAGACCGCCATCTTCGGCGCCGTGAAACTGGCCTCCGCCCTCCTCTGCGCGTTGCTGTTCCTCGACCGCCTCGGCCGCAAACGCTGCCTCATGCTGGGGATCACCCTGCAAGTGCTCGCGCTGCTGTACGTGGCCATCTACCTCACCGCGTTATCCTCTGGATCGGGCGGTAGCGCCTCAGCCCATCGCGCGGCCATCGCCGCCATCGCCGCCATCTACATCACAGGCGTCGGGTACGCCTTTGGCTGGAACTCGATCCAGTACCTCATCACGGCGGAGATGCTGCCCACGGCGGTGCGCACGCTGGGGACGAGTCTGCTGATGTGTGTGCATTATGCGAATCGCTTTGCACTTACCAAGGTATGCTTGCGCCCGTTGCTGTTTGTGATTTTGTCAATGATATATCCTCTCCCATGCCAGTTCTGGTGGGCAGAGGTAGATTGCAGAGTGGGCTTGGCTGACTGAAGCCAAACACCAGGCCGTCCCGACGATGATGCTGGCCGATGCGCTGCAGCCGAAAGGCACCTTCTGGTTCTTCTTCGTGGTGGCGCTGCTGGGTCTGCTGTGGGGGTTGTTCCTGTTGCCGGAGACGAAGGGGCGGAAGCTGGAAGAGACGAGTCGGTTGATTTCTTGATTTCTCCCCTTTGGGTCGTCTTGAGAGGTTGACCATAATTTTACTTTGCACGAAAAGAGTATTGACTGGCATCTTCTGAGTCGCATTCTTCTGCGTTTCTTCTGGTGCCGTTGTAGGCGTTGCCAGGGGCAACCTTCACTCTGGTACCTAGAGCTCCCCTACATCTCGGAAGGATGTGTCCTTGGATGATTTTTTTTGGAGGTCAGGGCACTATATTGAAGGAAGATGGAGTGTTGTCTTGAGTGTAAATATGATCTGATAAAGCTACTGGGTTAGATCTTATTTGGCTGTGGATGGTTCTCGGGTCCATGATCATATCATTCAACCTGACGAATATAGAGCCCCTGAAGTTATTATAGGAGCCGGCTGGGGTTATAGTGTTGATGTGTGGAATCTAGGTGTCCTGGTATATCTTTCTTTCTTCCTTTCTTCCCTTCATTATCTTGCCTAAGAAATTTGAAGAACTGATACCGGGAAAGCTCGTAGATCTAGTGCAGGGATGTGGATCCGAAGAGTCGACCATTATTGTTCATTGTTGAAACCTTTTGGGAAATAAAGGTCGAGGAGAAGGTGACAAAGATCCGAAGTGAAAAGGATCGAGTGACCGGTGATGGACGCCATGTCCACGATGCCACCCTCGGATTGATCATGCCAAATACGATTTGAGAATACCAGGGTTAAAATGTTGCGGGTTCCAAGTTGCGCGTCAATGGGGATGGAGCGCCAAGTCATCAACGAATAGACAACTCGGTCACATTGTGACAGGTCGGAAATCATGTGACCATACTCTTGATCCCCTTGGATTCGGTATAACAGGAACCAGGATCCTTCGGAGCGGATGATCGGCTAGATCAGTGTCTTCAGTTGACATTCTTTTGGCTGAGTGGTCAAGTGCTCCTCTCAGATTACAGTACTCCTTGACACCTTCAGAGCTTCTGAATTGGATACCTAATATATGCCTACTTCTACATTGGGATGTTTTCATGCTGAAACTATCATCATGTCAGGGTTTTGTATCCAAAGAACATATTTTATTATCCTTCTTCCATAGGGCTGTTGGGGTTTTGAAATCAAGTTGTCACTAACAAACACAATCCTGAATATCGACAATAGTAAAAATGAATGGGTCAAGCCATTCCACCTTCTCTGAGCTGCGTTATTTGAGAATTTTGCAAAGAGAAACCACAAGATTCAACACCGTGAGATGTTGCTCCACGCGACGCGACCTCAGCAACTGAGGGAATTCATCATTCCATAAAGGGGTGTATGAGGGTGGCGTCTCCGCCGGTGGTTCTGCCCAGCAAGTGCTCGAGGGGGTTCAGGGGAGTCTGAATCGAGTCAAGAAGGGTGTGTCGGCGGGGAAAGTAGTGGTTCTGGCTGATTAGGGTGGCTTGGGCTCTAGGTTTCGAGAACAACGGTCTTCGTTGTACAAGGAGATGAGCAAGCTCTATACCCACCCTTCGAACAGAATCAACTGGTATATTTGTGTGTGATAGTGTGCGTATACTGTGTCCAATGAGCCTTCTGGGTTGTAGATCGAGTGCGGATAGCTTATCCGACCCGGCTCGGATGCTTTGCCCCAAAGAGGGTGTGGGGATGAGAGCCAAGCTAAGTATGTACGTGTAACTTGTGAGCGCCAAACATTATACTTGCCCGGGCTGAAAGCTGTGAACCTGTGGGGTTTATGTGCCTTTTGATGTTAGCTCAAATAAGAACAGTATTAGGCAATAGTCTAGCACATACGACCACAGGGTGTGGAAAGTAGGGCTTCCCGTCCGCTCAGCCGTACTCAAGCCACACGCCGGGAGGTTAGTAGTTGGGTGGGTGACCACCAGCGAATCCCTTCTGTTGTATGTTTTTGTCTTCTTCTTTTTGCTGGTCGGATAAAGACACGTCAGCCTAGCAAACTATCTCATCACGACGTCCCAATTCTACCTAGACTGTATAGAGTGGGCAGTTGTGAAGCTGATGGGACCCGAGGTCGGGTCTATCCGTTGTCGGATCGGAACGCGGCTATGGCTTAGACTTATGCTCATCCGAGGGCTGAAAGTACTTGTCAATTATCAGTTCCTCTTGTCTTGTTGCATCTTACTATATTCCAAGGTGAATTCTTGACTACCCACGAATTAGTATAAAATCGACGGCGGCTACCATGTATCCGATCAGCATCTGCAAAAGAGAGTTTACGCGCTCTATCCCATCCCGAGTCCCCTTCACATTACCTGAGCATCCTTGTTACAATTCGCTGTTCGAGAAACACACATAACCATGCAGGCGAACGAGTTACAAGAAGTGGCGTTGGCCCTGCGCACCGCGCGCGACAATCGAGCACCCATCACACCACCCACGAAGAACTGGCCCGCTCTGGACGCAGACTCGGCCTTCGAGGTGCAACGGCTAAACGTCAAGCACGCCGTCAGCAACGGCGATCGCTTGGTAGGCTACAAGCTCGGAAACATCGCCAAAGTCATGCAGGACGCATTTGGCCTCGATCAACCTGACTATGGCTTCCTCCTGGCCAGCACCTTCCTCTATGAGAGTACAACCCTCCGTCTCGACCAATACATCAAGCCCTACGTGGAGCTGGAACCAGCCTTTGTACTGCGCAGCTCGCTCCGCGGTCCCAACGTGACGGTAGCCGATGTGATCAACGCCATCGACTACGCTATTCCTGCCATCGAGATCATCGACTCTCGGGTGGAGAATTGGGCGATCGATCTGCCCGACACTCTGGCTGACAACGGCTCCACTGCCAATGTCATTCTTGGCGGCACTCCCCGGAAGCTTACGGACCTAAAGAGTCTGCGGGATGTGCGGGGAACGCTCCAGTTCAATGGTCGGGAGGTGATGGATGGGAACACGGGGAATGTGCTGGGTAATCCCCTGTCGGCGGTGGCCTGGTTGGTGAATCGACTGGCTGCGTACGATATTGAATTCCAAGCCGGGCAGGTAATCCTACCTGGCAGTTGTCTCCAGGCTGTTCCCATGGATAAACCCGGGAAGTGGAGGTGTACTTTTGAGGAATGGGGCACCATCGAGTTTGATGTCGTGTGAGGATGTTTCGTTTTGTAGTCACTGCGGGGGTAGATAGATAGAATTGAACATCCCTGGGTTCTATCACTATAAACACTACATCAATCATAGCGAGTACTTGATAGTGCAGCAATTAGAGATAGGCGGGGCCACGGGTTCTCACCAGACCTCCCCGATAGGGAGATGGGGAGAAGATCTCTCGTATCGAGATCAACCCTAGTAGCGCTAGCCCTACTTATCTAGTAGTTATCTGCGGGGATTCCCCCGCAATTCCCAACTTTGCCTTCGGCTTTGCCAACTGTTCTCTTTATCTCCATCGATCATGCCATTTTCCAAGCCGAGACTGCGAGTTCCTACACATTATAGTTAATAGTTGCACGGCCAGCAATTGCAATGACCACCGAGGACAGGACTGAGCGCCGCAAATTCCGAAGGACTGCCAATGCGTAAGAGCCCCCACACGCTCCCGCCGGCTTCCTCCGTCTAACATCCGAGACAGGTGCATCCCATGCCGGCAGAGCAAAATCAAGTGCTCGGGGAACCAGCCATGTGGGAACTGTCAGCGACGCATGGTGAACTGTCGGTTTGTGGATAGTGGTGGTCATAGGATAATCATTCATCAACCCAGCAATACCACTCCCTTTGAGATAAACAGTCATGCATCAGGTGAGGAATCTCCCAGCCTTGCAACAGGCTCAGAAGACTGACCGTATGTTCAGGAGCCAAGCGACCCGCTAGTCTTTCTTTTGTTTCAGATGGTCATGAAAATTGCCCTGATGAGCTGCTCACTCCTCCTTCTCTTGTTGCTCAGCGTTTCGATTCGGCACCATACATAGGAGCGCAACGACCTGCCGAGTCGTCCAATCCAACGGTCGACGGCGCGCGCAGCATCTGGACGAGTCCGTTCACACTCCCCTCAAGAACCATCAAGAACACTCAGAGGAACAAACGCAACTGGGGTGAGTTACTATGCTCTCGGCGTGTCTGGGTTAGCTAAACAGGATTGGCGCAGTCTGGCTGGCACCCTCGTCAACCTGGTCCTTTACTGCCAGACTTACCCTCCTTCTAGCTGAGAAGCTCGCGCTAGACTCTCCCTACAGTGCCCCGAATTTTTCAGGTGAGGATATCTATGTCCTCCGGTGGAAGTCATGCGCCCCCGATGATCCCCCCGACATCAGTGGACTCCCATCAATCGATCACGCTCTCTACCTGTTCAACACCGTAAAATTCCACCTCGGTCAGAGCTATCGCTTTCTAGACGAGGCTACATTCGTTGAGCATCTCCAGGAGTTCTATCACGGGAACGCAGCCGAAAAAGCGGCTGAGTCGCGTCTGTGGTTCGTACAATTCCTCCTCGTCTTGTCCTTCGGGAACGCCTTTCTCTCCTCCCGCTGCAAATACACCACCGAGCCGCCGGGGTCAAAGTTCTTCATCCGCGCGATGGCGCTGATGCCAGACCATGCCTCCGTCTGGAAGGACAGCCTCATGGCCATTGAAGTGCTGGCCCTGGCGGGTCTGTATCTCTACTCGATTGATCACAGGGAGTCGGCCCATGTATACGTAAGACCCTCCCTACCCCTGTCTCGAGACCTTAGTTAAACAGCGCTACAGCTCGGACAAGCCATCCGCATCGCGCAGCTCGAAGGCCTACACACGCAACTCCCCGAGGAAGAGATCGGACTTCAGACGGTCGAGCGGTGTCGCAACCTGTGGTGGACCCTGTACATCATGGACCGACACTTCTCTAGCTCGCTGGGTATTCCCATGTTGACGCGCGATAGCGATATCACCACCGTGCTGGACTCGCCGAGCGCGTGCTCCCAACGCGATGCGACCCTGTGCTTGCAGGTGCGGTTATCGCATCTGCTGTCTTTTATTCTTACCAGTAAGCTTTTGACATCTTCGCCTCCTGATGCTGTAACGATGGCTGATGGTCTGGTCCAGCAGTTTACAAAACCCAGAAAACGCAACTCGGGACGTTCTTGGATAAGACCAAGTCGATCCTGCAGACGCTCGCGGGCCACGCGCGGGAGATTGAGAAGATTATCTATCAGAAGTTTCAGAACTCGATTGATACGATGCCGCGAGGGACGCGGCATATTACGCTTCTGTATCATCAGGTTCGTGCCTCTCCTCCTTCTCCTCCTACCAAAAGCCGAGAATTCTGTAGTATCCAGCCCAGTAGCAATTACCCGACTAATCCCGGACAAAAGTGCGTGATGGTCGCCACGCGGCCCCTCCTCCTCTCCGTCCTCAAAGAAAGACTCGACACCTTGACCGAAGGCGACGAGGACTGGCAGACGATCCTCGCGCCAACCAAGACCTTGATCGCGACGGGGATCAAATCCGCGGCCAAGACGCTGCAAATCCTGTCGGATGAGGACAGCCCGCTCGGTCGGTTTTTCCTTTCTCGCCCAGAAACCCACATGACACCGATTGTGTCTGTGACTTGAAAAGCTAGACTAATCTCCCAAGCAGAAGTCTTCCTCCCCTACGACCTCGAATTCACCTACAGCGCCGCCATCCACCTCGCCATGGCGCAAGCCCTCTTCCCCCTCGACCCCAACGAGCACGGCACGAGGGGCATCCAGAATGCCCACTCCATCCTGTCTGAGATGGCGAGCAAGGGCAACCGACTCGCCGAGAACCGTGCCAGGGAGTTGGTCTACCTGGAGGGGTTGTTCGCGGAGCTGGCGAAGCGCATCGAGCGGCGCGGGTTGCTGACGCTTTCGCTGTGGAATACTCCGCAGCAGCAGCAGCAGCAACAACAACAACAACACCAACCGGACTGTGTAAGCGGGGACGCAGCCGAAGAGGCCCGGGGCAGGGAGACGTTGTCTACGCTGGAAGCGGGGGGGAAGGAGTCGAGCACGCCCATCGTACCGGGGCATGAAGCGGACGCGCCGGCTGGGGAGGACCCGTTCTGGTCGTCCCCGTCGGGCCCGACGCCGACTACGAGTAATCTCGAGTTGTTGGATAATATTGGGATCTCGTCGTACGAGTTCCTGTCGATTGTGGAGCAGATTGGGAGGCAGGAGTATCATAGTATTCTGGATACTGGGGCGGGGATGGGGTGACTTCTGGGTGGAATGGTGATGGGATTGTGGCTACTATCTAAATGACTTCATTGTTTGTGATATGTGTGGGTCCTTGGAGATAGGTTCTTGTAGATGTGGATTACGTTAGTTATCGATTACGTTTGTTGTGCTTTTTGATAGCGATATGAGTGGGGCTGGGATGAGGAGTCAAGGCAAGCTCATGGCGTTTCGGAGAGCTTTCGGCTGTAATAGCGTTGATGATCATCAGACTAGTTGACTAAAATTGCTCTTCATATCAGATTAAGCTCTTCCTTACATTCCTCGGAGAGCAGGGATCGGATGCGTCGTGGGTGGTGCTGAACCTCTCTTTCCTCGGGTCGGGTGCTCGGGTTCGCGATAACCATCCGAGGAAGGCCCCGATAGGCCCTTCCTGCTATTCTCAGAGAGTGTAGTGGATTCAACGAGGGTTGTCATCACAAGACATGGTTTAGAGGAAACATATGCTGGAACTTTGCGGGGAATCTACTAGCACACATGATCATCGCAAGCAGCCGATACGCGAGGAAAGCCGAGGATTGGAAGTATGCGATCGGGACGGAGGCACGTAGAGGCCAGTTGAATGGCCGGGACCAGAAGATATATGTACAGCTGTTCTATAAATCGCTTCATCTTTCGGTCTGAAAAATCCATTCCCAAGAGACACTCAATAACAAGTTCTCAAACAACAGTCACACATCCCACACCATGGCTCCAGCTGCACTTATCCGCCCCACGGCGCCGGTCGTGATCGGCCCTGCCACGAAGAAAGCGACTCGTCCCAGCAAAGCGTTACCCCAGAGTCTCATCGATGGAGCCAGACTCAACACCAAAGAGCCCTTCACACCAGAAAAGCACCTGGCCTTCCAGTCCCCCGCAAAGATCTACACTATGAAAGACATCGGTCTCGAAGGCCACGGCATCTCGCCCATCGCAGTCACCGAGCCATTTCCCTTGTTCACGGAGGAAGCAATCAAACAAATGCGCGCGGAGATCTTCAGCGAGCCTGTGCTAGAGAAATGTCAATACTCGTCCACGTTCAACAAAAACATGGTCCGCGGGATGGGGCCTGCGTGAGTTCCCACCACCCGTTTGTCGCCCTGCAACCCACCCAGCTGACAGCGCACTGCGCATCCATCCAGTCGCGCCCCCTTCACGTACGTCGCATGGCGCTCGCCTGAACTCATCGCCAAAATCTCCCAAGTGGCGGGTATCGACCTCGTGCCGTCGATGGACTTTGAAATCGCCAACATCAACATCTCCATCAACGACGAGCACGACCGCCTCACGCCGGACAACGTGCCCGGCACCGATCAGCTGTCGGCGGTGGCGTGGCACTACGACAGCTTCCCGTTTGTCTGTGTGACGATGCTGTCCGATTGCACCGGGATGGTGGGCGGGGAGACGGCGCTGCGAACGGCGACGGGCGAGATCATGAAAGTGCGGGGCCCGGCCATGGGCACCGCGGTGGTCATGCAGGGCCGGTACATCGAGCACCAGGCGCTCAAGGCGCTGGGCGGCCGCGAGAGGATCAGTATGGTGACGTGCTTCCGGCCGCGATCGCCCTTCGTGCGCGATGAGACGGTGCTCACCGGGGTGCGCGGCATCAGTGACTCGTCCGAAATGTATACGCAGTACATGAGCTATCGTATGGAGATGCTGGAAGAGCGGGTCCGGGCGCGGTTGCAGACGGAGAGGCGGCGGGAGCTGGGGAAGCGTCCGTTTGATGTGCAGGAGGCCAGGGGGTTCTTGGTGGAGCAGATGCAGTTTTTGGAGGCGATGCTGGGGGAGATTGTGGAGGTGTCTGGCGAGTAGGGAGATGTGTTGTGTTGTGAGTGTGCTTCTCCGACATGAGAGTGACGGTCTGCATGGCTGCTCGTTCAGACTCTTAGTGGATTTAGCACTTTGCAATTTCCAATTTTCAATGTTTCTCCAGAACAGATAACTTCCCAGCTGGCCTTGTTGTTGCCATCCCCCTCTAGCCTTGATTCCTTGCTGATGGCAAGTGAAACTGTGGTGTTTGAGTCTGAGTCTGAGTCTGAGTATGTGTATGTGTATGTGTTGTTTGTTCTTTTTGTTTGTACTCCAATGTTTATAGTTTGACAGCGGTTACCCGTTTGGCATCCACTCTTCAGGCTCCCAGGCTGCCTCTCTCTCTCTCTCTCTGTCTCATCTCATCCACTACACCTCCACCGTCATCATTCCTCATTTCCATCCATCCTCATCCTCATCCTCACCCTTGGTTCTAGCTTTCCGTCAGCAGCTTATTCTTCCTTTATTCTTACTATCTAGCTTAGCACCAGCGGTGAGCCCCCCAAATCAACGGGACGGATACCTCCCCAGAGATCTAGACCGGTCGATTTGGTTACTTGTGGTTCACTCACGGATATTTAGACTGTACCCCGCATCACCTATCTCAAAGCCTCCCTCTTCGCTCCTTATCTTTCTTTCGCCCAAGCCATCCTCATCGTTTCCTCTCTCGACTGTTAGAGCTCGTCTTTCATTCAGCATCATCCTCTCTCAACACGTTGTGTCTAACTCAGCGGAGTCTCGTCTGTCATATCCTTCGGTTCCAAGGGAACGAACGCGCCCGACCCACTGCGAAGCGCCAAACCCGAGCGGTGGAGACCACTTCTCCCGGTCGGAAGCTAAGTTACAGATCATCACGTCACAATTCCTCAACGGCCTCTATCATCCGCCCCTGCTACTTGTTTGTTTGACCTTTCGACTCCCTCAGAACTTGTCCTTTCTCTGACTGACTTTGTCTCTCCTCGCGTCAGCTTATCCCCGTCATGTCTGATTCTCGAGGTGGCCAACAACGAGGCCGTGGTAGAGGCGGTGATCGTGCCAGAGGCGACCGTGGACGGGGGTATCGTGGAGGTGGAGGCGGCCGTGGCTCTTTCGATCTTCCCTTTCGTCCAGGAAACGATGGGAGAGGCGATAGCAGGGGTCGTGGCCGTCCCAGAGCTTCCGATGCATTCCGTGGCGCTCGCGCGCCCCGCGGTGGACGAGGTGGCTATGACGGCCCGCCAGTCTTCTCTCCCGGGGGAGACCTCAAACCCAACCCCCAGGTCGAAAAGAAGGAGGATGAGATGATCAAAGCATTGATCAAGGCACCGCCCCCGCCCGAAGAAAAAAATTTTCCTGTGCGTCCCGGCTACGGTACACGGGGAAAGAGAGTCGATTTATTCGCCAACTATCTCCACCTCAAGTCGATCGGTAAAACCCTCTACCGCTATCGCGTCGAGATTCTGGAAGACCGATCCGTCAGGAAGCCCACCGGCAAGAAGGCAAAGCAGGTCATCAAGCTGTTGATTGAGGAGCATTTTGCTTCACAGCGAAATGGCGTTGTCACCGACTTCGTCTCCACTCTCATCTCCCGGAATGAGCTCCTGGAGGAAGCTGAGGTCGATCGCACGTACGACGTCCGCTACCGGGATGAATACGACGATGAATATCAGGAGCAACCGAAGGTCTATCGGGTGAAGTGTCAGCACACCGGCATTCTGGAACCGTCTGACCTTTTGGACTACCTGACCTCGGCCCATGCGACGGATATGTTCGCAAAGAAGCCGGAGATTCTCCAGGCTATGAACATTGTCCTGGGCCATCCACCCAAAGTCGACCCGAATGTTTACTCAGTGGGTGCCAATAGACACTTTGCGATCGCCCATGGTCAGAAAGAGGGTTACAACCTCGGAGACGGGCTCGAGGCTCTTCGTGGGTTCTTTGTGAGCGTCCGTGCCGCAACTAGTCGCCTGCTCGTCAATGTTCAAGTCAAATATGCGGCCTGCTACCAGGAAGGCGCACTCGCGACCCTGATAACCAGTTACCAACCTCACCGCTTCGAATTCCACTCCCTGCAACGTTTCTTGAAGAACCTGAGAATTCGGGTAACACACATTGAACGCAAGAATAAGCGGGGAGAACTCATTCCACGATTCAAGCGAATTGCTAGTCTGGCTAACACGGGAGATGGCGCATCGCTGCCCCATCCTCCGATAGTCCCTCGTCCGGGAGCCGGTCCCAATGATGTGAAATTCTGGTTGGACGAAGCTGGCCAACAGTCATCGCAGCAGAAGCCGGCATCCTCGAAGAAGAAGGGCGGCAAAAAGCCAGTCACAGCGGGGCCTCCGCCAGCTGGAAGATACATTAGTGTAGCGGCCTTTTTCGATGAACATCACAATATCAGAAATTTGGATGCCCGAATGCCAGTGGTGAATGTTGGGAGCCGCGAAAATCCCAGTTATTTGCCCGTCGAAGTCTGCAACGTCGAACCAGGTCAGCAAGCAAAGACCAAGCTGAGTCCCTTCCAGACAAGGCAAATGTTAGAATTTGCAGTCCATCCCCCGCCATTTAATGCCCAGTCGATTGTGAATAATGGAACTCGCATCCTTGGACTCGGTGCTGCTCCAAATGCTACATTGAAAGAGTTTGGTATTCAAGCAGATCCCCGACTCATCACAGTGCCCGGCCGCATCCTCGATGCTCCTCAAATCTTCTACAGAGACGCGAATAACAAAGAGAAGCAAATCCCGCCCAGCGGTGGCAGCTGGAATATGAGGTCCATCAGATTCTCAATCGGCTCTACCTTGGGTTCCTGGGCCTGGGTTTTCCTGGACTCCAACCCAACTAGAGCCCCCACGCGCGAGGTACTTGGGGCCTGCCTGCAACAATTCGTGACGAAGCTGAGAGAAGTCGGGGTTCAGGCTAACCCCCCTAAAGGCGGAGAGCACGTTGTTCTCGCTCGCCGTGACGTGGATGGTGAGATTGGTGGCGCTGTCAAGAGGCTGATGGCCGCTCATAAACCTACCATGATTCTTGGCATTCTTACCGACCAAAGCACGGACGTTTATAACTGCATGAAGCGAGTCTGTGACGTTCGGGAGGGTGTCCGCAATGTAAACGTGCTTGTCAAAAACTTCACGAACGAAAGGGGCCGCGAACAATACCTCGCCAACGTCGGCCTGAAGGTCAATCTGAAGCTCGGGGGTGCGAATCAGCTGATTCCTAGAGAGCTGGGGATAGTGAGCAAGGGCAAGACTATGCTTGTTGGTATCGATGTGACTCACCCGTCTCCTGGGTCATCCACAAAAGCCCCTAGTGTTGCGGGAATGGTCGCCTCGGTTGATTCTTACTTGGGTCAATGGCCAGCAGAACTCCGGATCCAGACATCGCGCCAAGAGAGGGTCAGTGAGTTGGACACGATGCTGAAAGCTCACCTCGGCCGGTGGGCTAAGACCAACAAGGGTCAGTATCCGGACAACATCATCGTATACCGCGACGGAGTCTCTGAAGGGCAGTATGAAATGGTTGTCCAGGAAGAACTGCCTCTTCTCAAGAAGGCTTGCCAGCATATGTATTCAAAGACGGAGTCCGCCAAAGGGCTGCCACGGATCTCGGTCGTGGTCGTTGGCAAGCGGCATCACACGCGGTTTTATCCTACGCGTGAAGAGGACGCGGATGGCTTCCTGAATCCCAAGAACGGCACCGTGGTCGACCGCGGTGTGACGGAAGCCCGCAACTGGGAGTTTTACCTACAGGCTCACACTGCTCTCAAGGGCACCGCTCGCCCGGCGCACTACTTCACTGTTTGGGACGAGATCTTCTGTCGAGAGAAGCCCAAGGAGGGGCAGAACACAGCTGACATCCTGGAAGACCTCACGCACAAGATGTGTTATTTGTTCGGACGGGCGACCAAGGCCGTGAGCATCTGCCCCCCAGCATATTATGCCGATCTGGTCTGCGAGCGAGCGCGATGCTATCTGTCTGACTTGTACAATGCGACACCGACCGGTAGCGTCGTCACCGGCGTTGGGGGTGGGGGTGGTGCTGATACCGTGGACGGTGGCAGGGTCACCATCCACCCCAACGTCAAGGATACGATGTTCTATATTTGAGGCTTTCTTGGCGAGTTGGGGTAATTGGCATGTTGAGTGATGTTTCGCACGAGATGTTGGGAGTTGCTTTTTGAATGGCACAATGTGCGATTGTTGTAGCGAGCGTACAGTTCTGTTCTGGGTCTTATGAGACGGAATGCTCATATGCTGGTCATATTTCGGGTTTAAATGCAGATACGGTCTTAGTTGCACACAGAATGACATTTACTGCCTGCTTTCTAGTATCATGTTGCTCAGTACTATTCGAGTTGGAGGAGGAGATATGATTCAGTGACAGTGAGCTAGCAGATGGATTGGTGCCCCGCTATCCTCCAGGTAGTCAGGAGCATAAGCTAATGCTCCACCCTCTCTTCGCTGTACAGTACTATGAAGCAAGTCCGTCTCTTGGAATGTGCTGTACATTTCATCCGAATGCATCGTCGTGTAGTCCGCACTCGAAATCTCAACTAGCTACTATAATACTGTACCATTAACGCGATAGACCCCTCATTTCGACCATTATCCGACTAAAAGCACCAAAATAAATGCCAGAGCCAAGTTGGAAGTGGATGCGACCCGCACCGCAAAGGTTATCGGTCGGTTCTAGCCCTACGTTAGCCGGTGTTGTGCGTGTTGGAGAGTAGTCTAGCATGCGCATTGCGGATCATTCGAATTGAACCCCTAATTTTGGAACGACGGGAGTACTTTCGTGTCGTGTTCTCGCGATGACATGCAGTCTTAACGGCCTTATAGCTTTCTTTTTCTACTTGGCCGACTCCCTACACAAGTTCTAGACACGGCTATCCATTCCCTACTCACTCCTACACAAGCAGGCCTCAAGTTATCAAAATGTCCAGGTTGGAATTATAATATCGTAGCTAACATCACAAGAAGATAATAAGAGCGTTAATCAATAACCGTTTCATCTTTTCTCCCAAGACCGAAGGCCAGCCGATCTACAGCTTGGCCGCGGGGGAGGCACTGCCCGCCGAGGAGATCTCGTTGTACAAGAGGGTGGTCAGGAAGTCCGCGTAGTCCTCGCCGGTGACCTGACCGGCGAAGTAGCGGGCGGCCTGCTGGAACTTGTTGCCGGCGGGGCCCTTGGCGGCCAGGTCGTCGGCCTGCTCCTGCAGCAGGCGCAGGGCGTAGGCCTTGTCGACCTTCTTGCCGTCGGAGGTGGTGATGCCGTGGTGCGTCCATTGCCAGAGTTGACTGCGCGAGACTTCGGCGGTGGCGGCGTCCTCCTATGTCGGGGATTAGCATTTGTTGGGGGAGGGGCAAACGAGGGAAAAGCTTACCATGAGGAAGTTGATGGGGATACAGCCCACACCCCGGAGCCATCCCTCCATGTAGGACAGGCCGATGTTCAGGTTCTTGCGGATGCCCTCCTCGGTGATCTTGCCGGGGACGTTGGTGTTCAGGAGGTCGTTGGCGGTGATGTTGACGTCCTCGCGGCGCACGAAGAGCTGGTTGGGGGTGGGCATGTGCGTGTTGAAGACATCCGAGGCGATCGCCGCCAGCGCCGGGTGGGCGACCCAGGTCCCGTCGTGACCCGCCCGCACCTCCCGCAGCTTGTCCGCTCGCACGCTCTCCATCGCCTTGTCGTTGGCCGCCGCGTCGTTCTTGATCGGGATCTGAGCTGCCATGCCGCCCTGGTGGGAATTAGCATGTTTCATCGCATCGTTTTGATTGCTTTAGGGGCCGAAACTTACCATAGCGTGAACACCTCTCCGGTGACAGGTCTTGATCAACAGCTTCACGTAGGCATCCATGAACGGCACCGTCATGGTGACGTCCGAGCGGTCCGGCAGCACGAAGTTGGGGTGCTTGCGGAACTTCTTGATGAAGGAGAAGATGTAATCCCAGCGGCCGCAGTTCAAGCCGGAGCTGTGGTCGCGGAGCTCGTAGATGATCTCGTCCATCTCGAAGGCGGCGGTGATGGTCTCGATCAGCACGGTGCCGCGGATCGTGCCCCGGGGCATGCCGATGTAGTCCTGGGCGAGGTTGAAGACGTCGTTCCACAGGCGCGCCTCCAGGTGCGACTCCATCTTGGGCAGGTAGAAGTACGGCCCGAACCCGCGGGCCACCAACTCCTTGGCGTTGTGGTAGAAGTACAGGCCGAAGTCAAACAGACTACCGGAGATGGGCTCGCCGTCGACGGTGAAGTGCTTCTCCTCGAGGTGCCAGCCTCGCGCGCGCGCGATCAACGTCGGCAGCACCCGGTCCGTCCGTAGCTTGTACTCCTTGTTGCCTTGCTTGAAGTCGACCTGGCGGCGGATCGCGTCGTAGAGGTTGACCTGGCCGTTGATCATGTTCTCCCAGGTGGGGGCGCTGGAATCTGTTCGTTGGGATGAATTAGCACCTTGAAGAAACGATAAGTATAGCAGCAGGAGCAGGCGGCGTACCTTCAAAATCAGCCATGTATGTCCAGACATCCGAGTTGAGCGCGTTCACCACCATCTTCCGGTCGGTGGGACCTGTGATCTCAACACGACGGTCGACCAGACCAGGGGCCGGGGGAGCGCCCTTCCAGGCGTCATTCTCGCGGATGTGCTTGGTTTCGGGGAGGAAGTCGGGCAGATGGCCCTTGTCGATCTCGGCTTGTCGGTCGATGCGGCGTTGAAGGAGGGCTTTGCGGGTGGAGTTGAAGGCGCGGTGGAGGATGGCAAGGAAGACGCAGGCGTCTTTGGTGAGGATCTTGCGAGCTTCAGTGCTCACAGTGCCCAGGATGGCTACGTCCTTGAGCTGGGCCTCGGATTGGCTCATGGTGAAAACTTTGGTAGCGTGAAATTGACACAGATCTCTAGTTAAGACGATAGAGGAGAAGAGGTATGGAAGGGATGTAGAAGTTGTGTAGATCGCAGCTTAAGCACATAAAGTTCCAGCTCTGCGATGGAAGGAGGGACAAGCAAAGTATATAAGTCCAACCCCCAGAATCTTATCGGAGGGCAGCAGGTGGGCTCGACGACGTCAGAGTCCACGCACAGCCGCGGCCCATGGGAAGTTCGGATCATCCATGGTCGCGGGGGTACCGCCGATAATGGAGGGGACGGAGGATGGTGGATGGAGAGAGTTTCTGACCATCAATCACCGTCGATTACCATCAGATAGACTTAGGAATGAGTCTGGGTTGCACCCACTGTTATCACCACGTGACTTCTCCGCGGGGAACAGGTCCTTTCGGCCGACTGGACCCGATTGGGGCTGGGGTTCCCCGCCCGGCACGCGCCGGCCACCGCCTCCGATTCGGGCCTTATCGTTTCTGATGACTCGATACATTCACCTCTACCCTTTGATATAGCTGGATCCCTCCCCGAAAGCTCTGATATGATATGTGTGAAGGATGTTGAACTGAGCCAGGCCGTACGGAGAGATGGTTTCTCGTCCGAAAGCATTGGCATCAACTACCTGAACTAAACCAACTAGCGCTACAGTGTTCCTTTTCCATCCTACCGAGGATGTGCGCCCTCGATAAGCCTTCCTCATCTCCCCGCATGCCCGAACAACCTCCAGCCAGCCGCGGCTGCACCAGCAAACCACCATTTAGCTGACACTGGTACACACGTCGATCATGCTCGGTACTTTTCGGGATATCCCACATCCACCTACCGATCGATTCCGACAAGAGTCATAGCTGTTTTCGCGACGACGGATGCGTTGAAGCGGTCTTCGCCACTCCTCAACAACCACATCCTGACAAGTCAATAGAAGAAGTCTTCGGTTTTCCGATGAGCGCATAAAATGGCCAGAAGCTTCAGAGACTTTTTCCCTTCCAACACTACAAGACGTACGACCAGTGTGATGCCGTGTTCCAGCTCACAGACATGTGAATGCATGTGATTCTGCGGCATACTTCTGGCGGCGTTCTTGTGGGTAACTGGGTTCAATATCTGGGGTGCCACGCGCCGCTTACCCACCAAGGGTTCCGGAATGTGGACGAGACACTCTCGGAGCATGCAGGACAACGAGTCCTAGCCTCACACGCAATCATGACACAGCGCTAATTTGTAGCTCGGGGATGGGCGTGGTCATGCTACTCATATATTCTCCGACGGCAGTTGGATGGACTTATGCCCGCACTGCCGTGTCTGCACCTCTGCTTGCTGAAATGGGAGCTATGACCACCTGCGAGCTTTGTTCGTTCCCCCACACTCCAGCATAATCTTCGAAGGGGGTTCGTCATCTGGCTTCTTGTAGTGAAGCCCAGACCCCCACCATGGGCAATGTGGAAACAATTGGTAGAGGACCTCGCGCTCAGGTCTATCAAGCTCTGTAAACATGCTCACTCCAGTATTCGAGTCAGCTGAAAAATGCTCCGACGGACTGTCCCAAGACCGCATCTTCCGAATTGAGATCGACTGAAATTCTGAGTAGCGACGGTGAGCATAGTATCATAGATGTCCTCGACAGCTCCGACGTCCCTTTGTGTCCCGAATAGACTTCGAATTCGGGATTGTGCAGAAAACCATCCACGGCAGCAGCATCATTCAGCGCCCTTTGACGCCCAATTGAGTTTGTAGCTCTACAGTAAGCTTCGAGACTGGCTGTTGGTCATGTTTTCCCTGGATGACTCTATAATCAACACAATCGCAAGCCATGTAGCCAAACTCGATCAAATTGTGCTATTCATATTACATCTTTAGGGCATGTGATCCTCTTCTGTTGAGATTGTGACATACTACAGGAGAACCAAAACATGGCATGGCAACCATATGGTCTCGTGCCCTGTATTTTACTTAAGGCCTTCCTGAACGTCTGGAAAGCACACCAAATTTAGATTTAATCTGCTGCTGGCGGGGAAGCTGCTGACTCAGCAGGCCCAGGGTCTATCACGGAAATCACGCGGGGCGATCCTCTGTTTTCTCTGCAACCACATCATCCTCAACACCAACAGTCCATGCCAGTCGCGTGCGTGACAGCTTATACAATTACTTCAACATGGGATCTAAGACCCCCGAGGGACATCGGCAGGAACCCGATGGTATGTGCCATCTCAACCCTAAGAATGAATCCTTGGATCTAACTTGACCGTGTGACTTAGCCCCCAACTCCGACTTCAAGCCCGCCAATCCTCAAGTCAAGGTCTCTCGAAATGGCTCCGGCTCTGCGGACTTGGATCGAGGGATCATCAGCGACGATGATGACGACGACGACAATTCGAAGGAAGAAAATGGGGTGAACGGAGCCTCGACTGCTGGTACGTTCGCAACAATCATCACCACTCGGATCAACCTTATAAACAACACTGATACAATCACACCCCCCCACCTAGACAAAAAACAAAAGAAACGCAAGAGGTCCAAGAAGAAGAAGAAGACAACCCCCACTGCGCAGACCACCCCACCGCGGGTGCCGCTCTCCACCCTCTTCCCGTCCGGCCAGTACCCGCGCGGAGAACTCGTCCCCTACGCCGAGGACGAGAACACCGCCCGCACGACCGACGAAGAACTGCGCTACAACTCCCGCCTCTGGGACGACGACTTCCTGCCCGACTACCGCAAGGCGGCCGAGGTCCACCGCCAGGTCCGCCAGTATGCCCAGCGGGAACTGATCAAGCCGGGCGCCAGCCTCACCGACATCGCCGAGGGGATCGAGGATGGCGTGCGCGCGCTCACCGGCCACCAGGGCCTGGAACCCGGCGACGCTTTTCATGCGGGCATGGGGTTTCCGACCGGCCTGTGTCTGAACAATGTGGCGGCGCACTGGACGCCGAACCCCGGCGCCAAGGATGTCATTCTGGATAAGAACGACGTTCTCAAGGTGGACTTCGGGGTCCATGTGAATGGGCGCATTGTCGACTCCGCGTTCACGGTCGCGTTCGAGGACAAGTACGATAACCTCCTGACTGCCGTGAAGGAGGCGACCAATACTGGTATCAAGGTATGTGCAGTGACTCCGAGGACACAGGCCAGATGACTGATTTGACTAGCATGCCGGTATTGATGCGAGGATGGGCGAAATCGGCGCAGCCATCCAGGAGGTGATGGAAAGCTACGAGGTCGAGATCGACGGGAAGACCCGCCCCGTTAAAGCCATTCGCAACATCACCGGGCACGATATTCTGCGCTATCAGATTCATGGCGGGAAGCAGGTCCCGTTCATTAAGAGCAACAATCGCGACAAAATGGAGGAAGGAGAAGTGTTCGCCATCGAGACGTTCGGAAGCACAGGGAAGGGGTACCTAGAGGATGATGTACGTATACGCCGATTCTCAGGTTCGATTCAGGTTCTGATAACTTCTCAACAGGTGGGCCTCTACGGCTACGGTAGAAACACCGATGTGTCTGGTGCCAACCTGCGTCTCGCATCTGCGAAGTCCCTGCTGACGACCATCGATTCGAATTTCGGGTCGATTGTTTTCTGTCGTCGCTATCTGGAGAGACTTGGGGTGTCCCATTATCATCTCGGGGTGAGTATTTCCATGGCCACGGGCTATTTGGTTTCTGTTACTGACGAGTTCCATAGATGAAAAGCCTGATCGATAATGGTATTGTCGAGTCTTATGCGCCGCTTGTCGACGTGAAGGGCTCCTACACCGCCCAGTTCGAACATGTATGGCTCCCTTCCGCTATGTGATACACCTTGGATTGAAATTAATTCGTGCTCTAGACCATTCTCCTCCACAGCGGCGGCAAGGAAGTCATCAGTCGTGGTGACGATTACTAGGTTAGCTATTCAGTTTGACATCTATAGACGATGTCGCTGGCGTTTTGCTTTGCCTGTTTACTTTTGACTAAGTAATGCTTCGTTCAACCCTTCGATAACCTCGGATTCAACATCCGTTCAGGTACATGTTCGCTCGAATCCTGATTGCTGCATTTTTGTTGCCTTGGGTGCGCTGTCGCGTATCAACGCATCCTAGTCCAGTCATTACCTCCATTTGAATATGAAACACCGGTTTACTGATCGGGCTTCACTCTCCGCCTCCCTGTCACGATAGACGTAGTATAGGACACAACTCCTACTAGATAGCCCCTATGATACTGTTATCTCTCAAGCTGTTATGCGATCAGTCACGGATCCTCCAGCAACTGCCTCGCCGTCTTCCGTTCCTCCGGCATTCGCTTCAGCATCGACCGGACGAGTCTTAGAAACGAGGCTGTCTCCTCCCCAAACAGGCGCTTCTTCCGACGGGCACAGCCGCCTCTGCCCCTGCAATTCAGGGCCCTGACCACACATCAGCCCGGCGTTCCAAACCAACAACAGTGGAGAAAAGAAACCCAAGCCTATCACAAGGATCAAAACTGGTGGATAGGGTGGGTTGCACACTCTATAAGACCTCTGCACTGCAGCCTTAGCAGATATCTAGTGTGCTGACTTGGCCTACGGTAAGGAGGTAAGTTCTTATTACACCCCCTTAATACGCCGGTAGTCTAACTAAAGCTGAAATTTGTATAGAAATCTCTTTTCAAAAAGTATAGATTGATGATAGAATATTTTATAGACTTACTTTCTCCTGCAGAACAGCAGCGTTCAATCCACTTTTTTTACAATCGACCAAAATATGGTATATTTTTATAGAATATCTCACAGCCAGCAAGCCGACGACAAAGATTCCGGCAAAAAGCAGTCGGACGACCAAGAATCGTATGACAAGAAGTCCAACGATGATGATGCGAATGAGGACCAGGAGAGCGGCAACAAAGGCAGCAAATGATATCGCGACAAAGAGGGCAAGGAGGATAGCGAGGGCAAGGATCAAGTGATCAGCAAAGACGGTGACAAGGACGGCAAAGTTGAAAGTTACAAGGACGATGACAAGCAGGATACAAGGACTCCAATGACGAAGTTGATGGCAACGAGAGCCAGGAGGATGGCCAAGTCAGCGAAAATCGACTCAAGGAGTCTGCCATCAGGGCTGATCCCAACACTAGGCTCAGAGACCACCAAGCTACTATGAGGGACTGGCAATTGGTGTGACATGACCGACTATGTACTGTACTCGGGCTGCGTGTGGCATCAGATGCACTGGCCCTTGGGCTATCGCTTGCGTTATCTAACAAGGATCTCCACTACCCAGCGTAGACTTTCCAGCCAATCTCCCTGGCCTACTCGCAATTCCCAGCCTCGTAGAACACCCGAAAACGCGACTTTCTTCCCAGCAAAGTTGCCGGCGAATCGAACTCGACCACCTCGCCGTGATCGAGCAGTACCACACGATCGCTATCCAGGATGGTATCGAGCCGATGCGCAATCGTGATTACCGTGCAGTCCTTAAAACGCTCTCGAATGACCTTCTGGATAAGTCGTTCTGTGGCGACATCGATGCTGTTTGGGGGAACAAGGTGAGTAGGTCAGGATAGAGAAGAGAAGGCAGAGATGACTTACTCGCTAGTGGCTTCGTCCAGCACCACAACCCTGCACCGCTTCAGTATCGCGCGGCCCAGGCAGAACAGTTGCTTCTGTCCATGCGAGAGATGGACCTGAGACATGTCGGTGTCGAGACCGCCCTGCTGTTCGATTATTTTCTCCAGGTGAACGGCAGCCAGTGCTTGATTAACGCTGACATCATCGGAGACGCTGTGAGGGTCCATATTATCACGGACAGAGCCGGGCAAGAAGCAGGGCTCCTGGGGAATGGCATTCATGGCGGTGCGGACGATATTGGCCGGCAGTGTCGAGGTGGCGATGCCGTCAATGATGATACTTCCTTCAGTCACCTCGATCATTTTGAATAATGCCATCATCAAGGAGGATTTGCCGCTATCAATGTCACGGTTGACGCACACTGTCAGTTTGGATGCTATTATGACGGTATCAAGGTTTGGACCTTCACCGTTGACTTACCTGCCAGTTCGACCGCACACTCCGACCTTCTCCCCGGGCTCGATTCTCAAAGACATCTTACGCAGAGCCGGGACAGTCCCAGTCCTGGCACGTGTTTGTGAGACTCAATACAATTTCGGAAATACAGCAGCAAGGAAAACGTGGAAGACTTACTGGTACGTGGCAGTGAGATTCTGGAACTCGATATGCCCTCGGTCCGGCCAGTTCTCGGGAGGTGTCGTGGTCTCTGTGGAGAGCTCCTCCGCCGGGGTCTCGCTGGCATAGTCTCGAACACGCCCGATCGAGGTCAGGGATGTTTCAAACTCGGTCCAGACCATGATGATGTCAGTCAAGATGCCGCTCAAGCTGATAACGTTTGAGAGGGCTACGCCTGCGAAACCAGGGCTGATCCGATCTTTGAGTCCAATGAGCAGCCCGATCAGAAGAAGCACAAATCCGGCAGCCAGGCAGTCCATGACCAGGGCCAGCCAGCGTTGGACACAGAATAGAAGATAGAACGGGGTCTGCGATCGAGTCAAGTGCTTGTGGTTTTGCCGAATCAGTCCTTCTTGCCATCCAAAGGCGCGGACTGTAGCCAGTCCATCGAGAGACTCCATGAACTGCGAGCTGTAAGGGGAAGATAACTCAGGCTTAGTGGTGCTTGCCCAAGGAGCGCGTCTGACAGTGTAGCGTGACACTTACTAGAGGGGGCCCTTGTTCTCCAGGTCCATCTTCCGTAGCTGCCGCGAGGTTCTCAGATAGACCTTCTGCAGCACAAACATCACTAAGAATATCACCGGATACGAAATCGCCACCCAATACGATGAAGTCATGATCAGGAGTATCTGGCCCAGCATAATAAGGCCACCTGTCGTTGACATTAACAACCATGCACCGGACAAGGGGAAACGACGGTACTGACTGCAGAAAATGTTTAAAAGCGCCATGGGTAGCTCCGTGTCAACAAACTGTATATCCTGACTGAATCTGCATCATGAAACAGGAGTTAGACCCATCCCGGATACAGTTTCAACCATCAACCAACCTGGAAATAATTGAACCAAGCTTGGTTGCTTGAAAGAAAGACATGGGCGCCCTGTCATTGGTGTTAGAACTAATGATGTTGTCAAAAATGCTTCCGGCGCAATCACCGAAAAGTCGTTTGCACAAGGGTCCAGTGGAGGGATCGCCCTGCGGACGATACAACGTTGATCACAGCATGCCTGGTCGAGGATCAGTAAGCGGACTAAATGCACGGTGGGAAAGAAGAGCAGGGGAGATGGAATGCACGCACCATCCCAGAACAGCGAGAGTTATAAGGCAGGAGCACTGAAAAAGTGCATAGATGCCCATATACATAGCTTGATGATATCCGGGATGTCTCTCATTTGCTTCACTCCACCATTCTGCCCAGACATCTAACCACTTGAATCAGCATTATCTCAAAGCATAGCATATCTATTCAACAGGTGGGCGCCCTTACATGGGAAGCAGAAGAGAAAAGCGTACGCAATGGCAATTAGTACATAAGCCAGAGAAAAGAGCTTTCCGATCGACAGCATGTAATAGACCATCACATTCACCCTGTTAGCTGACTCCGTTGCTGCCGAACTTGAGCCAATCTCAGAGACTGCAACCTGTGGCTTTTCCACAGTTGAGGAGTTAGCTTGTGTGCTGGGCAGTTTGGCATCCATTTCAATTTCGGGGATAGGGGTAGGCGCGTGGGATGTATCACTCGTTGGCGGGCTCGGGCGCCGTTGCAACTCGGACAGCGACTCCTGTTCCACCACTTCACCATTCGCACTGAGACGAATAATGTGATCAGCGTAAGAAGCGTGGTGCTCTTAGTGCATGAAGTTGTCGGTTAGCTAGATCAGCCCGGTCCGAAAGGTATGAGGAGGTTTCTCACCTGCATGGGTTGCCAACACTGTTGTACTGCCATTATTCCGTAAAAGCCCACTAGGCCCCAGCAAACGTTGGAGAACTTTGGCTTCTGTAGTAGCATCAAGCCCACCGAGGATATCATCAAGAATATAGACACTGCGTCTTGCATAGATCGCTCGAGCGAGTGACTGCAATGAGTTTGGTCAGAATAGCGCACACAAGATCGTAGGAACAGACATTAGAGTGAGTGGCCTACCACGCGCTGCTTCTGACCCCCACTCAGATTTGCCCCATTGTCACCCAACTGCGTATCATTTCCATCTTGGAAGTGGAGAAGGTCCTCATCAAGGGCACAGGCGTGAAGGACGGTTTTGTACCAACGTTCATCGTAGTCGGAGAATGCCACAATGTTGTTTCTTAGGGTTCCGTCCCGAACCCAAGGTGTTTGAGCACAATATGCTGTGGTGCCAGTGGAGACAATTATCTCACCCTCCGAGGCAGGGATTTCACCAAGGAGCGCATGCAGCAAACTGGTTTTCCCGCAGCCAACAGGCCCAAAGATCATGGTGAGCTTCTGCCTGGGAATTGACAGGCTAATGTTGCACAGCACCGGGGTTACTCCTCCCGGCCAGATGAAACTCGCGCTCCTGATAGTAATGGCAGCAGCAGTTGTAGCCGATGATTTTTCTTCAACTTCAACATTCGCCGGCTTGAGTTTGTTGAGGGTGGATGCAACAATCTTGCGTTGGTCAGACCTCGGGTCAGTGAGCAGAAACTGCTGGATCCGTTGAAAACAAGCCACCATCGAGGCCAATTCCGGGGCAGATTGAAAGAGCATGCTCAAGGGCTGTGAGATCAGCATCAATAGTGATAGGGAGGAGAACATTCGACCAGCATCCAGGGTGACATGGCGTGCATGGTCTGCGGCAATAAAGACTGCAAAGGTCAGCACCGGGGATATGATGACCGGAAGGAATCCTGCTCAGAAAGTCAGTCACTGTCCCACCATAGCTCTTTACTAGAGGGAATATATATGTTAGACTCACCCATCATCATTGCGCCAATTTCCCACCACCTGAACCCAGCAGCAACTTTAAGCTCGTTTTCCCGCGCCTGTTGGAGTATCCCCATCACTTTGCGCATTAAGCCAGACATTCTCAGGCTTTTCATCGCAGAAAGGGTGCTGGAGGTTATTCCTGACATTTATAAGTCCTTCATCCAAGTTGAAATTCCGGCCTCAAAGCTTGGCAACGTACCGACTCGTTTTTCAACCACCCCCATCCAGGCTTCTTGCTGACGACCCGCAGAGGCTCCAAACCTCATGGTTAGCAAAGCACATACTGCACGACAAGTCAGTTTCTTCCGAATACTTCCAGAGCGCTGACTGGTGGAATTTTGCATACCAGCTGCGATTACAAGTGAAGGCACAACAGCGACACCAACTTGCCGTTCCAGCAACCAGGCTCCGAACGCAACTTGGATAAAATTCGCCCATATCTCGTGGATCATTCTCAGACCACCGACAATTCGCTCGACATCAGCATTCATGATCGTCAAGGCGGAGGACCTAGTGGTGGATGATACGTCGAGGCTGAGGGTCTTGCGGTAAACAACCGCAACTAAAGCGCCTCGCACGCAGGTAATGAACTGATAGGTCTGATGCCAATACCACGCCGTGGTCATCTACGGCTGCGTCAGTAATTGCCCAGGGTCGGTATCACGGGAGAAATATCACGCTCATACCGCAATTCCGACATAGACGATTGCGTAGGCGCCAAGTAGTCCGTAGCCGATATTCCGCTCGGGTGGTGTGCTGGGTGCATGGATGTAGTTGACCATTTGGACCAAGAGAAGAGGCTGTGTAAGGGTCAATGCAATGAGACAGAGCCTCGGCAGGATTGGGCTCAGAAGTCGCATCTTCAAAGCTTGAATCGTGGACACCAGGAGGGCATTCTTCCCGGTCTTGACAGCTACAAGAGCATTAGTGTTCAACTTTCTCTCCCACTGGATCAATGAGACGAAGACAATGGCAGCATGAAAAAGAGATACCTCGTTCCCAGACATCCCACAGGTCCTTCTCTAGGTTCACTGTACTGAACCCGGCCGGCATGGGATAGAGATCTTCGAATGCAAGCTCACGAATATAGCCCAGCCGGATGAGGTTGTTGATCCAAAGAAAGAAGGTTTTGGAAACGATGCCTGCAAAATCTTCCGGACTCTTGGGAGCATTGTGCTTCTGCATCAACCATCGGGTCTTGGGAACCGATTCCACGACGGTCTGTACTCCCCTCATGACGAAGGTCGCGGTGAAAATACTTGCAATGCTGGTTCTTACATTGGCAAGCCAAAGCGACCGTACCTGCACGCCATCAAGCAGGAGAGTTAACAGCAAATAACCATTTATGAGAGATGATGGTCGCGTGGTCTTCCTATGTTCGGCGTAGGAAAGCAGTGCCAGTCCAATTGCCGCAACCAGGTTCAATGCAGTGGCTGCAATTGATACTCTGGTGCGGTCCGCGGGGACCAGACAATAGATCACCAACAGGGCCAGTTGAAGGCAGGCAGAAATTGTGGATGCTGTCTTTTTTCGGCTGTGAGCTCTCTTTCCCATGTCCCCTTGTTCCTGATATGCATTTCCGCACTCACCAGTTTGGATCCTAGCAGGGCCCACCCGCTGACTAGGTAATGTCTTTGGCATAGTTGGTAGCCTCTCCCTACGGCGAAGAGCAGGAAAAGCGAGGATGGCAGAATGGACAGCACTGACTGTTCGAAAAGCAGTGTAAAGTCAAATGCACGACGGCAAGGGTGCACTGTTGGACCCCAAAGATCGTCCAAGGCGAATGAGCATCTTTGCTGTGACATAGTGACAATATCGTTTCTGGGTCAGAGGGGAGGAATATTTGCGTCGATAGCAAGGGCATTCAAAGCGGGCACCTCTTTAAGGGCCGTTAGGTTCCGGGTCGAATAAAAAGCACACTGTTCACGCTTTTTTGGGTTGGGTTCCTTTTCTACCTGTAGATTGATACGAGCCAATCTTCCTTCATCAAGGCGTTTGCATAAGATAAGAGGCACATGGGGCGAATGTCAATGGACCCGGACATGGTCCGACATTCTTCAGGAGATAAGTACTACAATCTATGGGTGGATATGATCGAGATAGGGCATGCACATATGAACCCATGTACCGCTACTGGTCTATGCTGTATTAGCTGTGCTTGTCCGAGGAGGTGATTGATGCTTTCCACCCACTCGGCTGCAGAAAATCCCGCCAACATCTGCATCCAGCCATGCATGAGGCCACCAATGCAGTAAAATCAGGCGTGGATCTGCGTTTCGTATCTCACCGGACGAAAATAACTCAGGCATTCCAGAGGGCTGCCACGGCGGCTTCCCGTTGGACTCCGCTGCACGAAGCATGAGAGATGCATTCAAGGACTCCAAGGCGTCGCAGTCACTCGGACATGACCGATGATGACCGATGCATGACTTGTGGGGTAGCGATTGTTGCAGGAGGTATTTGAGCTCGTCTAGTTGGAGTCGATACCTGAATCTGGCTCATTCTTCTTTGCGCTTTTCACCTTCGCCTTGATCGACATGGCTTCCCCAACCCGCACTGCGTTGTTGCTCATCGACATCCAGCAGGGCTTCTCGCATCCCACCCATTGGGGCACGCAGCGCTCAACACCGCAGTTTGAACAGAATGTTACTGCTCTCCTGGCCGCCTTCCGCACTACGCCTGGTGCTCATGTTCTTCACGTCTGTCACCATTCCACCTTCCTTGGGTCGCCTCTGCACCCGTCGAAGCCAGGTGCGGACTTCATGCCATACGCACGACCGATCAAGGGCGAGGCCGTCTTTTCCAAGACCACCAACTCTCCTTTCATCGAGACGGATCTCGCCGATGTCTTGCGCCAGTTGAACTTGCAGCGGCTAGTGATTATCGGACTGATGACGGCTCACTGTGTCAGCACAACCCTCCGCGCCGCGTCCAATCTACGGGTGGTCAACCATGGCTATGGCTGCGTTGTCAAGGATGGAAGCGAGCCCCAGGCAGAGATCATCCTTGTGCAGGATGCCACAGCCACCTTCAACGTTCAATTCGACGGGCGTGAGTACGACGCCGAGGCAGTCCATGCCATCCACCTCGCCACCATGAAGGACGAATTCTGCGATGTCACCACTACCGCGCATGTTCTCGGCCGGATGCAGGCCTCTGGAACGCAGAGTTGGAGCGAACGTACCGTAATCGATGCAGACAGTAAGCCGCAGGGACGGCAAGCGAGGATATCTAGTCGTCTCTAAGCGTCGGCTGCCTGGGTCAGACGGCGATGACCGAGTGGGCCTACCTTCGTTAGTTTTTGATGTTTCATCCAAGCCTTGCAAATTCTACTTCTCTGAAATCGGTATGATTTGACCTGTGGGCCGTAAGCGCTAAACTGGAATGTAATGTTGTATTCTGCGTGTGGGAGATAGAATACTCCTCCCTTGATGATTTTCGGCATCAAATGCTTACTGTATGTACTGTATGTATGTATAAATGTATCCATCGGTCTAAATATGCTTAACGTTACTTGAGTTACGCATACGCGGGGAAATTGCTGCAATAGCTGCAGGAATGACCGACGGATTCCGGCTCCTTCGAGTGCCGATTAGGGCTAGAGGATGAGCTGTCACTGCAGACTCACTGCAGACTCCGCCCCCTTGGCATCAGGCGTCCACAAAGCTTAGCGGTACTGAAGCTGTATCCCTCTCTACTTATCATGTCAGGCGATATAATTAGTCTCTCATCGCTCTTATCATTGACCTACCCCTCTATGCAACTACCCCTCCATGCATCTACCCCGCTATGCTTCTGCCCATGTCTCCATTTCAACTACCCCTCCGTAAGATGATGTGGGGCGAATCCAGCGGCTTTGGATCCCTCGCGCAACTGACATGGCGAGGCTGGACTCGGTGCAAATCGTCTGAAAACGGCGGGCAATGTTAGGCGAACCGACGAATCGGACGATTAGAAGCACACTAGACAGACAGATCGTGTCAAATAACAGGTCATACATGCACCTGTCTTGCAAAATACTTCGCCTGACATGCCACGGTATTGGTATTACATTTCGCCGTGAGCCTCATACTCTGTATTGTATTGTCCTGTACTGTACTGTACTGTGCTTCGCGATTCAGTCTGTATGTACAGTAGCATACATACATCTGCGCAACCAATACAGTAAAATATGCATGCATTGCTTACATGTATCAAGGGCATCTCCAACCGTGAAGATTGACTCCCTGATCAGGCCATTGATGGCTCGTGGTGAGACCTCGGAAAGAAAATCATTTTTGCAATTTGTCTTTGTAACATGATCTAAAATTGCCAAGGATGACTAAGAAGAATATGTTTCTTGCAAGCAGAGTTGTCCTGAACCCCTCATACCTGAAGCCCTCATACCCTATACAAACATGTTGATGAACAGCCCCCCCCCCCCCCGCCCCCACTTCCTCGCTCCTTTTTATCGTGCAGAGAAAACGCTTAGAGGCTCTGCTGCTGACGGAGGTAAGGATAGATGGCTTCACTCCAAAGCGGCCGCATCTTGTACACACCCAATTTCTCTGGCATGCTCTCGATGGCATCGGCGAGCGCGGGGCCATTGCCTTCGGCTCGCACATCCTGCAGCGAGGTCATGTATGAGCGGACACAGAAGATAACTGCGCGCGACCTCGCCAGCCGGGTCAAAGTCTGATGCTCCACCCGGAGATAACAGTCGCCTAGGTTGACAGCACGCGGTTTGAGGGGTAGTTGATTATCCTTCTCGGGATAGAAGTTATTGCCATCCATGCGGAAGAGATCCCGGCCATCAGTCTGGAGACTCCACTGTGTGCCACGTCAGTCAAAAGGGTTTCCAAGGAATGGAAGCACAAGAGGATCCCTTGTAGGTGCTTCTAGATGGTTAGCTCTTACATTCATCCTTCCCACGAAGACTCCTGGCTCAAGGCGGACAAGAAATCGGTCTGCACCTTTGCCAATACGAGCTTCAAATCCAGGTACGGGCTGGTGAATCTCGCGCATTGACATGCCTACACGCGAAGGGCTTAGAAATCCCCCGGGGAAGCAGGCAATGTAACCCTGCAGTCTCAACTCATTTTCCGCATCGGGACACATAATATAGAAGTCTTCTTCGACGTTCTCACCCAGGTTGCGCAGCATGGTCAGTGGAGTCAGTCCCGCGAGATCGACAGAATAGGACTGGTTGGTGACCTTGTTGTGGAGAGTCTTGCCGCGCAGTTCGAACATTGTAGGATAGCGTCGGGGTAGGAGGTCCATGACTTCCTCGTAAAGCTCTGCAATGGCCGGGTCGACGATGAGGTTGCTCCCAAAGACCTCCTTGGGATTGGTCTGCATGACTTGCTTACGTTCCTCGATGCGGTCGAGGTAGCCTCGGTCAATACGGATCCACTCCTCCTTGGGCATTTTCTTGATCCCTGTCTCAGGTAGAGTTTGTTGAGGTCAGATTTCGAGCACCATGGCGCATGAAGAACAAGGAATGAGGCTCACCCATTGAAACGTGCTGCATGGTCTTGAAAGGTCGGTAGTCGATTGGATTGATCGTGCGATAGTTAAAGTCTGTCAGTGGTGTGATAGTAGTAGTTTCGCCGGATGGGTAATTGTGGCCCGGCTGTTCTTTCTTTTTCTGAAAGTCCATGCATTAGCATTCTGTCCCGGCAAGATATCGCCAATCGAAAAGTCCATGGCATGACAGATTGTTACGAGGTACTACCAGTTCTTTGCGGTTGTTCCTCTCCGCCAAGCTCGGAGATATCATCATCCAAAAGGTCAGATAAGCTAGTACTCCAGTGGTGGCAAGCAGCCATGCGGCGGTGATGGAATTGACCCCCTTGGGGATCATCTCCATAAGGGCCTTGCCATGGTGATACTCGACCATTGTGGACTCACAGTAAGATCCTAGAAAACAATGTGGAGTGGAGTGCAGAAATGAGGTCAGAGGGATATGCCCGTGTGTCTTGTTCTCAAAGCTGGCTCCATAGTCTGGTAGCCTTGCGAACGCGTGGTTTATATATTTCTTCGGACACCACCCTTCTCTGCCTCGCCCGTGAATCCGGATCAGACAACCCTCTGAGAGCACGGTATTCTGATGTATTAAAATGATGCCTTGAATCACGACGGCAAATCCATATAAGGGTTGAGTATTGATCATACGTCGTGTTTCCTCCTCCTTTTGTCTTCTTTCTTGTTCGCTCAAGTTTCGTGTGTATTTGCAATATTTTGGCTGGCTATCTTACTATACAGTAATCAAAGTACAAGAAAGGTAACGCATGCAGCGCTCTTGTAATATAACAAAATGCAGCTAGGGATCCTCCAGTATGGGGTCCTCTTCATGGCCTGTACTAATTCAAAGTCGGAAGGTGGGGGAGACAAGGAAACACTTAGGAGAGATGCTTGATAGAAAGCAGCCGTTACTTCGGCGCCTGTCCGAATGAAGCTGTAAGATTGGTAGAAACTGCAATATCGAGTAACAATTTTTCTGAAAGGATGTCACTACTTCCTTCATTATCCGGGTGATTTGGAGACGTGGTGCCGTGCCAACCGAGAGGGCCATTAATACATGATGGGCTTTGTATCAGTCGGATGGCCGCGTGTAGTCTGTCAACTAACCGATGAGTGCGGTACGCCGCGTAAGAAATACCTTATACCCGGATCATAATGGTTAGTCAATCAGACCACGTTGGATAGCGGAGTTCTATCACGGTAGGCCGACGAAACTGCGTTGGATCCGACTAAGGGGGAGCCATCCTGGCCCCTCCCATCCAGTCACTTAAGTAAGAGACCTAAGATCTCTATAAATGGGAGCGTTCGAACCGTTTTAGTCCGTAGGGTCATTCATTTCGACAATTTCGACACGTTGTACATGTCACGTTCAAGGACAGGATGCGCTCCGAGCCTACACACCACGCTGCTGCTTCTGCTCTGGCAGCAGCAATGATCGCCGAGCTGAGAACAGATGAAACATTCCTATCCCTACACGTGCAGAATGTATCTCTCTGCAATGCGTTACAAAGCCTGTTAATGGAGTACTCGATCAGCTGTTCTTCGTGTATATTGCAATATGTGCTGGACCTTCCCCCCGGACTCGACCTCCATCGATTAAAGGCCGCTTGGAATTGCGTGGTTGCATCTTGTGAGATCCTACGTACCAGGATATTCAGTACCGTCAAAGGCGCCATCCAGACTGTTGTGGAAGAAAGTTCGTCTTGGGATTGTGACAACTCTCTGCAAGCATATCTGAGCAGGGACCTCAAAATACCCATGGGCTACGGTTCGCCACTCTCGCGCTGGGGCATCATTGGAGAGCAGAAGGGAGCCACCGAGCGGTTTATGGTTCTGAGTCTTCATCAGTCCATTCATGACGACCGAACTGTGACTGTGCTCCTTGAACGACTATGTCGGGAATACGAGGCCTTAGGTGAGGGTGGAGGGGGTTCAGGGCGTCACGTTCCACAAATCTCTCTCGATGGCTCTGTTCAGCTACCGACGGCAGATCAGGATGCGAAAAACGAATCGATCCCTGCCTGGTGGAAGGCAGAAGCAGTGCGCGACTCTCTCACTGGTGTGGACTGGATTTCACAGCAAGTTTGCGCATCTTCTGTCGTCGAGCACGAAGCGATGATCCTGGGGCTGAACATGTCAACTCCCCATCTTTCACAAGTGCTATATTCAGCATGGGCTATCACTATCAGCACATATGCTCAAGCTTCGGATGTGACATTTGGAACTGTTGTCTTTCACCGTGATCAAAGCACCTATGATGGCGTGAGCGCTGAATCCACATCCCCAGAGATTGCCTTGCTGCCAGTACGCATTTCAGTTGAGCAAGCAGACACGACAATGCAACTCCTAGATCAAGTTAGCAAGATTGACTATAGTCGCGAAAGTGCCGAGATGCCCTGGACAGGGCCACTTGCTAGCCTGCTCTGTATTCGAGACCCAGTTCCGAAGGCCTTTCGGTGTGGTGACCAAATCCTTAGTCTATTTCGCCCGACGACACGCAAATACCCATGTCCGCTGACCCTGGAATGTCACGGCGGACAATACCTACGAGTTGTGGGACATTTTGATGAGTCCATCTTCACCACTCAGCGTGTGCGATGTCTACTGCAACAGTTTGTCCATGTTGTGCGGCAACTGTCAATTTCCTCCCACTCGCCGAGGGTCCAGGACGTAGAAGTCCTGAGTCCCGAGGATAAGCAGCAGATTTGGGCATGGAATGGTCGGCCTATTCCATCCGTCAACCGTTGTCTCCACCATGTCTTCGAGGAGGTTGCAGCGAGGCATCCCAGTCGCATAGCAGTCAATGCATGGGATGGTGTACTCACCTACCAGCAGCTCGATGAGCAGTCAACTCGTCTCGCCCATCAATTACAGAAAATCGGCGTCGGGCCTGAGATTATAGTTGCTTTATACCTTGATAAGTCCAAGCAGGTTCCAGTCTCCATCCTCGGGGTTCAAAAGGCCGGCGGCGCCTGCCTCACCTTCGACACTCAACAGCCTGTGAGCAGGTTAAGGTCAATTCTCAGCGATGGTAGAATTGCCATTATGCTCACTGATAGATCACATGTGTCACTGTGTGAAAGCTTGGTCCCCCGTGTTATATGTGTGGATGAACCGGCGCTGAAATCTCTTCCACAACCTCTCACCCTAAGCGAGGGTGCGCTGAGAACTGGGAAAGTTCAGCCCTTCAACAGGGCTTTTGTTTTGTATACGTCTGGAAGCACAGGGACTCCCAAGGGAATTGACGTGCCCCACTCGGCGATGTGTACTTCAACCTTGGCCTTCGCACAAGCCTTCAATGTCTCATCGGACTCGCGGATATTCCAGTATTCCAGCTATGGTTTTGATGCCAGTGCTGGGGATATGTTCCTTGCCGTGCTTCATGGCGCGTGCCTCTGTATACCCTCGGAATATGACCGAGTGAACCAGCTAGAGCACTCCATTTGCCACTTGAAGGCTAACTGGTTATGCACAACACCTTCTGTCTTGGGGCTTCTAGACCCCGACAATGTCCCTTGCCTGGAGACGCTGGCCATTGGAGGTGAAGCTCTGCCGAAGAACATCACTCTTCAATGGGCACCACGACTTCGATTTCACACCGGTTATGGGCCAAGCGAAACAGGGGTCCTGGCATCTGTGCTCGAAGTTCAGAATAACCAGCATCCATACTCCAATGTCGGACGTGCCATGGCTTGTCATCATTGGATTGTCTCCTCGGATGACTGCAATCGTTTGGCACCACTGGGGTGTCCCGGGGAGTTGGTCATTGAAGGCCCCACGGTTTCTCGGGGGTATCTGAATCGCCCTGAGCTCACAGCACGCGCCTTCCCCCGCCAGCCAGCTTGGTTTGACCGTCAAGTAGGCCGACTTCCATCTCGCTTTTACCGGACGGGTGACATTGCCAGGCACAATGACGATGGGACGCTCACCTTTCTAGGTCGTCGGGATGCTCAAATCAAATATCATGGTCAGAGAATTGAGCCCGGCGATATCGAGTTCAGCATCAACCAACATGAGCTGGTCAGGGAAGCGGTGGTGCTGTATCCATCAGATGGCCCATATGCTGGCAGACTTACGGCGGTTGTCGCACTGGATAAGGACTTCTTGTCGTCTCCCTCATCTGATGAGGCTCCGCTTCTCATCGATCCAGGGATGCTACAGCGCCAACTTGAAAATGTTCGGACATCCACGCAAACGGAGCTTCCTCCCTATATGTGGCCAACGGAGTGGCTTCTCATGTCGAGGCCATCTTTGAACATGAATGGTAAACTTAATAGGAAGGAGATCTTGAACAGCGTGAAGAAGATGACGCAGGAGGTCTCCCAGACCAAGCAGCCGCCTCCAGACGCTTCACGCCCGCTGACTCTTTCCCAGAGCCCCTTTATTGACGAGTCCGAGCATTTAAGCCAGGGTCAGCAGGTGCTCCTGATGCAATGTAGTGCTATCTTGCAACTTCACCGTTCTCAGGTCCCAATGGAATCCACATTTGTTAGCCTTGGGGGCGACTCGCTCACGGCAATTCAACTAGTCACAGCCTGTCGGAAGAAGGGCGTCGAAATCGATGTCCGAGATATTCTCAGGGGTGTTAGGCTGAAGGACGTTCCCTATAGCGCACCTGGGCTTTCAAGGGCGGTTTCACTCGCACCGCAGCAGCCTGGGCCCCATGCAGAAAACTGCACACAAGGAATTGACATGTTCGATGCATTCGGTCTTAGCCCCCAGAGTGTCTCCAGCATCAGTGGCATTCCAAGTCATGATATACAGGCCATCTACCCTTGCCTGTCCATGCAACAGGGTATTCTCACGAGTCGGTCTCGCGACCAGACTTTATATCAGACAGCACACGTATTTGAGATTACGGGTCGTGCAAATCAGGAAGCTATGTGGGATATGCAGACGATCATATCCGCCTGGCGCATGGTTATCGAGAGGCATGATGCGCTCAGAGCTGTCTTCTTGGAGTTGCCAACTCACACAGAGCATTTTGCTCAGGTCATTCTACGCCATCCAGTGGTCCAAGTTACACAGCATTCCAGCAAACACGAGATACTAAGCTTGTCAGAGGAACCATTTCCTGACTTCAAACCGCCGCATAGGCTTCGCTTAGCACCCGCTGGGAAAGATGCCTTTGTCTGTAAATTGGAAATGAGCCATGCAATAACAGATGGCAGCTCGATGGATCTGATATTCCGGGATCTTGTCCGAGTCTGTGCTGCGTCAAATCCTCTTCCAGAAGCTGTTTCCAATACAAGCTATGGTGACTATATCCGCTATCTTCGCAACCAGGATAGGGATGCTGGCTTGGAATACTGGATGAAGTATCTTCAGAGAACAGAAACCTGCCACCTTAAATTGCCGACATCGAACCACCCCTCTGCGCCCCCGAAACTGCAATCGTACAGCATTGATATTCCATTGGAGCAGTCAATCCTGGTCGAGTTGAGGCGGCGGAGCCTGACTATTGCAGATCTTCTCCAGCTGACTTGGGCAACTGTCCTGAGATTATATACCGACCAACGCGAAGCATGCTTTGGATATATATCCTCGGGCAGAGCAGTGCCAGTGGATGGCATTCGTGACGCCGTGGGGCCATTCATCAACCTGCTAACCTGCCGACTGGCTGTTGATTATGAGCAAACTCCTGCTCAGCTAATGTTGACACAGAAAGATGATTTTATCTCAAGCATCCCCCATCAACACGTCTCCTTGGGAGATATCTGGCATGCCGTCGGCATATCTGGAGTGGGCCCCTTCAACACCCTGATATCCATCCTCAATGCAACAGGCCCAGAACTCGGCATTGAGACGAAGATGACTTTGAAGAGCTTGGAGGTCTATGACCCCACTGAGGTCAGTCACCCGTTTCCTTGATCCTTTCTTGCGCACAAGATCAATACGCCCGTAAGAAAGACGCTCACGTATCTGAATGCAGTACGAATTGACGGTGACATCGTATCTTTCTCCGGGGCTTGCAACAGTGCGCTTCGACTACTGGAGTGACAAGGCCTCCAGTGATTCAATAAATAGACTCGCGCACACATTTCGCCACGTCTTTCAGACGGCCGGCTCCACGCTCGATTCACCACTCAAGTCATTGTGCTTGATTAGCGACATGGATTTTCGACAGATCGTTGACTGGAACAGCAACACTCCCCTGGCCGTGGAGAAATGTATTCACGAGGTCATATCTTCACGTTCTTCAACAGCGCCGCAAAGTCCAGCCTTGTGTTCCTGGGATGGGGAGCTAACCTATAGGGAAATGGACGCCATTTCGGACACGGTTGCCCAGTCTCTTAGAAGTATGGGTGTGCGAGAAGAGGTCGCAGTTCCTCTATGCTTCCACAAGTCTTTCTGGGCCGTTGTGGCAATGATCGCTGTTCTCAAAGCAGGGGGTGCAATTGTTCCCCTTGATCCATCCCATCCCATCTCGCGACGTTTGGAGATATGTCGTCAGGTCAAGGCGCAAATGATTCTGGTTCCAAGTGACGGCAGTATACAAGCAGAGTGGTCTGAGTCACAGCTACGCATGGTGGAGATCTCACATCTCCGGTATCAACAACTACTGACAGAGAAGCCCACTGGGGCAGGATGTCTTCAGATTGGAAATATTTCTCGGAGTTCGCCAGCCCACAGCGCATACATTGTCTTCACCTCGGGTACTACAGGCGTCCCCAAGGGCATCGTCACGGAGCATGGTGCATTCTGCTCCGGTGTGGCAGCTCGAGCGAAGGCGATTATGCGGTCCTCCAAGACTCGAACTCTCCAATTCGCCTCTTTTGCCTTTGACACCTGTTTAGAAGATATCTTGACCACACTCATGCAAGGCGGATGCGTCTGTCTCCCCTCGGAGCAAGAGCGTCTGAGTGACCTTCCAGGAGCGATACGGCGAATGAATGTGAATACGGCGGAACTCACTCCCTCGGTGGCCAGGCTGCTCCAACCCAAGGATGTTCCATCGTTAGAAACATTGATCTTGGGCGGAGAACAGGTGACAGCAGACATCATCATGCAATGGTCTGAGGCTGTCACCTTGATCAATTCTTATGGACCGGCGGAGTGCTCCGTGACCAGTGTGGTCTCTCCTCCCTATGAGCTGGAGGCAAAAGATCGCCATGCGAGCAACATCGGACTCGGGGTTGGAGCATTGACATGGGTTGTGGACAGCCAAAATCCCAACCAGCTAGTTCCGATAGGTGCTGTGGGCGAGCTGCTGCTTGAAGGACCAGTTCTGGCCAGGGGCTATCACGATAGGCAGGATCTGACCGATGCCAATTTCATCACCGATCCTGCATGTTTAAGGCAGTCGCAGCCGCGTTTTCCCCGACGATTCTATAGAACGGGGGACCTGGTGCAGTATGCTCCGGACGGATCCCTGATTTGCCTTGGGCGCCGAGACGATCAGATCAAACTTCACGGTCAGCGCATCGAACTGGATGAGGTCGACTCTTGCCTCCAGTTGCATTGTCCGTGGAAAGGAGGTGTTGCCTCTTGTTTGGCATTGAGTCCAGCAGACCCTGGGAGACGACTCATTGTTGCCTTCTTCTCAAAGTCCCTGCAGCCATGGCAGACTGAGACTGACTTTAATATACTGCCGCTCTCTGGCAGTATACGCGAGGAAATCATCAACCTACAGAATCAGGTTGCATCCTCTCTCCCGATATACATGCGACCAAGCCTTTATATCCCTGCGAGCAGGATTCCAACCAACACCGCTGGCAAAAAGGACCGCGCCACTTTGGCCAAGGCAGTACAGACGCTGACGGAGTCGCAATACCTGGACTACTCGCTCACCTCTGCATCAGGCCATCATCAGCCTGAGACGCCTGAGCAGCGCATGCTTCAATCGCTATGGTCTCAGCTGCTCAAACTCCCGCCCCAGCGAATTGGGATACATGATGACTTTTTTCAGATTGGGGGCGATTCTATCCTGGCGATGAAGCTGTCCTCTCTGGTTGGAAAGCGTGAAACTGTGCTCAGTGTTGCGGATGTCTTCCGTTATCCCACACTACGCGAGATGGCAGCCAGACTTACCGGGACATCGCACTCTCATCCGCTGCCTGCTTTATCAAAACTAGTGGATCGAGATCCCACCCCTTTCTCGCTGCTGCCATGTAGTTGGCCTGACGAGGCTCTTGAGGAGGAAATCGCCACCGCCTGCCAGGTTCCCAGAGACAATATCGAAGATGTTTATCCTTGCTCAGCGGTCCAGGAAGGCCTGATGGCATTGTCAATGCGGCAGAAAGATGCTTATACTGCTCGTCTGGTTTATAGCATATCCCCCGGCACATCTCTGGCGCGTCTGCAGTACGCATGGCAGCTGGTGGCCTCTAGGCACTCACTATTGAGGACACGAATCATGCTTTCTCGCCGATTTGGGACACTTCAAGTTGTCCTGCGAGCAGATGACGCTGGCAAAGACACGGTTGCATGGAAGAATACTCATTGTAGTGACTTGCAGTCGTTCCTCGAGGAGGACAAAGGGGTTCCGATGACATATGGCTCAACCCTGTCGCGATGTGCCATTGTGACCACACCAGACCAAGCCAAGTTCTTTGTTTGGACAGTTCATCACGCCCTGTACGATGGCTGGCTGCTTCCTACCATAATTCGAAGAGCAGCAGAAGCGTATCTTGCCGAAGAAAGTGCAGCTGCATGGTCCATCATCCCCTTCCGTTGCTTTATTGCATATCTCGAGACCAGAGACCGGTCCGCCTCGGAGGGCTACTGGACTAATCAGTTAGATGGTTTTAGACAGGTGGAGTTTCCTGCACGGAATATGGGATCTAAGAAGGAACGCCGTGATATGTCAAAGGTATACCATCGTATACGTCTCGGGAGACGCCCGAGTCGCCGGTTCACTACTGCAATCATCCTTCGCGCCGCCTGGGCCTTTTTGATAAGCAAATACTCCGAGTCCGATGATGTCAGCTTCGGAGTTACTTTAAGCGGACGAACAGCTCCAGTGGAAGGAATTGCCAGCATAGCGGGGCCTACATTGACGACGGTTCCAGTCCGTGTTCGGATCGACAGTGAGCAATCTGTGGTGGAATTCCTTCGGAATATGCAATCTCAGGCCACGGAGATGATGCCACATGAGCATACTGGCCTTCAGAGGATTCGGAAGCTAAGCCAAGGCTGTCTGGAGGCATGCGACTTTCAGAACCTGCTCGTGATACAGCCAGCGGACGAGAAGACCGAGTCGACCGCAGAACACAGTGTTTTCGGGCTGCCGGTTGACGAGGCTGCCGCCAATTCCCATTTTCACACCTATCCCCTGGTCTTGTCATGCACATTTTCTGAACATGAGGTGGACCTTGAAGTCATCTGCGATCCCACAACCATCTCACCGGTGCAGGCCGAGCGCCTGGCGCTCCACTTCGATGCCATATTCCAGACCTTTTGGTTGTTCGACGAAGGCGTAACGGTTGGGCAGGTAGAGATGATCACCAGGCAGGACCGAGAGCAGATTCAGACGTGGAACAAGGAGCAGCCGCAGCCCCAGCCTCGCCTGGTGCATGAGGTGATCGAAGAGCAGGTGCTTCTCCATCCAGATTCCGAAGCCGTGTATGCATGGGATGGCTCTCTCACATACCGTGATCTTCATCGATACTCCTCCCAATTAGCACGGACGTTGCAGATGGAGTATCACGTTGGACCCGAGCGGCTGGTACCAGTACTTTTTGAGAAATCGGTCTGGGCAGTAGTGGCCATGTTGGGAGTCATGATGGCCGGGGGTGGGTTTGTTCCTCTGGATGTCTCCCATCCGCTAGACCGAATGAACGACATTGTTGCGCAGTGCAACGCGGACTTGGCTCTAGTCTCGTCAGAAACCTCGGGGACCCCTCTGTGTACGGCTTCTAAACTGATAGTTTCAGAGAACATGTTCCGAGGCCTGGACGCTGGAGGACATGAGACTGACCCATATAGCACCAAAATCCCCGACGTCAGGCCGGCTCATTACTTTCCCGGCCTACAGCCACAATTCCTAGACACATCCAAGCAAGAGCCCGGAGACCAGACATCCGAACGTACAGCCTCACCTCGAGACTCATCGCCACGCACGCCGGTCTCGTTCTCTTGGCACTCGGCAGGACCGGAGACGTCACTTGCCTTCGATATGTTGACTCCCGGAAGCAATATATCGGAAAGGGCAGCTCAACCGGACGACAGCGATCTGACTGAAAGTGATCGTGTCCAGCCACAGAACGTCGTTTATGTCATCTTTACCTCCGGCAGTACTGGAAAACCAAAGGGTGTGGTCATCCAACACGATCAATTCTGCTCGGGCGTGTTAGGGCCCCGGCAAGAAGCCCTTCTCCGCTCGGAGCAGAGTCGAGTGCTTCAATTTGCGTCCTTCAGCTTTGATACCAGCTTGGAGGATATTATCACCACTCTGTTCTTTGGTGGATGCGTCTGCATTCCTTCGGAGGATGATCGCATGAATGATATTGCCGGGTTCATCAACAAATCCAAGGTCAACACCGCCCACATCACGCCATCCTTCGCGAATACCCTTTCACCCCAGTTGGTTCCAGGCCTGAAGTACCTGCGTCTCGGCGGAGAAAGGATGACGCCGACGCACATTGATAAATGGGCGCCAGCTCTCGAGTTGAGGAATGTCTACGGTCCCACCGAGACCTGCATCACGGCCACATGTAGTGGAACTGTTACCACAGCTTCAGACCCCATTGATATCGGTCGTGGGGTCGCGGCTCTTACTTGGATCGTGAATCCGGATAACCATCATCAACTCACCCCCGTCGGCCTAGTGGGAGAACTGCTCGTGGAGGGCCCTCTGTTAGCCCGGGGGTACCTCGGAGATATCAACAAAACAAATGCATCCTTCATCACTGATGCAACATGGGCACGTACCCCGGAGAATCCAAAGAGCCCTCGCCGATTCTACAAGACAGGCGATCTTGTACGGTACAGCGAGGCAGGAACCCTCCTCTACATCGGCCGCAAAGACACACAGGTCAAGATCTATGGGCAACGGATCGAAATAGGCGAGATTGAGGATCACCTGAAAAAGGCCCTTCTACCCCAGACGATTGAGATGGCCGTGGAGGTGACCAGCCTACAGGCTGATACTCTCCAGCGCAAAGTTCTCGTTGCATTCCTCTGTCTAGACGATTCATTCAACAAGGATGGCGCTGTTCTGATGTCCTTGACGCCAGCCGTGAAGAAACGAGTCCAGGACCTTACCTCTAAACTCGTCCTTTGCCTGTCTAAGACGCTCCCAGCCTATATGATTCCTTCACGCTATGTGCCTCTCCGCTCCATGCCACGAACACTGGCTGGCAAGGCAGATCGGCGTAAGCTGCAGCACCTTCTCAACTCGATGAGCACCGAAGACCTCTTAGCGTACTCGCTCGAGGGTGGGGAGAAGCAGCCGGTAGAATCCGAAACCGAGTTCCAGCTCCAGAAACTCTGGGCCGAAGTTCTGAGCGTTGATACGATGATGATCGGGAGCCACGACAGCTTTTTCCGTCTTGGGGGCGACTCAATCACGGCCATAAGGCTTGCGGCCGCGCTCCGTGATGAAGGTATGTTTCTGACTGTTGGAGACATTTTCAATCACCCCGAATTACGCCACATGGCCGCCCAGATTGATGCTCAGGACCAGGGCACAAAGCCAGTGCCAGGAGCAACGCCAGGGACCCACGAGGATCTGCATGCATTTGGACTTCTGGCCCCCTCGCCGACTTTGCTATTCGATCTGTCAAAAGTCTGGGATATTCCAGAGGACACGGTTCAGGATGTCTACCCCTGCACTCCCCTCCAGATTGAACTGCTAGCTGCTGAAGGGCGCCACAGTCAATCAACTTACGGCTCACAGGCTGCCTATGACCTACCGCTAGATATTGACCTGGATCGCTTCAAACACGCCGTCGAGACTGTTTTTCGCCAAAACGATATCCTGCGAACCCGAATTGTCTATCTCGAGCCTCATGGCACCGTGCAAGTGGTCACAAAAGACGGAGGACTACGATGGGAGTACGAAGATGGGATTGACCAGGTTCTCACGCAAGGGTTTTCGTTTGGCCTGGGCACCTCGTTGGTCCGGGTCGCCCTGTGCCCCAATAGTCATGAATCCGCGGGATGGACCTTTGTCTTGACCATGCATCATTCGCTCTATGACGGCTGGAGTCTCTCTCTTATCCTCCAGCAAGTCAATGAGGTGTACCAATTCGGCTTCCTGTCATCTGAACGCCCCAGGCCTCGCTTCAGCGACTTTATCGGTCATCTGGGAAGCTTGGATCCAGACCTAAGCAGCCAGTACTGGGCATCCATTCTAACCCAGTCTTCTGGCTCCTCTGACCTCCCATCGCAGAACGGTACCGTCGAGGAGCTAGATTCTGTAGAGGAATATCACTACAACATGCCGCGTGTCGAGCAGGAAGGCTCGAGGCTTGAAGTGACGCCCGCCATAGTTCTCCGAGCCGCATGGGCCCTGGTCATCACAGCCTATACTGGGAACAGCGATGTTCGCTTCGGACTCTCTGTGGCGGGGCGGAATGTGCCTGTTAAGGACATTGACCAAATGGTGGGGCCAACCTTGACCACAATTCCCTGCCGACTGCAAATCAATCAGGACTGGACTGTTGAAGGCTTCCTCAACCATGTTAATCAATCCATGATTGCTGCCATTCCCCACGAGCATTTTGGGCTTCAGCGAATCGCAAAGTTGGGAACTGATTGCTCTCGCTGCTGCGATTTCGACAGTCTCCTGGTCGTTCAGCCGCAGATACCGGCGAAGAAGCTGGGAATCTTCGCCTCTTCCCGGAGCCCGAGCGCCATATCTCGAGGCAACGACCAGCCATATCCCGTGGTGGTGGAGTGCGACATGCAGGAGGCAGGAGGATGGAAGGTGCATGTCTTCTACCGGAAAGCATTCATCTCTGCCTCATCACTGCAGCGCATCGTCTACCTTATGCAGCACTTGGTGGAGCAACTCTACCTATCCCCTAATATGCGTCTTGCCGACCTGTCTCTGGTCAGCCCTACCGACTTGGGCCTCATTGCTAGCTGGAATGCTTCTGTTCCTACGCCTGTCGACACCACTATGAGTGAGATGCTTTATACCTCCACGAAGCAGCACGCTGATCTTCCTGCCATACATGCGTGGGACGACGCTCTCACATACAGTCAGCTTGTGGAGCAGTTCCAGCGGCTCAGTCACTATTTGCGGCTGTGTGGGGTCCAGCGCGGCTCCTTCGTTCCCGTCGTGATGCCGAAATCGGCGCTCTATATCATCAGCGTGCTGGCGGTGATCTCCGAAGGCGCGGCTTTTGTCCCAATCGATGCGACAAGCACTCCCCGAGATAGGATGATGAAGATACTCGAGCAGTGTAATGCGACTGTGGTGATAGCATCCACCGCGAGTGCGAGCGATATTCTCGAATCAGGACGACTTCGGGTGCTGCGCATTTCCCATCAACTTCTGCGTCGCCTGCCAGATGGACCACCTGCAGGGCTGAGCAGACCCGAGGCCGATGATCCTCTCTACTGTGTTTTCACATCAGGGACGACTGGTTCACCAAAAGGGGTGGTCGTAACGCATGGGGCGTATGCCTCTTCGACCGCAGCCAAGCAGAAGGCCTTTGAGCTGGATGAGACCACCCGTGTCCTGCAATTTTCTTCCAATGCGTTCGATGCCAGCATTGACGATATTTTTATCTCCCTCCTAAGTGGCAGCTGTCTCTGCGTGCCGTCAGAAGCGGAGCGCCGTGACAGTCTGTCCCAGTTCATTGTGGACACGCAGGTCAACTATGCCGCCATGACTCCCACGGTGGCCCGGACTCTGGATGTGCAGAAAGTCTCTCAATGCCTCACCAAACTTCGACTGGGAGGTGAGAAACTGACAAGCGCTGACCTCACGGACTGGGTAGGTGTAGGGGTCAACCTGAAAAGTCTCTACGGACCGACCGAGTCCTGTGTCTGTTGCTCGGCCTCTTCCTCATTACTCCCTGAAAAGACACATCCGGCCAATATTGGACGGGGTCTGGCATGTCGCACTTGGATCGTGGATGTACACAATCCCGACCGTCTGGCTCCCATCGGTGCCGTTGGCGAACTCGTCATCGAAGGACCAGCACTCGCGAAGGAATACTTGCACGACCTGGAGAGAACCTCACGGGCATTCATCCACCTGCCTCTCTGGCTGCCGAGCATTGGGGGCAGTTCACCATCCAAATCAAAGGGCTACAAGACCGGAGATACGGTCCGCTATAGCGAGGATGGAAGCTTGATCTACGTTGGGCGCAAGGATACTCAGGTCAAGCTGAGAGGGATGCGACTGGAGCTCGAGGAGGTGCAGCACGCGCTGAGAGACCTCAATCTGCCCGGTGTTCAAGACCTTGTGGTCGAGATTCTTCCTCAATCCATAGCGCCTGACATTCTGGCGGCAGATATCCTGATGCTTGCCATCCTTTCAAATCAACACCGCGGCGAAGAGCATCATTTGGATGCTATCAGGGCCAATCTCACAAACCGGCTTCCCGAGTACATGATCCCGACGCATCTCCTGCTCCTCGACAGCCTCCCAACATCTTCTTCGGGCAAGACAGACCGGTTGGAGGTGCGTCGTCTTGCCGTGGAGCAGCTCCGTCAACAGAAACAGCAGCAGCAGCAGCAGCAATGCTCGAACCCTGATGATAAGGGGAAGATGGGCTCCCATGGGGTGGAAGCACCAATGGATATTTTCCGTACCCTGCAATCCATATGGGCCGATATCCTGCAACATGATCTGTTGTCCATTGGACCAAATGCGAACTTTTTCCAGCTGGGGGGTGATTCTATTCTAGTAATGCGCCTGGTGGCGCATGCCCGAGCTCATTCCATTGATATCAGTTCTGCAGACGTCCACCAACTTCAGACCTTGTCGGCCATTGTTGCAAAGGCCAAGTTACGGATTCTTCCTCGACATCGGTCCACCTCGCCACCAGATGACATTGATGTTGCTTCTAGTCACACTACGCCGGATCTCCGCCTCATCTCGCTGGAACTGGGAATCCTCGAAGGAGACATTGAAAAGGTCCTCAAGGCGACCGACTTCCAATCCTACTGTCTGGCACAGACTTTTTCTCCATCCCGTGGCTGGCTGAACTTTTTCTCCTATGACCTCCAAGGCAACATCAACGTGAAGCAATTGGAATATGCCTGCCATGCCCTGGTGCAACGGCACGAAATTTTGCGTGCTCGTTTCGTTGCCCTCCATGGCTGTATCCAGCAAGTGATTCCCCGATATCGAGCAGAACATGTCCACTTCCAGGTACATGAAGGGTTCAGTGATATGCATGGTCTCGGTTCCTTGGCCAGTCTAGTTCACAATGATCCTGCCCCCTCCTTGAATGATGGTCTGGTCCGTTTCGTACTTCATATCGTCCACCCGGGCCATATTCGTCTCACGATGCGGATTTCTCATGCCCAATATGACGGGCTCAGCATGCCCATCATCCTCAATGACCTGGACGCATTATACAACGGGATTGCGTTGGCCCCTCCTGCCAGGTTCTCGGAGTACGTGGAGGAAAGCGAGCGGCTGCTTTCCCAGAACGAGCACGCCCAGCAGTTCTGGTGTCAACTGCTGCAAGGATCACAAGTCACCCCCATCGTGGTACGCAGCAAGCTCTCCTCGCACTCGTTACCGAAAGACTGTCCCCTGGATCAGACCGCAATGCGGACTATTCGACTGTCACGGTCGACTTTCGACGCCTCCATCACCCCGGCCACGATCATCAAGGCCGCCTGGGCACTCGTGCTCGGCCGTCTCTCGCAACATCAGGACGTGGTCTTCGGCCATTTGACCAGCACTCGGCCCAGCTTGGATCATCTGCACGCTATTCATGAGGTCGTCGGTCCCTGTCTCAATGTGCTTCCTGTGCGCGTCCAGCTCCAGCCCACTACCGCACGAAGGGAGCTGCTGGATGCGATTCAACAGCAATATATCGGCGCCCTCCCCCATTCCATGTTGGGCTTCCGCGAGATCATCGATCACTGCACACAATGGCCGCCATGCACCCGGTTCAGCTCCATCCTGCAATACCAAAACCTGCACCAGGATCTAGACCGTGTTCTCCTTGGCGGGGCTACAGGGAGTCTCGAAGCTTACGTACCTGCCTCTGACGCTGCCGACCTCTGGATGATGGTAACTCCAACGGACGATTGTGGTGCAGAGCGACTGCATGAGGTCAAACTGAGCTACAGCGCCGCAACGATTCCTTCTTCCCTCGCAGATCGCATTCTCGACGAATTTGACGATGCAATTTCGTTCTTCCAGGCGCCTCACGCCTCCGATGACGGAATCCGGTTACACACTTACTTCGACCAGACCGCGCCCGAGTTCCCACCCACCCTTCCGATTGACAGGCAACTCGCGGAAACCGACTTGCCGCCCCGCGCCGCAATTATCGCCGCCGTCAAAGGCATATGGGAGCAGGTGTTCGGCCCGCAGGTCCATCGCGAGGATACCAAGGCGCGCAAGGAGGAGTGCCGGGCGATGCTGCACACCCCCTTTGGGCCAGATCCGGTGAGCGCCGCGCAGCTGTCGCTGCTCTTCCAACAGGCCGGGGTGGAGATCTCGCCGGCAGAGGCGGCCGAGTATCCGACCATCTTCCAGCAGAGCTTGCTTTGGGGCTACAAGATGCGAGAGGGAAGTCGCTGATTTAAGTTTAGGGTGGTTAGCGACTTGAATTGATGGTTTTGTGATTCTTCGCGGTCTCGTTCTGTGTATGCGTGTGTATGTTAGGCTTCGCGTGGTGAGACGTTGTGCGTTAGGGCACGATCCTGGATTCCTATTCGCTTTTATATTGAAGGGGCTCTACTGAATCCATCGACTGCTGCCACTCCCTGTGCCTGCTCCATGCTAGTCCCTCAGTTAGCAACCTTCTTCCTCTTGCGGTCGGGCTGCTTCTGCTCGTCCACGCCGTTCTCCTCCTCTACCTTCTCCATTGCGCGGCTCGAATTCTTCCCCCTCGGCACCTTTCGACCCACGACGCTGATCTCCATCTCGTCCTACAGGTCCACGCGGTCAGACACAGAGTCCAAAATCAAGGGAGGTAAGAAATAAAGACAAGACCCACCGCGAGATCGCCGGGCACAATCAAGCCCGGCAAGCCCCAACTCTGGCGGAGGCGGGGGTTCTTGCGCATGTAATCGCGATAGGCCGGCGCCCCGGGGCGCATCACATTGTCGGCGATGACCAGGGCGCCGTCCGTCTGCAACAGCCCCAATTCCTCGGCCACCTGGACATCGGCCGCGTAGAGCGCCTCATCGTGGTCCATGAACAGCAGGTCAATGCCCCGGCCGTCGAGGGTTCCCTGCTCCTGCAACCGCCGCAGGGTGTGGGCGGAGGCGCCGACGACGACCTCGACGAGGTCCTGCAGGCCGGCGAGGCTGACGAGGTTCATGGCGACGGAGGCGACCAGGGGGTCGATCTCGATGCTGTAGAGCCTGGGGGGCAGATCCTTCGTGTTGTCCTCCTCGCCCGCCTTGATCTCCGCGTCGTCCGGGTTCTGCGCCCAGATTTCCTTCAGGAGACTCCCAAACAGGATGGCAGAGTACCTATATTCAGCCAAGGCCACTTCAATGAGCATGCTCTCTCCTCGGTGAGCAAGCGACCCGCACCTTACTTACCCAACGTATCCCCCCAACTCCACCACCACCCGGGGCCGGTGCTCCCGCACCAAGACGGCCAGTTTGCCCGCTTTGTCCGGGCCAATGTTGATCAGAAAGTCCTCCTGGGCGGCGAACTCGTCCATCACCGCCAGAATGGCGGCCGGGGAACCCCGCAGTTTGGTGTCCAGCTCGGGATGGGCGTAGATGTGCTTGAGAAGGGTGATCTCGCGCCCGTCATGGGACTCGACGATCTCCGACTCCTCCAGGCCCGCCATCTTGCGGAGGGAGGGGTATTTGGTGAAGATGGGGGGTTCTTCGGTGTCTGGCATTCTTGCGGTGCTTGGGGGGAATTGGGTAAGGGTACGGAGTAAAGGAATTGGAATGAATAGTGGATGAGAACAGAGGGGGAGGGTTGGGGGGGTTCTTATCTATTTGGGGGGAGATTAATCAATTGAAGTGGTGGTATGATATGGTATCTGTGCTGTTATCTATTCTGTACTGTACAGTAAAGTATCGTCCTGTATTTTGCTTACATACAAGGTTGAAAAATGGTTTTACAAAATCTCCATTACTAGTCCTATTCCTGTATGGACCATGTACTGTACTGTACAGTATGCACCGTATATAGAGTCTATCTATATTCTGTATTCTCACCTCGGCCCTACATGACCACGCATTGCGCATTGAGTTTGGACGAAGATTCTATCACCCGAGCAGTGGTGATCTCCCTGGCACGCAGTTGGACATTGGACTCGCGGATATGCTTCCGCTGCCAGGCTAGATATTTCTTATGATGCGGAATGCACATGACTGTATGCAGGATGTTGGTTTCTCTGGTTCCTTTGAACTTGTAGAGAAACATCCCGTCCACGATCCGGTCTGGGGCGTCATCGTCGCGCGACTCGCGAAAACAGCGTATCATCGGGTCACACTCTGAGCCTCGCTGGACGATGCCATGAAACGGAGACGCGTCGGGATATTGGGCCCGGAGCAGCTGGAAGGCCTCGTGGAGGCGTTCCTGCCCGCGCTGCCAGTCTTTGCCCCGCGGGGCTGTTACTTGGATCATCTGGCGCTTTGGTGCGATAGTGATGAGTCCTATATGCGGGAGCGCCATGGTGGGTGCAGCAGATCGTATCGTATGATGAGGCAGATGATGTGTGGTAGGAGGAATCTCGCTGTGGATCCTCCAATTTATAAACACTTTTCTGGTTGGCATGCTTCCGGGCGGTATTGCTTCATCGTTTGGGAGTCTGGTAAATTCCAGGATACTCTAGGCACGCGAGCATGGTGTCTAGACTATGAAAGCAATTGTCTTTCTGTCGACCCCCTTTGTACTTGTGCCATGTCTTTATTTCCTATGTCTACTCCAACAGAAAATCTGGTTCGCTCACAAGCGGGCGAATTGCTGGGCCATGGGTGAGCAATTCGCTTCGATAAAGAATCTATGCCGTTACAAAGACTGCCTAGTGTGCCTGAATGACCCAGAAACAAAGGCTTTTTGATGCGGAATCAGGCACCAAGGCTATCTCAAAGGGATATGTATGCCTCACAGTGCAAGTGTCGGTGAAGCATAGCGTGCATGGGCTCATCAAGCCCGGGTCAACAGAGTACCTCAAGTACTCGCAGCACCGTCGGTAGTTATTGTGCTTGACATGACCCAATCCGGCACCTTTGACAAAGCTGGGATCTGGGTGGCAGGGGTGGTGAACACATTGGCGAGGGCTGCGTATCCGAAACCACAATGCTAGCTGAAAATTGGGCTTGGATGGTCTATATGGTGTGAGTTCGCTCGGTACCTTGGCTGTGACTGCAAACTAGGGTAGTCGAGAGAAATATCAGTATATACCTCAATCTGTACGGAGTTAGCATTACTGCAGTATCTATGGGTCTTCTGTCATCTCTCACAATTATCAGGTCGCGAGTGAAACGTTTCAAGTGATGCCTTTTGAGGTCGAAGATGTTTGGATCGGCAAGAGGAATCTATATCCTGTCAAGACAAACAATCTCTGTCGAATGTGGTTCAGGTGAGATTATAAATCCACCTAGGGCGGGGGTCCATGGGAAGCCAACAAGGTACAACATACGTGTGGTTGTTGTTCCTGCAGCTTAGTCTTTCCAACGCAGGAGATGAATCGGCGATGGCGGTTGCCATGGTGGGACACGCTGCGCAAGTCACGATAAAATTAGTTCTGGAGGGGAGGAACTGGTCAGGCCAGAATGCAGTAGAATATACTGGTTAGACTTTCTTAGGAAGATGTATGAATAGTCGAGGTTGGGCTTCTAATCAGCCGTAGACTTTTGGCCCCATGTTATAAATATAACCCCGATCGGTGGCTGGCTTGCTTTTCTAGGCGCTTGTATCATGACGGGCGAATGGAGAGGCCGAGGCTGACGCTAAGCCAAGAAATCATACTTGTTGCAGCATTGATGCCGGCAGTAAACAGGGTAAACCAAACATGAATTGATAGCCAATGTGACAAAGGAAGCATGTTTAGCTGGAACATCAGAGTAGCCACGGGTCTTCGAGCAGCTGCTTCGCCGTCTTGCGTTCCTCTGGTAGCCACTTCAGCATTGACATCATGAATTGGATGAACTCCACCTTCTCTTCTCCTGCGAGTCGCTTTTCTAGGCTCCCTAAGGAGATCATTGGTACAACTGCTTCTTCATGGGCAACCCAGGCGCCTGGCAACATGTCAGGTAGGCAACCTCAATTGGGACCGCAAGCCTAGAAGGGACTTACCACTAGGGTCAAAACACTGTTCGGTCGTTTCACTGCGGCGAATATATTCCACCGGCGGTGGCCCGATCAAGGCGACCATGCGTGCCAGATGCTTGAACGGGTCGTGGCCGCCTTTGGCATCGAAAATATCATCAAACAAATGCTCCCCTTCGAAAAGGTCCCAGATCTGTCAACTGACATCAGCACGCTGCACGATAGACAATAGCTGCATACCTGGGCCCGCACTTACCAAGCCTGCCAGGTTCCAGATATCGGCGGCGCTTCCCCAGGGCATTTCGAAGATGATCTCTGGCGCCCGATAGATGTGCGGCTGAATAAAGGGCCCAGACTCCTGCTGGGTCCCAATCCGTGCCTCACCAAAATCGCACAGGATTGGGAGTCCATAACTCTTACCTGCAGACGGTCGACGGAATCGCCGACTCTGGTAGATGATACGAGACTCATCAATCTGCTTTCGAGGGCTGGGATTCTCGGCTTCGGCTTTCGCAAAGTCCGCCAGCATGCCGTCGTCCTCGAGACTAAGCATCAGGTTGTCCGTCTTGATATCTGATATGAGTTAGGAACAGGTAGTCTTCCTTCGAGCCAGGGGTGAGGGGATTTATCGAGGTGCACTACATGCCGGTGTGGATGACGTTGGCTTCGGTGTGTAAGAAGTCCAAGGCTAGAAGCAGACGCTTCACCGTCATTTTGAGGAGAGGCAGATTAAATGGCCTGGAATTGAGCCCCATCATCTCTAACAGGGTCATATGCATTGGCTGTAGCACTAAGCAGCGGTGTTGCCCAGCAGGTCCGTGTAGGTCGAAGGAATCATAAAGCTCGCGGATCAGCGCTTGACCTGGATGCGTAGAATTGACTCTGGCCAGATGCTCATAGATCTTGAGCTCGCGACCTGATGCGGTCGGAAATGATGGCAGCGATGTAGACACCTTCAACACTCTATACTGGTCGTTCCTGGATGTAAATTGACTTGTTAATTCCATGCGCGCTCACTGGGAGAAGGGTCGTTCGTCGGAACGCACTGGAGATCCCGGCATAGCCAACTTGTAGAATACGCCCCGTAACCGAGTTTTCCCGTAACCTGATACCGGGTCTCGTATATGTCGCCAATTTTAACGGGATAGTAATGCTCGGGTTTATAATAGGCCAACGTCTCCTCTTCGACGGGCGTGTCAAGAGGCAGAGTAGTATATGAGATCTTGGATTTCCTTCGTGAAGAAGAGGATGGTGATAACGATGATAGCCTTTGCCGAAGGGAGCTGCTCCATGTGCTGAATCGTCCTGCCATATCTAAATAAAAACGTTGTCCAATAAGCTAGAGATCTTGTCGAGGATTGAGTGATTGAGAGAATGGAGGTGGATATTGGTGCTATCCTTAACAAACTCAAAGGAGAGGCAGGAGTAAGTTGGCTGGCTTATCGTCAAGTGGAGCCTGCTCCTTCCCCAGTAACGGTCCGTATATCCCTTTTGGACAGTACACACTCCGTCGATTGACCCACAAAATGTGGAGGTGCTCAGCCAGCCGTCGTAGAGGAGTTATCAGTCCGAAGAAACATCTTCACTTCAGTTCATGTGTTCTCAGCAGCCAGGATTTCAGAAGTCTGGAAGGATTAGATTGCCCAGTGATCAGTGGACAGGATATATGTCAAGGCTTCCTACTTTCCAGGCAGTTTCAGTAAATAAACACAAGTGTCGTTTCTTAATCCACTCTGCGTTAGTGATGAAGGGCTGTGAGACGCATTAGCAGCATATAAAAATACCCTCAATACTGGTGAAAGGAGAAAACAGCTTAAGTGGTGACTGCTGGAGACTTGTGTTGTGCATCACTGCATAACTGGCTTAGTCATAGCATGACGCAAGCACCCAGATACGGTCGGTCGGTGGAAGCCAGCAGGCACCAACGAAAAACATTTACAGGGCTACGCAATATTGAAGGGAGCAAGATAATAAGATATAGCCATCATACAGGCTCTCCGTTAATAGTGATTAAGGTTTTCACGCTAGTTTACAGTATAACTCTTCAACGGCGCTTGCCCAAAAGCGAAGACGTCAACGTCTTGCTGGCGCTACCTGAACTCCATGAACTCCGTGGGCCCCGTGGGTGTAGAAGTTTCCCATGATGATGATGATGATGCCTGCGCCGTCCATGCTGCGCGGATTTCAAACCCTTCAAGATTCGTTTGCGTCGTCCCGGCTTTTCGAGTAGATCTATCGTCCAAGCTAGGGTTAATAAAGACTCCCAGCTCCATCGAGCTTCGCCGACACCGCCAGCGGGTCGGTCTTGGGGAGAGAACTTCTGATTAGCAGCCAGCTGCAATGCCCTGCCCGTCGCATCGCGTAGTGGACGCGCCAAGGCTGGGTTGCACGCTAGAAGTCTGGCAAGAAGCTTCGTCCGGAAGACCGTGGGGCGGGTCGATGCCGTCGAAGTTGACAGAGTCGGGGTCGAAATTAACCATAGAATCAAATGGAAATGCTGATAGATCTCCTCCGTCGAGAAGGTCAAACGCGAACCCGTCTTCAAGGACTGAAGAATCCGACCCAGCGGGTGAATCACCGCTGAATAGGCGGTTGAAGTCGTCGTCAGAAAGAGGAGCTGCAAGGTCATCTGCAGCGTGAGGCTCCACGTTTGAGCCGAGCTCAAACAGCGAGAGGGCGCTTCCATCTCCTTCGAGGCCAGCGACTGACACTGCAGGTCGCACAACACCGCTGCAGGATGTTGTGTCAAGTCGGAGGCCTCAGCCAGAGTGGAAGGCCGGAGGGTGGGGGAGTAGTCGGTGAGAGGAGAGGTCGGGAAGGGAATGCGGTCGAGGGGGAGTTCATCGCGCTCCTGCTTGAACAGGGTCGGCGTAAGGGTGGGAGAGGCCGAAGCAGGGGAGCCGGGCTTGGGAGTGTTGCCTCGGGAACCCCTGACCTCGGCGGATAGTTGAGCGACTTGTTGGTTCAAGCGGTTGTTTTCGGCTTCCATCTGGGTCAAGCGCTGGAGAAGGAACTGGTTCTGTTGCTCCATCTGGATTTTCTCGTTTTCTAGTTTCTCCATCTCGAGGCGCTTGCGCTCGCGAGAGGTTTGTGCGGCAGCACGATTCCGAAGAACACGCTCGATGCGGCGCTGCTCCTTTTCGTCCTCCGTCTTGGCCCGTTTCCTAGAATGTGTGCGTTAGTATCATGCTTCATTAATCAGGACGCCCTTGCATGGATGGATGAACATACCTTGGAGGAAGGTTGGTCTTAGGGACTGGCAACTCCTGGCCCCATGACTTTCTCTTCTTCGCAGGCTTCTTGTCCTCTGATTTGGTTTCGGCCTTGACGGTGGGATCGTTCAAGGAAGTGTCCGCTGGGGAGACGGTGAGCATGGGAATCTCCGGAGCCGGCGAGCCAGCCAACGATTCCACTGGAGAGAAACCGCCTTCCATCTTGCAAGGGCAATATGTTGATCGAATGACAGGGTCTCAGATCAACTGTGAACTGTCTAATCGTAGACTGGATGGGGGTCACGAAAGTAAGGTGGTGCTCAATGCTCAGGAAGGCGTAGCTCGATCACGTCTCTTTTTTTTTGCCCAGGTCACAGGGACAGAGGCCACGGTGTCATCACGGTACAAGCCGGGTCTGGGGGAGGGGCCAGGTGGTTGACCAGCGGTGTTCTGGTTGGTTAGACCCAAAACGGAAGCTGGGGGGAAAAGGACAACTGTCCACAAAGGTAGCGAAAGTAATAAGATGGTGAGGGTTGACTGCTTTCAGACAGATAGACAGATTGAATGAGTGTTGTCTGGGAGAGGGAAAGATTGCCTCTTTAAAAGGCCAGCGTGGTCAGTTGAGGGGGCGTCTCCTTTTCGCAAGGGGGCGGAGTCTCCCTTCGTCAGCCAAGTACCTGTCCTGTATTGTAAGATATGTGGTATTTTACCACCGTTCCGTGGAAGTGTACCTTGGGGGCGGTGTTTGGGGCCGTATGGAGCCGTATGGAGCAGTCTGGGACCGTAAGCATTACCTACAAAGCCGGGCTGGAATGGGAGGCGGTACCAATTGAACTCTCCCCTGAAGCTGTTCTCTCCTCCTCTCGACTCCTCTTTGCTTCATCCACTTTCCCATTCCCTTTCAACCTGCGACACGCTCCGTCAAGATTGTGGAACCCTCTTCCGGCCCCCCCCCTCTTCATCATCAGTGATCGGGATGTCTGATTGCTCTACCTCCAGGTTTGGCCCCCCCCCCCTCAATGCCATTTTTATCCCTGCTCCGGACGGTCCTGAGATTCTCTGCCCTTTCGACTTTGGCCCGCTCCGCCTCGCTGACGAGAGCCGCCGTTGCGAATCACTAGATAAGACATGTTTGCTGAGTCTGATGCTCCTTAGCGCCTTCGCAGGCTCGTATTCGCTCGCATCGGTCATCCTTGACTCGACTACGCCATCTTTATTCTTGCTATTGAGATTCATCTTTCGCTTTGTCCACTGCACCCGAGACGTTCCACGGTTACACCCTGAAAGAACCGGGCAGAGAGTGGGAAACACCTCAGCTCAGTGGTGCTAATGGCGTGATCTGGGAGACGCATGAACGCAGATCTCCACCGGGCCGTACTAATGACTCCCCCTGTCTGGGCTCGGCCGTTGCAACTTCCGTGGTGAATGCAGTCTAGCCAATTCTTCGACCTTCTGCGCCCGAGAGACTTTATCATTGGTGGATCTTAGTCTACTCTCCGCCATGCTCCCCTCCCCCCCCCCTGATTCGGCTCGTCTGGAGTCTTGAACTTATCTCAATCAACCTGCACAAAGGAGATAGTCTATCCCCCGCTCCGCAATGTAGACTATCGTCGGAGATTATTGTGAGCGATTTAGGGGCGTTCTTTGAGAATTCTTCCATGACAAGGGGTGCGTTCGTGTGCAGTCTGCGAATAAGGACATAGATTAAGCACTGAGCTTCCTCTCAATTGAGTGATTGATGCTCACATCTGGTGCTTGATTGACGGGCAGTCACGTTCCTGCAGCCGTTCATCGCGTGCTGGGAAGGATCAAGAGGTTCACCTTAATCTTCCTTTCTCAGCTATGTACCGAAGTAATCACATGACCTCCATCTTTGGCTGTTGTTGACAGTAGGGTGGCTCCTTGTCGTACTTGCTGCTCTCACACAGGGCTCGCTCATCAAGCCCCCTATTGCATTCCCTACCCCCCTTGGAATTTCACCGTACATTATATCTACCTTCGGATGCCCAGCTTGCCCCTTCTTCGTTGAATACCATGCCACAAATTTTCCGTGAACCTCTTTTGTGTCCCATCACCAAACTTGGGTCAAGTTTCCCAACATCGAATTTCTTCAGTCGATGTTCCTGGCCCGCAATGCCCCCCGCATACGTCTCGATATAAATAGCTAGACAGGTCCCCAGGAGGTCCATGACGATCATCCGCATTATTCGCGTTTGATCGGCTACATTACGTGTGCCGCCAGTGCAATGCATTCATAACAGCGTCCGTCTCAGCGGAGTTTCAGCTGTTGAGGAGCGGCGCCATAGCACAGCCTACGCGATTCGCCTCCTCCCACGTCGTGAACTTGGAGGCAGCGCGAAAGAGCGAGAACCATTCGGTGACGTTATACCTTTTAGGAATTTCCTCAACGCAGGCTCTCGTATTCCCGACAGCGGCGCCGGGTTCTGATTGGCGGCTCGTATTCCCAATCTACGTGAGCATGCTGTTCGCTTCATGACTTCCACCCTCTCGACCTGCCATCGAGCGTCCAGATGCCGCGATGTGTTGTTTGCGCACGATGGACGAGCGTATTGCAAACGCGCACTAACCGTCTCCGCGGTGTCGTGACGGGTGTTGGGGCTTCGTACGTTGCCGGCCTGTAAGCTACGGTGGTTCTGTGCTCGCCGCTTAGCAGATCTCTCTCGTCTGTAGCCTTTGACTCTGGAGGTTGGGTCTCAGAATAGCTCAGTAGTCCGCGCGTAGTCCAGTTCAGCTCATTGATGATGGCTTTGAGGCCTTCCACCACTTCTGAGTATATTGCGATCTTTTCACTTGTAGTAGGTTAGCATGTGTCCGCCAAGCAGGCTGGCCACTTTCAAGAAGAATGGACTCGGTCGAATGGAATTAGGTATACAATGCTTTTTAGCGAGCATTTTACTGCGTCAAGCCTTTCCATACCAAAGCATGTGTGAAACTCTAAATTGTCGAAGAAATCGAAGATTTCACTGTCTTCGTTCATCCGAAGATTCTCATCTTCTCCCAGATGAGGTTGAGTCGTAGGCCGTGGCTGCACACAATACATACTTCATCTTACTATCTGATGTCCCGTACAACTAACTTGAACTATGATTCGAAGTTTCTTGTTATTTGCTCGGATTGTGGATTGTTTCACCTGAAATCCTGTGCGACATGACCTTCGATGCTTATAACGGATATATACTTAGTACCTACATCCCTGGATTTGCCGGAGCTTTGTCTTGAGCATCAATTGTTTGGATCCTTATTCAAAGAATTAGCTACATCCAGCGAGTAGAGCGAGGTCATTATCAGATATCTCGCCTATCACAAGCCGGGATATACCACTATCTATTCAATAGACAGGCCTCGAGCTTAGCACCTTTATACGACCAAGATCTTATGCTACATCATGCAAGGGAGTGACTAAGCAATGCAAGCACAATCACGTCGTTCCTACTCGACCACGTGACCGAGATCCGGGGGCATTCAGGCCTAACGGTTCATGCTGTCATCGAAATCGACGTTTGTTAACGAGCTGTTGCATTCAATGAGGCATCGAGTCATCGACGTGTCATCCTTAGAGTCGTGTTGAAGCGATGGAAACTTCTTTCATTCCTTGCCGAATCTTACGACCCGCTACATAAGCATGACATGCGCCGAGCCCATGAAGAATTTACACCACGCAACGCATGAGGCAGCAAACCGAAAACAGAGGGTCTGGATTGCCCCTCCTAGAACTGTGTTGGCGAGTGGATGACGATGCGGCGAGTTGTGAAGGAATAGGCAATGTTGCAAATGCAGGCTACTATTATGAGTTTAAGAATTGCTTTGTTGATGTTACACTACCTACCTTTCGGCACCACCGAAGCGGCGAAGATATCGGATAAAGCGGGAGGTCCGTCGGCTTAATAGTGGATCGAGAAGTTGAAGGGGGCTTGTCCGATGTGTACCGTAGTAGACGGTAGATAGAGCTCTGATAGCGAATTAGCCCAGGCAAGTTGAGCAATGGTCAGAGCTCTGTTCTATTTTAGCAGAACTGAGGATCAATGGTCCCTTGGCTGAGCCATGACTCGAGACTGGCGCTGCCAGTACAATGTAGACGACATCGCATACCACCGGTCAGGGAGCCAGAACATGGGCGCCATGGCGCAGGCAATGCCATGGCCCGTATAGTTCGGAATAGCAATCAATCCTCTCATGCAGCCGGCGGCACTAATTGCCGCGGACTCGGATGGGCGATAAGCTCGGACGGGCTGGGGCCGTTCTAGAAGTTGGGAAATAGGGGGCTGAACTGCTTGAAGCTTCCCACTCTCGGACAATAGATCTCAATAGTTAGTCTTCGATCTACTCCATAGTCTGACGCGAAAGGGAAAGCTTTCTTGACCCAATTGGACGTATAAACCTCGCGATGATCAGTGCAGTCGAATCAGGCATCTATGCATGGGCATGAAGCTTTTCCCGGTAACCAGGGATAGACAAGAGGCGATTCTCTGCAAAAATAGAACGTGAACTCGGCAAAAACAGCAATTGCAGACGGCCAGAGATGATGATATTCATGACGCGGCGAGAATCAAACATAGTTTTGCAGGTGTCGAATGGTGGAACAAACCTCGCAAGCCACCAGCGCTCCCAGAGAGTGAGAGGTTCTAGACTATCCCATCACGTGACCGCAGGGGACTCCGCGATACCTCCCCGATTGGGGAACCAACAACTGCTGCACAGACACTTCTTGCGAGTCGCCACCATCCTCATTTCCCTCTTTCCCCCTCCCCACCCACTCTCACACCACCCAAGTTTATCCAACTAACCCGGCATTGCGCGGTCGGAACTCAATTCACAAATCAGAATTTATCCACTGATCATGGTCATCATCCGGCAAATCCTACACTCCCCATTGGAGGCAGCCCTGGTGCCTCACTGCAACTTGCAGTGCTGTGCTCATTTCCTCCTGCACAAGGTGCATCACTGCACAAGGGGGCTTCAAGCCACCCGCAGGCGAGGCGCGACTGTGGTGAAACCGCTGTGTGCTGTTATCATCTAACCGCAAGCCCGGTGGGGTCGATCAAGCCACAGCCAGTCCTGCTTCCGAAGACCATCCCGGCTAGCACAGTGAAGACAATAACAACGATGATAAGGGAAGATGGTCAATCCGAGACTGTATTGCGAAACGGACTGGGGTGATAGACAAACCAACAGACAGACACACACACACACACACACAGAGAGAGAAACAGAGAGGTGATGAGCTGTCAGTCACCCGTTTTGGCTGATCATTCTACGGCTCCGGTGCCTGTATTGGTTCCTATTCACTCATGGTTTTCGGCTGGGATCCACCGCGGCCATTTTCTCCCCCCCCCCTCCAAGGCACGCTTTCGTTGCCAATCACTTCATCAATATTTCCCGGATGAAGTCATGGGCGGAGGGGGGAGGGTAAGACATTCATAGACTGTCATTCAATATCCCACCGCTATCTCCCCACGATTGTCGCTCTCTGAAAAAGTTGATCAGCTTTAAAAAGCTTTCCAAAACCAACTGCGCTTTGCCTGGCTAGACTCTAGACCATCGAGGAATCGAGACTTATTTTTGGTTCCGCCGTCCACGCCGTTGTTTTCTTTGGGTTCTTCGCGCTCTCCACCCACTGGTCCGCCGGTTCCACGCTTCAAAAGCTTTTTTGCCTTTTTTCCCTTTTTTCTCCGGCTTCCCCCTTGTCCTTCTCCAGTTTTCTTCTCCTCTTGACGTTTTTCGTTCCGTTTGTGCCTGGTGGCTGTTCTTGTGTCTCGTGGATCTGCATCTTCCCTCTTCCCTCTCTGTTCATATCTTCCCTCCCGTACATACTTTACTTCATACTGCACATACCCGATAGAGATCCCGGTCCTTGCAGCAGGCTGCTTGGACTATTCAAATGTCGGAACCACACCGGGAAGGTGCCTCCTATGAGCTGCTAGATCGCGAGAACAGCTTCGAGGGTCACGATGCGGTAGCTCACAATCCCAGCCCTCAGACCACCCCGAATTCTCCCACCTTCCCTGAAGAGGTGACCTCTGCGCCACCTCCCAGCGACACTCAGCACGAGACGTCAACTACGAGGCCGACTCGAGTCCGATTCCGCTCAGTGAGCAATCATGGCGAGAGTGCACCGCAACGGCCGCCTATGCCCCGAGCAGACTCCGACTATTCCGTACGCTCTCTTCAATCCGTCCACTCCATGATGCCCACGTCGGACTCTGCCGATCTTACCGAGTACTTCCCCGGAGACGGAGAGCCTGGGCCCGAAATTGAAGCAGGCGTCGAGCCATCGGCGCAGCGACGCGCCTCCCCACCTACCGACGGCGACACCCCCAAGTCTTCCATCGAGAAGGAAGAGCAACCCGCGCATCCGATGTCCGCCCGCGACCGCTGGAAGCACGCCAGCAAACTGCTTCGTCAGAAGACCGTCAACCTGGGCGAACGTCTGGGTAGACCTTCGGACGACGACGGTGGTGACCTCGGCGCCGCCATGCTACCCGATGATTTGGAGAGAGGACTTGGACCAGCACCGCCGCGCCGTGGAGGGGAGGAAAAGGATCCGTTCGATATTCACAACCGCGATCGCGACGAAACACCACCGCCACCTAGCGCAGAGGCCCATAGACTGGTGCGCAGCATGACCCAGCATCACTTGCGCAACCGCAAACCTAAGTCTGCCTACGCACGCTCCGGAACCAGCACGCCCGACGAATCGAGTCGACCGGACTCCTGGTATGGGGGTGCTACCCCGCCCCGCCCCGGTGCGGGCGGCGGCGGTATTCTCTCGCAGTTGCTGAAGCTCCATGCTGCGCAGGCGAAAGATAATATGTCCGTCACGGACTCGTCCGACAACGAATCGGTGGCCTCGTCAGGGACCGCTACCCCGCGCCGGGACTTTTCGTCTGGGACGGCGACTCCCAAGAAAGAGAAGCTGAAATGGTACAAGAAGTCGAACCATCATTCCACCGCCTCGCTGGTGTCCGCGTCGATGAACCTCAGTCGGGCGAGTCTGCCGGCCTCCGCCGATACGTTGGTGATGCTGCCACAACCACCGAAGAAGGGAAAGAAGAAGTCGCGGAAAACCCGGCTGGAGGACGAAATCCGCGTCACCGTGCATATCGCCGAAATCCTGGCGCGGCAGCGTTACATCATGCAGCTTTGCCGGGCGCTAATGCGGTACGGTGCCCCCACCCACCGTCTCGAGGAGTACATGCAAATGACGGCCCGAGTCCTGGAAGTTGAGGGCCAGTTCTTGTATCTGCCGGGATGTATGATCATGTCCTTCGACGATCCGACCACCCGCACCGCCGAGGTCAAGCTGGTCCGAGTCGTGCAGGGGGTGGACCTGGGCCGGTTGGCGGAAACGCACAACGTGTACAAGAATGTCGTCCATGATCTCATTGGCGTGGAGGAGGCTATTCAGGAATTGGATTTCATTATGAAGCGGCCTCCCCGGTTCAACAAGTGGATTCTCGTGCTGGCCTACGGGTTGGCCAGCTGCGCGGTCGGTCCGTTCGCCTTTGAAGCCCGCCCGATCGACATGCCCATCATCTTCTTCCTGGGCAGCCTCGTCGGACTCATGCAGCACGTCCTGGCCCCGCGCTCCGTTCTGTACTCCAACGTGTTCGAGGTCACCGCCGCCATCCTGACCTCCTTCCTTGCACGCGCCTTCGGGTCCATTCACCGCGGCAAGAACGCCGACGGCTCTCTAAATTACATCTTCTGCTTCTCCGCGCTGGCGCAGTCTTCCATCGCTCTCATCCTACCGGGATTTATGGTGCTCTGCAGTAGTCTGGAACTGCAGTCCCACCAGATGATCGCCGGCTCCATCCGCATGGTCTACTCGATCATCTACTCACTGTTTCTCGGCTACGGTATCACGGTCGGGACGACCATTTACGGTTTGATCGACGGTGCGGCCAGTTCGACGACCACGTGCCCGAACCAGGATGTCTACGGCAGCAAGTACACGCAGCACTTCGTCTTCGTCCCGATCTACGTCATTTTCCTCGCCATCATCAACCAGGGCAAGTGGAAGCAGGTGCCGGTCATGATCGTCATCGCCACCTGCGGCTACGTGACCAACTACTTCAGCACGCTTAAACTCGGCTCCAGCTCGGAGGTCGCCAACACCGTCGGCGCCTTCACCATCGGCCTGCTGGGCAACCTGTACAGTCGCCTGTGGCACGGCCACGCCGCCACGGCCATCCTGCCTGGTATCTTCGTGCTGGTGCCCTCCGGCCTTGCCTCCTCGGGCTCGCTGCTGTCGGGTATCGAATACGCCGACGAGGTGCGCGAGAACCTGAAGAACGGGACCAGCGCCAGCAGCACGACCTCGGACGCCAGTATCTCCAGCCTTGGTTTCGGTATGATCCAGGTGGCCATTGGTATTACGGTGGGACTGTTTGTGTCTGCCTTGATCGTGTATCCCTTCGGCAAGCGTCGGAGTGGATTGTTCAGTTTTTAAAAAAATGGCATCTTGCGTGCCTCTCTATACCCCCCCCCCCCCTTGTCCTGTTTCGTCTCCGCCAGCCTCCAGTATTGTTTTGTTGTCCTCGTACAAAGTCTGATCAAAATCCCCCTCCATCATCCTTGTATTCATGTGGCCCCTTTCTCTGATTTGTCGATGTTATCCATGTTTGCATGTTTGCATGTGTTTATGAAGTGCATTTAAGCAGGCTTTTGCATTTTCCTCCCCTTGCCTTTCCGCGTTACTCAATTCTAGATGGTTTTCATTTAATTTTCGGGGTGATATTCTAATGTTGCTGGGTCGCGAGGATGTTTCGACCGGAAGGAAAAAGGGCAATTTACTGGTTTAGATTGTTCCACATCTTTTCTTGTTTTCTAGATTAATATCTTGCCACCTAGAGCTAACTTACCTCCCTTTCATCTGGAATTATGCAATATTTGTTTCTTTGTTCATGGTAGCTCGGTTGGTATTTGTTCCTGGGATCTTATAAACTCTTGGGAATATCTCATCTGAAGGATCGTAAACGTAATGGTAAAAGCCGAGCAAGTGAGTCCAAATGGTGTGGTGTCCAGGACGGCCATAGCGGGCGGTCGCCACCGTCTTCCTACCGCGCGGCTTTCGAGCTTGGTCGCATCGCAGCACAAGCGCTGGACTAAGCTTGATGATGGCGATCCAGAGGGCTCGCCCGTTTTCACCACAGTGTAAGCTGTATACTTAAGTCGCGGTGGGCTTTATGAGAAAAAAAAAAAAAAAAAAGAAAGAAAAAACGCTTGGAGCGTTGCTTCGGCACCATGGACTAGCTAGCTTTACTTCCGCCCCGTGACTCCCCATATGAAGAGGAGAGAATGTATTGACTAGTACTCATTCCTCGGAACTGCCTGTGTGCTGAGGAAAGTGTCCCAATGAAGAATTACTGGCTAAAGTCAGGCAAGGAAGAAAGAAGAGGAACAAAACAGAAAACCCCGAAAGAGAAAATCGATCAATGAGTCTATATGCAATTAGATGCGAGGAGTCCGGTGATAACCACACTAATTTCGGAGGAGACAAGCGTCGAAGGTCTTCGAGATCACCACGCGCACCATGAGGCTCCCTATGCCAGTGCAATCTGTTTTCGGAGCCGTGCGCGGCCGACTGCTCAAGCCCAGCGGTCGCCGTGGCTCCAGGTCTCCGAGAGCAGGCCGGCATCCCCCAACGTGCCCTCCATCGCGGCAGGGGATGCGTCGACATTTTCGGTCGCAGGTGCACGCTGGCTGGGCATATTCGACGAGCTTTGAGGCGCGGGATCTATTACCACAGAAACACAGAAGACTGATCAGCATCCTGCACATTTTCGAGTATCACCCCACCCCAAAAGTCAAAGACTCACCCGTAGATCCAGCCCCCAGCCCACTGCCACTGCCACTGCCATTGCCATCTGCCATTTCCGCTCGCCGCTGGCCTTCAGGATAATATCTCCCTCCGGGATGGAGAGTCTGCGAAGTCTGAAAAGTGTGGGAAATCGCGAATCAGAAAAGAGAAGTTTCGAACAACACGGAATGAAGTCTGTGTGTGTGTGTGTGTGTGGCCTTTGTTTGTAATGATATCGGCGGAGGCAGCATTCACAATTTTGTACAGTAACATTGCTGCCGGCCCATCTGATAACATTTTCTTTTTGGTGTGCTCTCCGCGCCCTCCCTCGTGTGACCCCAAAAGACAAATGTAATAATTTGGCCACCCGAAAATGATAAATACAAACAGAATTCACGAACTGGTACTACTGACTTCTTGAAATTCTTCCCCCTTGATCTCCACCTCGCGATCCCGGATGCGCCGCATCAGCGCCAGGAAGTTACTCTCCTGGAACTTCTGGCTGGTGTCGTGCTTGAGACTGTCGACGAGCTGGCCGGCCGTGCGTGCGAGCGCGTCCGCGTCGTTGGCTTGCGCTTGGGGGTCGGTGCTCTTTTCCGTGGGCGGAATGGTGTCTGAGCCGATCTTGATTTGCTCGATCGGGGCCTGTGCTTTCGTGGTGAGGTCGTCGGTGTCTTGTTGGGGCGTGGTGGTTGTTTCTTCTGCGGCGACGGTCTCGGTCGCTGTTTCTTGCGATGCTATCGCTGCGCTGGCCTGCGCGAAGGCAGCCTCGAAGGCGGATTCGTCAAAGGTTGAGATTGATGGTGCTGCTGCTGCTGTTGTTGCTGCCGAGGATACTTGGGGAGCGAGTCCCGCGCGCTGCGGGTGGAATCTCATGAGGTGCATATTCCTGTCGCTGGGCCTGAATGAGGATTCGAAATCTTCGGTGTGAGCGAGTGGATGATGATGTTGCATCGTGGGCTGTTGTTGATGCTGGTGCTGGAGAAATTCATTGTGCCAGCCCTGTTGGGAGGCTGAGGGGAGCGGCGCATGCGATACGTTAGGTTGTTGATGGTGTACTGCCCATGGGTCCGCGATATTCAGTCTTTGAAAGTCGGTCGCCCAATTCAACGATTCTGAGGGACCGGAGAGGAAGAGTTGAGGCGCAGGGGCGGCAAGATGAGCCGGATGTTGGAGATCGCCAAGTGGTGCAGGCGCCAGATTGGACTCGAAAGCAGCAAACTCGGGGTCAAGGACGCCTGTGCTGGGATTGTGATTCCGGAACCCCTGACAACGACGAGGTTAGTAATGTGAGTTTGACTCAGACGGATCAAAGGCTCCATACCTGAGAGGGTGTCTGCTGTGACGTCAACCTATCCTGCTGGAGAGTCCGATCGGTCGAGGCATGTTTCTGAAAGTTCTGAAGCGCGTTCGAGGGTCCACAGAGAGCGTCACTCATGATGCCGACCGATGTTGTGCCTGCTGGGCACCGGAGAAGCCAGATAAGGCGCGTTTGGGATCTGGAGTGGTGGGATTGGCTAGACCGCAAGAAATGGGTCCTGGAAAGAATAGAAAGACTAGATGAATGGATGCAGTGAGGTACTCCTTCTGCATCAACCTTCTGACCTCAATGTTGCAAGAACAACGCACAAGATCAATGGCAGACAGGCGAGTCCGGAGTAGAAAAGAGATAAGATGGCGGGTGTGGACGGTGGGGTAGCCGGTAGCCCATCATGCCGAGGCCCCCCTCTCACGTGCCATCCGCTTATGTCATTCGTCCAAATCTCGGTCTCCAGGATTGCCTTGCTGTATCCAGTATAGCGTTCCGTTTCCTATCACTTCCCACTTGTCTCGGGTCTTCTTCGCTTTTACTCGTAAGACTCTCTGAAATCTATGAGTAGCTACCATATGTCTCGGCTATGTATACACTATCTTCGACTTGATTTGGGAGGCTGGAGGCTGAGGCATTTCCCAATATGAAGGATATAGTTCATGAGACCGACGATGGCACGTGTTCAGCTACCTTCAGTCGAGAGAAAGAATCACGTGGCCAACTCTAGCTATTGAGCCGAGCGATCTGTGAGTGCTCATGAGCATATGCTGAATCAGCAAATGCAAGTGTGTTCATATTATTTTAGTCCAGTAGCCGGATAGTGTTGATTCTTGCCTCTTGGATGTCAAACTCCCCAATATCAATTGCGATCAACATGGTGTGCAGGATCGTCTACTCTACATGGAGAATGTGGGTTGCGCTGGGTCTGGAGAAGCGGATAGGCGGTGAGACGCTCGCCGCTCGGATCCAGCCGGGAGTCCAGCAGCGCAAAGACTCGTTCGTTCCTGAGTCACTCCGGAGTCGCCACTCCGCCGCTGATAATACTCTGATGGCAAAAAAGTCCCCTGCAACATGGCTCGGCGGACTTGCCTTTACGCTTGCTAGGAACGCGGCTCAATCTACAAGTCAATTTGTCTTACGAAAGAGAGGAAGGCTCTTTGAAGGTGCGGATCACTGGACAAAACATTCCAAGTGACGGTCAAATGGTATATTCTATGATTCGTGACGTTCGTGCCCAAACAAATGCAAAATGTCTAGCATGCATGCAGAAAAATCAAACCGAACCAAACCAAATGTCGGTATATACAGTCGTCTATGCATGAAATTATGAGGTGTAATGTCGGTGCCCGACGGCACGTCTTTCCCGGTCGGTTTTGGCTGTACTTCATCGGTCGACAAAGGCGCTGGGTCTGAGTGGAAAACCGGCTCGTCGGTTGTGGGGATGAGATTAGGTTTCAAATCTTTTCAGGGTGCCGCTAAGAATTCATCGAGCGGTATGCGCGACTTCAAGAAATGATCATGCTGCAGGAGAAGCTGCAGGACACGCTGGTGGCGCACCGCATCAGCATGCGCCGTCCGATGAGTTGTTGTCGCAGAGGGTCGGGGTATGTGCATGGTGTTGTACTGAGCAGCTTGCCCAATTATTGGCATATTTCAGCCACTGGCACATGCGACAGGGACGGCAGGGGCTTGAGCCAAGCCCTTGTGGTACCGATCTGCAAGCTCCTCGCACACGCCCCAAATACGTCGACGGTTGGCGACCCCAATGAGGTTCGCGTCGTCCATTCCGTACCGCGCTGTGGTCATCTTGTCCAGCCAAAGATACAGCTGCTTGTAGTTGACCTCGTCATTCAACTTTTGTCCCTTGCTGGCCTGGAGCTCCCAGAACCAAGGCATATCCCACTGCATGAATTTCTTCCAGAAAAGATTGTCTTGAGTAACAAGGTGAACGCTCAAAGAAGCCTGAGCAAGGGATTTCAAGTCCTCGCTAGGAAGGAACATGCAAATCTGATGCACGAGCTCGAGTGGAAGCTTGCCGAAGGGACTGGCGGGGCGTCGCCCACGAAGGTCAATCTCGGCGGAGGCAATTTTGAGCTTGCTGTTCGATTCCATGTTTGTTTGAATATAAGCGGGCAGTGCGGGGGTGTCTGTAGGGTGGGTTGCGCAGTACTATGGAGAAGAAAATTAGTGAGATAATAGGGACACGACGACTCGAGTTCTCTTACCTCGACGCCTGGAGTGCACTCCCAATAGCGCCCTTGAGCGCGCTGAATATCCTCTCCGTAGCTCAAATCCAACGCGGAGCTCTTCATGTTGCAAAGAGGACTCATGACATTGTAGAGAACTTCCAAGTTCACCTTCTTGGTATCCGTGGAGCCGGTGAGCGCGTGAGTGAGAATTTCGAAGCAGCACCAGTGGAAGGGAAGGACGGGGCCCGGTGCCTCGTCCGAGCCTTGGCCATAGCACGAATAGACTTTCTGGCTCGATCGGCTCGAGTTGGAGCCAGCCTTGACAATCAGCTCTCCCGCATCTGCGTAATATCCTTCATCCGAGAGAAACGCTTTGGCTGAGCCCGCAGCAGCGTTCTGATTCATACCGAGACAGTGGGCTTTGTAGAGCCAGGAAATGTTTTCCCACCCCACAATGCGAGGGTCGTAACTGCGAACAGGATTCGCGTCTTCTTCGCTATCCCGTGGCAGTTGAGTGAGGTCTTTCCCAGCCTGAAGAGCCCGACGACGCTTCTCGATCCATCGGCGGCGGCGTTCCAGCGCCTCCTCCGACGGGGGTTCGATGTGCATGCCACAGAACCCAACACCACAAATGGCACAGTAGCAGTCGAAGGCCATGATGATGCGAATTGTATGGGTGAATGAAAAAGGGAGAAACAACAATGCAAAGAGATGGAAGGCCAATTCATGGGAGCGAGTGGAAGAGGCGAGCTGGTACTTATAAGAAAGGATGGAACTACCGATTGATTATCGAGACGGGGCCCACCGCGGGCTCGGAAGGGGCCAAACACAGGCCGCAATCAGGGGCAGAACCGCCGTTTAGCGACCCCATTCGGCAGCTCCAGAAATCTCTGCGCCGACGATCAGGCGACCTAAAAATACTAGCTGTGATAGATGCAATCCGTCGACACCGATACTGTCAATCAACAGTGTGGTTGGTGAATAGCTTACTCCATCCAAGTCGGCATTGCCGCTACCTCTGGGGGGCAATGGTGAGTTGGCAAGAAGGATGGGACGCGAATTGCAGTAGCTGCAGGCCATTGCTCCACCGGGGAACGGGTGGGAGAGCGAGAAATCAACAGACAGTTAGATAGACAGATTATTAAGATAGGCGATGTTTCCACCAGCTTCTCAGTGATGATTCCCGGGACTTCCTAATTCTTCTCGGGATTGCAAAAATAGCCATGGATATATTGACAGGTATGAAATCCGGGAGAGGTCACGCAGGCCTGTTAGCGGCAATTAGTGAGCTTAGTCTGCCGCCACGCATCCGGACTTTACTGGAGACGGCTAACCTTAAATTTCGCAGTGAGGAGCCCGAAAAGGCGGTGATGGGGAGACTGCCCGCCGGAGGAATGGGAGCTGCTGCGGCAGCACCACCTGCCCCATGGTGTGCGGTGTGCTGTGTGCTGTTTGCTGTTAAAAGATGGACACAATGCTCATTGCTGGAGCCATTGATGAACACCCCCCTGATGGCGATCCATAAGCAGTATGCGAGAGAACCATGGCATGATGAATGCGTTGTTGGCTGATCCGATCAGGAACTGAAGGAGTGAGTGAGTGAGATGAGTGGGTGATGGAAGGAAGGGAGAGCCACCTCGAAATTTCCTCTTTCGGGCCGAGTGGGTCAGGCACTCTTTGGAGACCCCGTGACCTTGCCACCCCGCATCAACTTTCCTCCTGGCCCGGGCCAGACCCGTCCAGAAGCCTTTTTCCCTCTTCCACTTTTCCACTTTTCCACTCTGTTCCACCTCGGCATCTCAGCTGTCACACTTGCCTGCTAGCCAGATAACACCCAGCCCTGGCAGCGCAGGGGCACACTGCAGCGGCAACGTGGAGGACCACCGGAATTCACCACTCGTACGATATAGTCTGATTCCTGACATCACACTTCATACATCCATGCTACCTGTATACGTACTGTACCTCTAATACGCCCATGACTTATCCTCGTATCGCCGGAATTCGCAGCAAAGGTTTTGGCGCAGCCACAATTGGACGACCTGTTTGCTCCCCAGGAGGGAATTGGGGTTGGTGCGGGGAGGATCGGTTCCAGCCATGGAATAACCTCACCATCTTGTCCACCGATGACGCAATGAGATAGATAGAAGCTTGCAGAATCCCTTCACATTTGATACCAAGGTATAGAATAGAGCCATGAGGACCCTGTTTCCACCTCCAAGGACTGCTTCCACTGGAACATGACAGCATGACGTGGTGCTAATTGATACACGTCTCGTTCGAGAACCATCTTAGATAAGAAGAAAACCTCAAGCCAGCTTGCTACAACATTGGCCCATATCTAAAGCAGGGCACCACCGTACACGCGCGCCATTGCAATCAACAGAACTTTTTCGCTCCAATTCCACATACCCCGATGATATCTCTCCGATGGACCGGCCAATGGGCCCTCGTGGAGTGAAGAATCCCAGGAAGCCAACCGCTTGCACAAAGAGCAGAGTTGAGGAAGAATCGGGGCCTCCTTTTCCAGATAACAAGAGAACAGGCGATTTACTTTTTGTAAGAGGCTTAAAAAACGAAAGTTCTGTAAACTACAAAGATCGATGCACAAACCATCCTCTCTTCTAAGTCTACAGTTCATCTTTCATCAAACATGTTCAGAGTAAATCCGTTCTATGATATCCGCCCCAGACGCAAGAAGCAAAATGACCCACTCCACCATGTACAGCGATTTGTTCGATAGAGGCCCTGCAAATGGATACTTCTTCACGTTCAAGATATGTGAAGCGGGCGACCCGGAGTCTACGGACTGGGGGTACTATGAGGAGAAACTGGAGCTCAAGTTCTTCAATGAGCGGCTGGCTCGCCCAGAGGCGGGCCCCTTCTTTGGCTGCATACTATCAGGGTCCTATGCCCAATTCTATAAAGAAGTGGCCTGTGATGAGTATAGTCATTTTCACTGCATTTGCAAGTGCGAGCTAGAAGGTAGACTCACACTTCACGTAGTCAAAGATAGATGGCTGATCGACTTGTGGGGTAAGTTCGTGGTGGAGCCTGTACTGGGACGTACAGGCTTCGATCGAGTCATTCATGAGATCTGCGCCATCCGATAGGAGATTCCTTATATTGCGTAGCTGACACAGCTTGAATATATTCTCTAAGAGCAGTCCACGTACCCGAATAGAGACTATCATTGTCGGTAGATAAGTAATATGCCTTATGCATGACTTTCATGTCTTTTTGGGTAGTTAAATTGACCGTATTGGCTATTATTTTTCTAACCGCAGCATGATCACGCAGCATGATCCTCTCTATCATGGACCTCGAACTGTCCTGCACGGCATAACTTTTCTTTCCTCTTATACTCGTCATATGCGAGAGCTTCATGGCCGTGAAGTTGAATCTTGATATTTCTGCTCGGGCCCCTGCATAGCGGAGTGCAGGGTCAATGGCAATTAGATAGCTAAGGAGTACTAGGTAAGCACACTATCATCTGGTGTTGATATCCTTGTTCCACCCCAATGAGTTTGTGTCCAATAACATGGTAGGAGGATCGCCGAGAGAAATTCGCCGGTTCAAGAATATAATGTGACCTTTGTCGAGATCGCCGACTATGATGAAATCTAGAAACGCATCTTGAATTCAGGTACGATTGATGAGCGGCTGACATGGCGCCGCGTCGAGCTTGGTTTTTAACTGGAACAATTCGCATATTATAGACAAGCCTTTAGTTGATTCAGTCGTGAAAAAGAAGACTATGGGATAGGCGATGAAGAGTAGTCAGTGGTCGCCTGAAGTTACGTTCCTATAAGACCATTGTGCGACTGATGAGTATCTGTGGAGTATGCACCCATACCCACCTTTGTCAACTTGCCATCCTAGAATCGAAGGAACTTGGATATTGGAAACGGGCGCAAGAGAGCTGACGGTGGGTAAGCTACGAAAACAACGCCTGACCGCGTGACACTAGGTGTCATCTGTGCCTGCCTCGAAGCTGGGGTACATCCCAAGTACAGGGTTTCATGGATTGTGGAGTAGGCGACGGAAGACGGAACAGAGACGTGCCGTGGGGGAAGTGAGTGAAAGTGACCGGGCAAACAGTGGTACTCGGGCTCTGGGGCATTTGGGGCCGCCATTGTAAGTCCCCTAGCGCATGAGAGGGGCAAGAGTCAACCGCAAATTGGACGGTACGGAGCGGATGGTACGCTAGGCATGGAAAGGAATTTGACACCAGACAAAGAGAAAACATCTCCCCCGTGGGATGTTTGAATGAACTTCCTCAGCTTATGAGGGCTGAAGATCTCCTTCGCCTGACGAATCACCTTGATTTCGCCAAGATGGAGAATAAAGAAACTGTCGTGGCGCTGCATTTAAAGTTCGATTCCATGTTCGATTATCTGCATGCGCATCCCGTTCGTCGCGTGGCCCACGTTGCTTTTCAGAGCATGAGGTTTTGCCTACAAGTCGCTGCAAATTGATCCTGTCAAGCAAAAGCTGAATCTCTAATCTATGATAGATTTGTGTATGGGTGGAGCACGGTGCAGCACAGGGAATCCAGCGCACGTGACTCAGATGCATTGAGGATAAAATTAGAAACCTCACGTCAGTACTCTACTTAGGCCTGAGGCCATTATGGCTCTAGATTGTCAACTACCATAAGCAGTTGAAAGGTTGTGTGGTTTATGCATTTTTGCTGGGGGCTCGCATTCTTCCCAGCCGCAACATGCCAGTGCCCGAAACCTTCCTGGCTCTTTGGCATCTACGAATGACGGATGAGCAAGGCATAGTGCAGAACTGCAGTCAAGACGAGGTGTTAACCTGATTTGATTTCAACACAGTGAAAGAGCTGCTCTATGGGGAAGGAGAATCCTCATGACGCTTAGACTGGATGTATTTTTCCGTCACTTGGTCATCTCTAGATAGGTAGGTAGCTGGCTGTCCAACACGCCCCTTAAGCCGCTCAGTGGTCATTATGTCACCCAGGACTCGAACCCACTTACTTGGAACCAATACAGACTTCTACCAAACAATAAACGGTGGATTTGTCACCCTCGCACTGGAACCTATGATTGCGCAGCTGATCTACGTGGAAGCTGTTTCTGGTATAGTCAGGGTAGCATTCCAGCGGGTGGCCATTGGGGAACCCAAGCCCTGGCACTGAATGGACAGGCCTCCAGCCACCAGGGTCTTCGGGCACAATGATTGGCAGTGACAGGAGGTGCGCAAGCCGTGGGTCTGTTTGTCCAGTCGATCATGGTGGGTGGGCCATGGTGAGGTGCAGTCCATACTATGCCCATTTGCTGAGGCCGCATTCCTCACCCATCTTTAGATCTCGAGGAATGTATGCAGAAACCCAGAGGCTGGCGGCCATCGTGACAATTCAAATAGGAGCATTGCTCTGTTGTTTGATAGCTTTGTTTTCTTTGCATCCTGTGCACTGTTTTCTTCGATTGTCAGTTTGTCAAACCGTGCCTACAGCTCAAACATTGCACCAAACATCCAGCTTCATCCACTGCGAATTCGCAAACCCTACCCAACCTACCAAACACTACATACTTACATACCAACCATTCTGAACAGCTTATCGGCACCTTATCCGGGGCTTTCCTTCTTGCTCCAGACTTTTCCTTCCCGCTGAGCTTAATTGTCAGTCAAAATCTAATCGTTCCAGCGGGTTTTGTTGGGTCCATCTGGCAGCTTCCCTGACCTCGATTTCCGCAAACGGAAGGGGTTTCTCCGACTTGACTCGACACAATGTTTGCCCAACCTTTGGATCACACTTTCAATGATTTATTCAACCAGTACGTCAATGTGGACACCTCTTGTGCAGATGGCCACAAAGACGTTTCATTCCCCGGCGATCTTGACCAACTATTTCAACTGGATTCATTGTCAAGCGACTGTGGCGAGCTCTCGCCCACCATCTCCACATCCAAGCAACAGCATCCATCAGTGCAGTCGTGGAGCCGGGACTTCTGGTGTCTGGCACAAGACGCAGATGTTTCTTCAGGCCAAGGCCATTTCTCTTTAGAGGACACCATCCACCCCTCGGCAGTCTCAGATCTCAGCATCACCCTTGAAGCTCCCTCCGTCGCCTATTCCGCCGACACCCGCACTTCTCCGTCCACTCCTCCGGCTACTCCCAGTCGCAAAGTCAAGAGTGCGCTGGTCACTCCCAAGTCGATCCGCCGTCATCGTGATTCCAATGATCGTCGTGCTCTACTACGCAAGCAAAGCTTTTCGCCCAGCCTGACGCGCTCGTCTCAGATCCAACGAAGCAGGATGGCCTACCCCGAGGCATGGGCGCAGCGGTTTCAAGATTTTGCCTTTCGTAGCTCCGAAGCTCAGCTACCCTTGTCACCACCACCATCAGATATCCTCGTTCAACAAGAAAACATGGCTGCCGATCATGTCAGTATGCCTATGGCGTGTTCTGCAGAAGCGCTGCCTCGAGAATCAGAAATGCCTTCCCACTATGACTCCGGCATGTTCACTCAATCGCCTGCCATCACGATGCCTTCCCCATCGGCTGGCGCACTGGCAAGACAGCAACAACGTTTCCTGAGTCAATCGAACAGCTCCACGCTGAGCACGTCAAGCCCGCCTTCGGCCGACCACATCTTCTCTTCCCCGCTTTCTTCCGACCCTCAATCAATGTCTTCATGGCAATCCGACTCTCTGGCCTCTAGCTTACCGTACACCCCCGAATTGCAGACGCACGATGCGCAGACGTGGTGGTCACCGATGACGTCTCGGACCGCCCCGCGGCAACCCTCCTACCAGCAACTTATCGCCTCGCCTTGCCCTCAGCGGCCGACGCAGAGCTCTACGAATCAACATGACATGCTACAGGGAGGCCTCATGATCCAGTTGGATCCTTCCTCATTTAACCTTTCTCAACCACAAAGTCACTCATACCCACCATCTGGCATGCAATCCACTGCCAGCGGCGAGCAAAGCCGCTCATACAGTCACGGCTCCTCTAGTATCCAGCAGTCCGTGGAATCGTCGTCCTTCACCACACCGCAACTACAAAGTACCTCACGCTCCCCATCTTTGTCCCCGGGAAGCGGATCGCCTCCGACAGGCAGACCGATTGTCCAATGCCAAGGAGGGGTCAAAACCCCTCGCCGTCATAGCAACGGTCGCAAACTATCGGGCAACTCCATGAGCGCTCCCAAACCAGCCACTAAAGTCACCAGCTCGGGCAGTCCCCGCGGGAAGGCCGTCACCGTGTCCTTCGTGAACTTCACCGCCAACGACAGCAAGAAGATTCTTACCGGGGTGGCACCCAGCGGCAGCTCGAAGACGAAGGCACGACGCGAACAAGAAGCCCGCGACCGACGGCGCAAGCTGAGCGAGGCCGCGCTGAATGCAGTGCGTAATGCTGGTGGCGATGTCGAAGCTCTTGAAGCTATCCTATGCTAATAATCTTTGTTGAACTTTTTCTCTATGTTGTTTAATCATCATTATACCTTTGTTGCGAAATCTTTTGCGTGTTTCAGTGCATCGCCTTCTTGGAGTATGTGATTCTATGTTTCAGGGTTGGAATCTAAAAAAGCGTTAGATCCACGGCGTTTGGGTTACAATAATTAGATTTAATGTATCAATAGTGGGGCTCAGATCCTTCAGAATAATTCAACTATCTAAACTACATAATCACTTTCCAACCTCAATTTTTCTTCTTGTGTCCATCCTTGTATCGAGCATCTATGGAAGCTTTACGTTACGAGTGTCAATCCCTGTCTCTTTATCAGACGTCAGCAAGCACCAGGGAGTGTCAAAAGCCCAGTGACATGGGTAAGCATTTGTCATGACATCTCCGCCTTCTCCGGAGTCTGGGTACGTATACCTCCACTGGGGTTGTTTTGCGGTTGGCAGTCTGATTGCTGGCTGAGGGTTATTACTTTAGTATGGATCCAGTGCCATCCGCAGGGCTGGGCCACTACGGCGCCCACCGACCGGGTCCTGCCGGGAGTGGGCTTTTGGGCGATCATTCCCCAACGCCCCGTCCCAAGGTTTAATTGCATTTACTCAAGTTGGATGACGTCCCTTGCCGCGGGGTTATTCCCCGCCGTCATGTCAATGGGTTTTGTACATCTCCTTCGCACCCACCCTCGGGGACACCCAGACCAGACCCCCACTGCCCATCATATCTGCTTGTTACTGTGATGTACATCGCAAAACACGAGGTTTCGGATCGACCTTCCACATTCTGCCGTGACTCTAATATCATAACTGACCATCCATCGTCTGGATCCAGAGCATGTACTGTACTGTACCGCAGAAACGACTCACCCGGGGAGGAGACCGAAGATCTCCCTCCCCCACCCCCTCATTCACGCCCCCCCAAGAAAAGGAAAAACACGAGCGACAGTATCTTGGACTCCCAAAGTCGATCCAGGTTTTGGGGTTCTCTGGTTTGTTTGTCTCGAGCGGGGGATTACTTCCGCAGTGGTGAAGTTTGGGTGGTGACGGCATGGGGGAACCGTACTACGAACCATGCCCCTAGAGTCTGGTGGGGTGAGAAACTGTCGGGGTTGGGGTTGGGGTCGGGGTCCATGTGGTATTTGGAATACTCGTCGGAGAATATTGTCTGGATAATTGCGCTGGATTGAATTGCTTGAATCTGTGTAGATTGGATTTGCCGGCTTGTTTTTGAATAGCTCGTATATTGCAAATGGGGGCAAAGATTCTCTGCAAGCTGTGTCTGAAGAAATGTTGCGGATGCTCCGGCAAACGCCCCGTCAAGTGGGTGAGCAGATGAATTTTGATTAGGTAGTGGCGAAGAGAATGGACTACAAGAGCGAGATTCTGCGGAGAAGAATAGCAAATTTTGAGGAGGAACTTTTAATCCCTGTGCTCAAGAACTGGTCTCTTCCGTCCTCTGAGAATGAACAAGGAATAAGTAACCTGGGGCTACTAACGAACTGGATTGCTGCGGAAATTGAGCAAGTTTCCCTTTCCGCTTTAGGTTGAACTTGGAGCCGCTTTTTGCTCACTAAGCAGCCCAAAGTGTAGGGAAAGTACAGAAGTGTATATTCTAAGCAATCCCTAAGCAATCCCTAAGCAATCCCAGATTGCTCCGGGAGTAAATACTAAAGAAGTAACCATTACCCTAAGTCCTTATCTAAATTTATATAATTTAGTTATATAATCTAAATAAAATATATACTATTAATATTATATATTCCACTTTTATCTCGCCGGCGTGGCTGTTATTTA